AGCTCATGGAACATCAGGGAATCAGCTCATGGAGCCCAGCATCAACGGGGTTCAGGGCTCCTGTGGGAGCTCATGAGGGTGTTCAGCTGGTCCTGGTTGATCCAGCACTGGAATGAAACCCCAGCTTGGGGAGAATAGGATGGGCAGAAAGGCAAATCTTCACTGGGCTCATAAGCCCGGTGAGGAAACCCAACCCAAAGCACTTCACGCCTCTAACAACAAACCTCTCTCCTTCCCAAGGTTTGCCCAGCCAATTCCTCCAGGAAAAACAAACAAAAAAAATAAGATGTGCTCCCGTGAGAACAGAGGCTGCCACAGCTCCGAGAGCTCCTGCCACGGCGGGGGCTCCTCCTGCCACGACAGCGACCGGTCCTGCCACGGCTCCGGCTCCGAGGGGCTCGTGTGCCACGAGGTGACGGCCGTGCCCGATGTCACGCCCGTGGTGGTGCTCACCCCGCAGTGCCCCGTGGCCCCCGGGGCCGGGCAGGTGCCCGTGGCCCCCGTGCCCTGCCAGCAGCAGCACCAGCAGATCAAGCAGCCGGTGCAGTGGCCGCCACAGCAGCAGCAGCAGCCGCCGCAGAAGAAGTGAAGGGAGGAGGATGCGACGCTCAGCGCACACATCCCCCGGGGAGGGGCTGCACAACTCTCCCCCTCTGCCCCCCTGCAAGGTGCAGCCCCGAGCTTGGGCGGGTCCTGCCCCTTCCCTCCTGCTCCCCTGAGACCCCAAAAGTGGCATTAGAGAGGCAGAAACGTGATTTGCCTCCTTGCAAACCTCCCGATTCCCCCCCCCCCCGCCCCACTTCTGTCTCCGGTAGCAAAGGCGCAACATTAAAACCTAAAGCTCAGAAAAACGTGCTGGCGTCCTGGTTGTTCTTCCAGTGGTTTTCCCTTATCTTTGGCATCATTCCCAGGCACACTTTGATTATCCCTTCATTTAAGGCCACGGTGGCTCAGCTCCCAAGTCCCTTGGGCATCAGCCAGACAAACCCAGGGGCCGGATTTCAAAAGCTGTCTGGGGCTGAAGGTGCAGATCAGCACCTCTGATTAATCACAGCCCTTGGCTCTGCGCCTCAGACCCTTCACAGGCACGTTTGGGAGGCTCTGGGCAGAGCAAACTCCGTCGAGGAAGCCTGCAATCCCTCGTCACCACTGACAGGAGGACACGAGCAGAGGAGGGACCGTGTCATGCTTAATAATCCTTCTGGCCTTTCTAAATGGGGAACGTGGGGTTGGATAGACCTTTTGGGGGGTAACTCTCCCTTCATTGAAAATCCCCATCCAGTCCACCCTGTGCCCCATCCCCACCTTGTCCCCCAGCCCAGAGCACTCATTGCCACATCCTTGGACACCTCCAGGGGTGGGGACTCCAAACCTCCCTGGGCAGCCCCTGCCAAGGCCTCACCACCCTTTCCAGGAGGAAATTCCTCCTCATGCTCAACCTGAGCCTCCCCTGGCACAGCTGGAGGCCGTTCCCTCTCCTCCTGCCCCTTGTTCCCTGGGAGCAGAGCCCGAACCACCCCAGCTCCCCCTTCCTGTCAGGGAATTCCAGAGCCAGAAGGTCCCCCCTGAGCCTCCTTTTCTCCAGGATGAGCCCCCCCAGCTCCCTCAGGAGTTTCTCCAGCCCCTTCTCCTGCTGCTCCAGCCCCTTCCCCAGCTCCATTCCCTCGATGTACTTCCCGAAGTGAGAAAAAACATTCCCAGTCCTTAACAAGTTTTAAGCTGACTTTTCTCATCAGAAAACCATAAAATTTCTGAGCTCCCCTTGTAGATGAAGGAAAAGGAAAAGAGTATCAGATGGAGAGATGGCCAGAAAAAATCCTGTTTTATTTCCCCTCACATTTGATCCAACCCTGGGGTCTCTCCCAGCATCTCCAAGGCACATCCCTGCAGGAATTCCTGGCTCCGTGGGACGAGAGCAACGTGGTGTGTGTAATGCACCAGATATTTAATTAGCGAAGGCTTTACACTGATCCTTTGAAAGGAACAAGAAACTTATTATTAGCACTTGTTTTATTATTATTACTCTTCATTAAAATAACGAGGAGCCTCCTTCCCGTGTGCCGGGCCCGTGACTGCAGGAGCAGGGGAGGAACGTGGAGGGGTCAGAAACGTGAGGCTCTGACTGGGCATGAGGGTGTTTTGTGGTGCCAGGGATGGTCCCTGTCCCCCCAACAACAGGTACCCCCCAACCAGTACCAAACCCACCCCGTGCCAAACCCACCCCGTGCCAAAGTGGAGGTTGAAACCGAGCCAGACCGGCGGCTCCAGGCTGGGCTGGAGTCTGACTGAAGGAGTTCTTTTGAGGGAAGGGGAGATAAAAATCTCCAACCTCGAGCCTTTCTGAGCGGTCCAAGTTCTCACCCACGCTCTTGGGCAGAGCTGAGGAGCTGCAGGTTGTGTCGTTTATCTGAGGAGCAGAGACAGCAAATCCCTCCTGAGCTGGGGTTTTGTTATCTCGGCCCGTCCGAGAAGTGGAGCAGAGAGGGAGCAGGTTGCAAAAATCCAGCAGGGAATTGTCCTCCCCCTCCCTCCCTCCCTCTTCCCCTACCATAAAGGCCATGACAGCCACGATGCTGGGAACTATTCCATGGAGAGTCTCTCTGCAGGGAAATGGGTCATAAAAAGTCTCCCTCTTGCACAGTTTACAACAAACACACAGGTTGGTCTTAGGCAGAGCCAGGTATGGAAACCCTAATTTCCCTTAAAAGTTCTGGATTTCTGGGCAAATCACCTCAGTCAACAACAGGGGAGCGACAGAAGTCAAGTCAAACTGAAGGGAATGGCCTGAAACTGGGGAATCATGGAATGGTTTGAGTCAGACCATTCCAACTCCCACGGGGTAGGGACATCTCCCACCGTCCCAGCCTGCTCCAAGCTGGCCTTGGACTCTCCCAGGAATGGGGCAGCCACAGCTTCTCTGGTCCCAACTGCAGCCTGGACACAGCTTTGCAGGGAAGGATTTAGGGGGGGCTCACTGTGGAAACTGTGATGCTGAAGCCCAGGCAGGAGTGGAGGCAGTTTGAGGGATCCCGGTGAGTCAGCAGAGCGTCACCCCCAACCCCTCGTGCCTGAACGTCTAATCCACGATGTCATCCCGGTGTTGACACATTCCTGCCTCCTTTTACAGGGACGAGAAGATGTAATTGCTGGGTGAGATGGGCATGACTTGTACCCGGGCATGGAAGGAGCCCGAGAGTTGATCCGTGATTCACGGGAAAATCCGGGCTCGGGAGTTCTCCTTCTCTGTTTGGTTTCTTTATTTCCTTGAGCTTCAGCCCTGTCTGATCGCCCCTGCCCCACAAGAGCTGCGGAGAGGACTGAGAACACGACAGCAACACCAGCACTTTGCCCTCAGCTAGCAGTACAAAATATCACCTTAAACATTACTGTGACCCCCCCACTTCTCACAGCTCAGCTGAAGATTCCCAGGAAGGACTTAAAGACAGGGTTGATTTAAAATCTAGGGGAGGGGGGAGGGAGTTAGGAGTAAATTGAATAAGGGCAGAGGAAAAGAGGAACAGGAAAATCACCAAATCATTTTCAGGACACCACCAGGAGTGACTGGGACATGGCACTCAGTGCTCTGGTCTCATTGATGAGGTGGAAATGGGTCCAAGATTGGACTTGATCATCTTGGAGGGCTTTTTCCAACCTTAATCACCTTCTGATTCTGTTCACCTGGAGCCATTTTGTTCCAGGATTTAATACCATCAACACCACGTTGCAGAATTAGATTAAAACAGGGTTTAAAGCCACAGGTTGGGTTTGGATGACAAGGTTTTGGTGGAAAGAGGAACCAACACTGGAAGGGGTTTGCAGGCAGGACTTTGGTGCCCAGCCAGGGTCAGAAGAAGAAGAAGAAGAAGATGAGAAATCCTTGACAGGGTTGGAATTACCAATGAAGGAATTATTTGGGCTAATGCAAATCTCCCGTATCCGGTCCCATTGGGCAACTCAGCTGCAGGATTCCTGCCCTAAAACATAATCCACAGGGATTAACAATCATTTTTCCTTCACATGGAGGTTGATCACATGGAGCTCATGGGTCCCACGTGACACTGAGCACTTGGTCCTTCTGGGTCACCAGACATCTCCTGTGCTGGATCCACGTTGCCCATGACCAAATCAGCCAGTGTCACTTCCCGTGAAATACCTTCCAATCTCTTTCATAGGGAGCTGGAGGAATTAAGCTGGTATTAATAACTTATGGGACAATTACCATCGCAAAAGCACAGAGCATCAAAGGGAAAAACACGGGAAGCTGAAGCCAGCGGATAGAAATGGGCTGGGATGTGTAATTAAGAGGTGTCTCATGTCCCAGATAACCCTTTGGAAATGTATAAAAGGCTCCTCAGCCCAGCTCCCTCCACTCACTCCTCTGCTCCAACACTCCTCCATCCCCATTGCTGAAAGGGTAAGTCCAGTTTTTCTCTTCCTCTGGAGTCCCTGCCTGTTGTCCTGCAAGTTTTGGTAGAGTAGGACACTCACTCCTCACCTCTGGACCAAGTTCTTGTCCCCCCTTGGAGCTGTTTTGTTAAAGCAAATGACAATAAAGGCTTTGGGCAGGGGCTCAACTGGAAGCAAAGCAACAGAAAGGGTGGAAACCACAGGGAGAGGAAAGCCCAGAGGATCTTGTGGGAAATACAGAGAGGAGAGACAGAGAGTTTTGAGGACAAGGGACTTGAAGGTTTTCAAGCAGAAGGCGCTGGAGGGTCTGGAGTTGCTTGGGGGCAGCGAAGGTTTTGACCAATTTTTCCTCTAAAAAACAACTTGCATCCAAAAAAATTTTAGGGGGGGGAAAGGGGGCTATAAAGCATCTCCCAATCAACCCTGCTACCACTTCCTTATCCCTGAAGAACTGGAAGTCAGGAAGCAAACAGGGAATCCCCGAATGTCGATATCATCATGTCTGTCGTGGCCACTGTGACAACGTGACTGTTTCTCTCTCTCTCTCTCTGTGTCTCTCTCACCACTCCAGCTCCGCTGACAATCCAGGAAAAATGTGCTCCCGGGGTTCCTGCCACAGCCACGAGACCTCCTGCCACGAGTCCCGCTCGTCCTGCCACGACTCGGGGCCCTCCTGCCACTACACCATCCAGAGGCAGCCGGTGCAGAAGTTCGGCTACGTGACCCCCTGTTACCCCCCCGTGGGGTCCTATTGCCCCCCCGTGGGGTCTTATTGCCCCCCCGTGCAGCGTTATTGCCCCCCGGCCCCCTACTGCCCCCAGTACACCAAGAACATCTGCAAGATGCCACCCGCATACCCCAAGTATTAACGGGAGGATCCAACCCGGACCCGCCTCGGGTGCTCTCAGCGCCTAAAATATCGAATTGATGGTTCCATTTCCCCAGCCTGTGATTTGATCCTGGAGTTCCTCGTCTCTGATTAGAATTTCCTCCGAAATATAAGTCCGATTTGGTGTCGTCTGCCCGGCACGAAAGAGCCAGCTGAGGTGGTTTTCCCTGGAATGATTCCCGGCAATTGACACACGGATGTGTCAACCCAACACCCCCCCCCCCAAAAAAACCACGCAGATGAGACAATAAAATTTGATTTCCAAAAAAAACTAGAAAGAGTTTATGATCTGTTTATTTACGGTTTATGTGTTTATTTATGTATTAATCTGTTTATTCTTCAACATCTTTACCCAAGAGTCATCGACACCTCAGACTTCTGAGTCGCCCCTTCGTGTTCTCTTCTTAAAATTCAGCACCAAAAGCCCCGAAAGCTGAAAAATAATAAAAGCCAGTGATTGCAGAGACATTTCTGGGACAGGTGAATGTGCAAGGAGCTCACCTGCATCCTATTTATTTATATATTTATGTACAGAATATATATTTATATATTTATATATGGAAGGAATCCTTCCCTGTGAGGGTGGGGAGGCCCTGGCACAGCTTGCCCAGAGAAGCTGTGGCTGTCCCATCCCTGGAAGTGCCCAAGGCCAGGTTGGAGCAACCTGGCCTAGCAGAAGGTATCCCCTACCCATGTTAGGAAGTGGAAAGGGGTGATTTTAAAGGTCCCCTTCCCACCCAAACCATTCCATGATTGTATTTAGTGTAGCACTGCCTTACTCAGTCCCTCCCTCAGCAGCACCTCACACTCCACTCCTCACCCAGACTCAGAATTCCCAACATTTCGAGGTGCCTGAAAAATGCAAAGGAACACTTAGTGGTTGGGGTTTTTTTTTTACCAACCCTCCTTCTTTCACTGGGCTTCAAGTTGTTGTCTCCAGAGAAAATTGCAGGCACTTAAAAATAAATGCTAAACCTGTGTCTGCTTTTTTTGCAGCCTGGGACTCTCCTTATCTCCCCAGCTGAGCCATCTCTTCCAGAACAGGCTGGGTTCCTCCTGCCGGCGCCTTTTTGGCTGCATCAGCTTCCCAGGGAGCCCAACAACCAGACTCAGCTTAAGTTATTAAACCTGAGAGCTGAACAGGACCTTTCCTGAACGAGATTTGGCTCCGAAACGTTTCCTCAAACGCTTTTGGTTCGCTGAATCACGACCTTGTAGAAACCAGTGAAAAGAATCAGAGAGTCACAAAACCTTAAAGATCAACTCCTTCCCTGACCCCTGAGTTGTTCCTGAGGAACTCTTCTGGATAAAAGTCCCAGGAGAGGAACAACAATCACCCATTTTATTTTATTGATTCATTTATTGTCCTGAAATCTCGGGCCATTGTGAAAGAAACTTGAAAGCAAAAAAAAAAAGAAAATGAGTAAAAATGACAGAACTGCTGAAATCAGACAGGACCCCAAAGCCAGCTGGGTCCAAAAACAGGTTGCCAGGAGGGAGAAACCCTCCCACAAAAGGCTTTGAACCTTCCCCCCCTTCCTCCTTCCTTGGAGGAGGAATTAATGCTGTAGCATGAGCAAGAAACAGGTGAGGGTTTGGTGGATTCAGGAACGGAACAACCAAAAAAATCGGATCTTGGGAAGGTCCTTTCGGCGTCATCTCCAGAGCTCGTCAACAGGACCTCCCCCTAATCGAGTCCCCTGGAGCTGTGGCTGTTAATTACAGTGCCTTGTGTCAGGAATGGTGGGGAGGGGGGGGGGGGAAAACAAACAAAACAACCTCTCAATCAAAATGTGAGCGTGAGCAGACCAAGGGGCAGCACGCCGGGCTCCGAGTCAACACCTCTGGCTCGCACGTTGATGCAATCCCGGTTGCCCAACGGGACAAATCACTTTAATAACGCCAGGGTTAGGTGCATTTTTTAATGGGTCGATGCGCCCCAGCCTTCAAAATTCCCTCCTAAGCAGATTGGGAAATCCGCTGGTGTCTATTAGAGGAGGGGAAAAGTCATAATGGGTTTTCCTGACTGCGTCGAATCGGAAATGCTCAAAACCAGACACAGAAGATAAATATGAATGTGAGTGTTTGCGTCAGCATTGCCAAGGGATGCCTAATTTCTCGGACAACCCCCTTGGGAAGATATAAAAGTTGGCCGTGCCTCGTTCCTCCTTCATTCGGCATCAGCTCTCCGTGCTCTTCCTCTTGCTCCAGCGAAGGGTGAGTTGGATTATATTGGATTTATCTTCTCTTGAGCGGCAGAAGTTCACAGAGGACTAGCTCTTTGTTTAGACCTTACCTTTTGTCTTAGAAATCCCTTGGTTTCGGGGGGATTGGGTGCCTGAACGTGTCGGCTGCACGAAGGGTGCTCGTGGTTTGCTCAGAGATGGGATGATAGAAAAATAGGAGTCATGGAAGGAGCAGATCCACAAAGACACAGTGGGAGCCAGCAAGGAATTCATTCCCAAACTCGCTGGTGATGGAGGGGGAGAGAGCTCAGGCAAGTCAGTGCAGTCTGAGAAGTAAATTTTACCTGAAGCAGCATCTTGGCTGGGAAATTCCCATCAGAGCTGGACCATCATGGAATATCCCCCAAAAGCCAAGGCAGAATCACTGGCCGGGCCACAACATCCCAGATATTCCAAAACACAGGAAGACACCACTACAGGACAAGAGCCAAGGAGAAATCAGGAGGCCCTGGTGGGCCCCAGCTCTTCCAGGCTGATGGGTCTCTCTCTCTCTCTCTTCCCTCCAGCTCCCCGGCGCTCCAGAAGGAAGAACCATGTGCTCCCGCGGCCCCTGCCACGACCACGAGTCCTCCTGCCACGGATCCCGCTCTTCCAGCCACAGATCCTGGTTCTCCTGCCTCAGGTCCCGCTCCTCCTGCCACGACTCGGAGCCCTCCTGCCACTACCCCGCGGAGAGGCCGCCGGTGCCGAAATGCTCCTACGTGACGTCGTCCTGCTGTCCCCCCGCGCAGCGTTATTGCCCCCCGGGGCCCTGCTGCCCCCAGGTCCCCTATTGTCCCCAGGTCCCCTACTGCCCCCAGGTCACCTACTGCCCCCAGGTGCCCTACTGTCCCCAGTACACCAAGAACATCTGTAACCTGCCACCGGCTTGCCCCAAGTATTGACAGGATCCAGCCCCGACTCCGGCTCCGACCACGGCCCCGTCTCCTCCTCCTCCTCCTCCTCCTCCTCCCTGAAAATGCTGCCTCGTCTCTCGGGATGAAGTGTCCCCCTAATTAACATCCGTGGTGTCATTCTTCCTTAATTACTTGGGAAATGTCCTTTCTAATTATTCAGGGCCTAATTGCTGTTGGGGATCTTTGCCTGTTGCGCATTTTCTGCTTCCGACTCACCTGGGTGTGGGAAATAATAAATCTTGGCAGTTCATGAGACCCTCGTTGTCTTTGAATTTCTTTATTCTCTTTTTTTTCCTTGATTTTTTTTTTTTTTTAATTTTTTTTTTCTGAGGTCTTCACTCAAATTTCCTCATATTCTCAAAGTACCCCAGTAGTTGGTGATAAATAATTCCCACATTCATTTGGGAATGAATGGAAGACACATTAGTACACATTAGGGAATGGGCTCAAGCTGTGCCAGGGGAGGGTCAGAGGGGACATCAGGAGGAATTTCCTGCATGGAAAGGGTGGTGAGGCCTTGGCAGGGGCTGTCCCCACCCCTGGAGGTGTCCAAGGAAGGACTGGAAGTGGCACTGAGTTCTCTGGGCTGGGGGACAAGGTGGGGATGGGGCACAGGGTGAACTGGATAATCCTGGAGGTCTTTTCCAACCTCAGTGATCCTGGGACTCTGTGATAGCTCATTAAATGGAAGGGTAATAAGTAGGTCAGAGTTGCTCTTTCTCAACATGCAGTATAATTTCCTCCGAGCCCAATTTCAGACCTTGGGCATATAAATAATAAATATAAATATTTCCAAATACCTGAACACGTCTGAGCCTCCGAAAACAGAAGCCACAAACTCCCCCCTGTGAGGCCTGTGAGCAGTGGACAACAAGAACTCTTTTAGGGATCACGTTCTCTTTAACAGGACCCGAATCTGAAAGATTCAGGGATGCTTTTCGGAGTGGGTGTAACCAACAACACCCCATTTTGGGAAGGCAGTTGAGGAGGTGGAAGGATTTTTGGAGGATGTGATGCTCCAGGACAAAGCCCAGGGGAAAGAACTGTCACACCAGCACCAACTTGGGCAAGTGCAGGTCTTGGTTTGGGACCCACAACTGAGTCACAAAATGTCCCTGAGGAACTGGGGCCGTCCTCCCTTGCTCCACACAGAACTCACCACAAGCAATTACGTTGCCTGTGGCCTGAAGGAAAAGCTGCAGGATACCCACACTTTGGGAGGATCTTCTCCTCCTCAGTCAATAAATTGCTCTAATGGGCAACATTTCCCCAAGTTGATGAGTTGGGGTTTTTTTGGGGGCTTCAGAATCTGGGTCAAAGGGGGTTATAAATCCAGCCACACTTTAGTGGCCACACTTTCACCTCTAGTGATAGAACCCAATATTTGCTCCAATTTGGGCTCCAACTTTCTCTGAACCCTTTGCTTTCTTCCACTTCCCTGCAGGTGAGAGGTCAGGTGGGGGGGAAAAAAAAAACCAAAAAAACAACAAAAAAAAAGGCATAAAAATATCAGCTAAGGAAAAAGAAACCAAGGAATGGGAAAACTGAACACAAACTCCTCCCTTGTGCAGAGCTCATGGTCAGCTGTTTTCCCTCCGACCCTACGCACCAACAACCTTTGATTCATGTGGAACAATCTGATGGGATCATCCCCAACCCAAGGAAACACGTGAAGAAGAACCAGAACCATTTCCTTTTTTTTTCTTTTGCCACACCAGGGAACCGAGGAGATCCCTCCGGATTTTCCAGCTCCGTGCCGTGCCCCAGGAGTGGCGGCTGATAAATCCCACATTTCCTCTTGGCGTTCGGCAACAGGGCAAATTAAAGTCCTGAGCTGTCACCTGCGCCCAACTGGGGACCTTACCCCAGGAGTCAGCATTTCTGAGACCTTCCTGTTGTTGCTGATGCAATCCCAGTTATCCCCTGGCCCGGCTAATTAACGCCCGTCGGATTAGTGTCAGCCTCCCGAGGAAAATCCCTGCGTTAGGAATTACCCGTGGCGTGTCAAAAGAGGAAAACCCTAAAAATAGGGATTGAGAGCGGAAATGATTGCACTGGCATTGCACAGAGGTGTCTCACATCCCAGATAACCTTTTGGAGGGTATAAAAGGTCGCTCGGCCCGGCCGTCCTCAGTCGCTCGCCTTCGCTTCCAGAAACTTCTCGCTGAGGCTGAAGAGGGTAAGGCCAATTTTATCGTTTCTGCTCTGGCTGAGGGAGAAGGAAACTCCACAAGAGGGCCTCCTGGGAGCTGGGACTTGGATAAGTTCCTCCTCCCTGTGGCTCTGGGGAAGAGGGAATGGCAGGTGGAGGGATGGGGATCACCGGGAAGGTGCTCGAAGGGAGCGCAAGCTCTGAGCTCTTTCACAAGGGAGGTGGGTTTGGAAATGGGTTCGTGGAGGCTCCAGTTGGCCTGTAAGGGACCTGATTTCCCACAGCAACTCCCAGAGCACGCCCAGCAGGTCCACCGGGACTGAGAGTGAAAAAGGGAGGAGAATCCGGAGACTCCAGGCTGGAGGTCTCGAGGAAAAAAAATATTATTAAAAAGTGGGGGAGAAAACGCAGGAAGCGAACCTGGCCCTCCTCTCACCGCGCTGCTCTCTTGCTCCACTCAGCTCTGCCGACAGCTCCAGGAAAAATGTGCTCCCGGGGGTCCTGCCACGGCTACGAGTCCTCCTGCCACGGCTCCAGCTCCTCCTGCCACGGCTCCCGCTCCTCCTGCCACGGCTCCCGCTCCTCCTGCCACTACATCATCCAGAGGCAGCCGGTGCAGAAGTTCAGCTACGTGACCCCCTGCTGCCCCCCCGTGCAGCGTTACTGCCCCCCCATGCAGAGTTATTGCCCCCCCAAGCAGTGTTATTACCCCCCCGTGCAGCGTTATTGCCCCCCGGCCCCCTTCTCCCCCCAGTACGCCAAGAACATCTGCAAGATGCCACCCTCATACCCCAAGTACTGAAGGAGGATCTGAGCCCACCTCAAAAGCCTCGAGCTCAGCGCCGTGCCCGTGGCTTTCCAGCCTTTTTCCAGCCTTTTTCCAGCCTTTTTCCAGCCTTTTTTCCAGCCTTTTTCCAGCCTTCTCTGCAGGCAAACGGCCCTAAAAAGGGTTGGAGGTGACACCATTTTTGGGTGAAGCCTCTTGGTTCCACGAGTTTTTGAGCCGTTTATCCTCTTTCTTCGGACGCAACGCGCTCTCCCCCCCCGAGGGAACGGTTTCCTCCTTGCTTTTCTGCTTCAGCAAGACAATAAAAATGGTGTTTCAAGCCAGACAAACAGCTGTGGATGTTTTTAGTCACTGCTCTGTCACAGAGGATGGACCAACAAGCCAAGGCATGGGTTTGACAAGGCCGAGTGTCGAGTCCTCTGCTTGGATCTCAGCAATCCCCTGGAAAAGCTCCAGCTGGGGGGAGAGTGGCTGGGAAGCTCCAGAAGGGCCTGAGGGTGAGGGTGACGAGCCCAGGTGTGCCCAGGTGACCAAGAAGCCCGAGGGGGCACCTGGGTTGGATCAAAAATAGAGGGGGAAAAGGAGCAGAGCAGGGATTGTCCTTCTGTGCCAGGTGGATCCTCGAGTGCTGCGTCCAGGTCTGGGCCCCTCAAATCACATCAAGGGGCTGGAGAAGCAGGAGAAGGGTCTGGAGAAACTCCTGAGGGAGCTGGGGGGTCTCATCCTGGAGAAAAGGAGGCTTGGGGGGACCTTCTGGCTCTGGAATTCCCTGACAGGAGGGGGGAGCCCAAGGATCATCTCCCAGGGAATGAGGGACAGGAGGAGAGGGAACGGCCTCAAGCTGTGCCAGGGGAGGGTCAGGGGGGACATCAGGAGGAATTTCCCCATGGAAAGGGTGGTCAGGCCTTGGCAGGGGCTGCCCAGAGAGGTGGGGGAGTCCCCACCCCTGGAGGTGTCCAAGGAAGGACTGGAAGTGGCACTGAGTGCTCTGGGCTGGGGGACAAGGTGGGGATGGGGCACAGGGTGGCCTGGATGATCCCGGAGGTCTTTTCCAACCTCAGCAATCCTGGGATTCCGTGCTTGTCTGGTGGCCTCTGCGTTTTCTCGTGGGTTTGGAGCCGTGCTTTAAGAGCAGCTCAAGAGGGAGGAATGCCAAGGAAACATGAAAGCCATGGAAAAATGCCTGCAGCTCCCGGCAGCGATTCCAGGAGCACCTCACGCAGAGGGCTGGGAAGGTTAATTGCAAACAAATCCCTGCAGTGAGCTCAGCACATGCTGGGGGGGGTTCAGGTTTCCAGCCAGGAGGGGCCTGACCTGTGGATTCACGTTTTTACTTCGTGTTTCTCACCTTCCCGCTGCTGTACCTGGAAGCAAAAGCAAAGCAAATCCCGCAGGGATTTTGCAGCCTGCCTTTGGAATACCCTCAATTAAACAATTTCCCCCTTGTTAAAGGAGAGAAGGTTTCCCTGGGGTGACTCATCCACCATCAACCCATCCCAGGCATGGGAAATGGGGCTGGAACGAGCCGAGCTCGGCAATACCCACTAAATGACCAGTTGGCCTGTAGGTAATGGGAATTCCCTATTTACAGGCTGTGGAGAAAACTGTCATTACAGAGGGGGACAGGCTGAAAAGGAAAAGCTGCCAGTGGGACGCAGAGAGCAATTAATTACTCACCTTGCATGTGGGTCGTGGTCCTCGCCAAGAGGCGGCCTCATCTTCACGCGACCCTCGGCTGCTGCCCCCGAAAACTCCTTTTCTGACTCATTCCTGCCCTCCCTGCAGGTGGGTGTTGGGTTAGGGGAGCTCTGTGCCCACAGCAGTGGGTTTGATCTTCAAAGTGAGACTTTCTTTTGCTGCCCCAGCACTCCCAACTTTCTCCTCCCTGACCGACCACGGAACTTTTCTGTGCCTTGGAGCGAGGCCAGAGGAGGCCACGAGGTTGGGAAAGGGAATGGAGCCCCTCCCCTGTGGAGAAAGGCTGGGAGAGCTGGGAATGTTCAGCCTCTGGAGAGGAGAACACTCTAAACAGCCTAAAGGGACGTTTCTGCTCTGCTTTATACGTGTCAAATAACTTAACAGCGGATTTCCACAACCAGGATAAACTGCAGGAAACCCCCTAAGGATTAATGGGGAGGAATTTGTTTGCCAGCAAGGGTTGCTTCACTGCATCCATAATCCTCCAATCCAAACAGACAGAGAGGCACCTTATGGAGCATCCTAAACCGCCCCCCACTCGGTGCAAAATTGAATTGGGAATTTTTTATGTCTCCAGTTTGATTCTTTCCTTGGGTACAATCGGTGATGGGTCTCCCCTTGGGATCCCTGAAGATCCATCCCACAGAGCTCCAAACGCTTTTGATACTCACATCCAGCTCTAGCAGGATGGGGGTTTGGTAAAGGAAAGAGCAATGCACCAAATCCACACAAAGTCACACAAAAAAACTGCCTTATTTTCACCACCTCTTACTTCACCCCCCCTGCTCAGGATTCCCCGCATTCCCAGTATTGGATTCTCCTGGAATTTCTCTGCAGGCTCAGAAATCCCCTTGGCTGTTGGCAGAGGTGCAGGTGCTCAGATGGTATATAAATTTCAATCACTAATTAGATGATAATGTGTGGCACTGAGCTGGTCTCACCTGCTCATTAGCATGAAGCTGAGATCAATTAAGCCCGTGTTTTTAGCGAGCAGGAACGTTGACCTTGGAAAGACCTTGCCTGGAGAAGTGGTGACCTCACGGCCCTCTGAACCCTCCCAAGCAAGAGCAGCTCCTCGAAGCAGCCAAATCTGAAGAGAAGTTGCCCAACAGAACTGGGTGAAAACGGAGGGTTTGTGTCAACAGAAGCCAAACAGGAGGTTCACGACGACCTATCGTGCCCTCAGCGCCCAAGATTTTAGTCCTGGCTGAGCAAACACAGCCTAAATCTTCTCTCCTTCGCCTCAGCAGGACTCAGGGTGTCTCCAGGGAGGGTGCAGGACAGAGGGAGCAGCAGGATCAGCCCTTCTCCTCGGGGTGACCTCAGGCACAAAACCTTCCATCACGTCACTCGCGGTCCCAACTCCCCCTCCCCGAAATTTCCTCTGACAGCAGGGAGATAATATTTCCATAAAGATGTGTGGCTTAATTTGAAATCCTCGAGGTGCCCAGGCCATCCCTCACGCAAAAGCAGATATTAAGGTCGGTCATTAATGAATAATCACGAGGCGATCGTTGTCATCAGCACTTAATGGCTGTCCACGGGTGACTGAGAGGTGAGCACTGAGTTATTCCCGAAATCACATCCGTAGCTGGCCCTTCCATCACTCCAGGGCAGAGGGGAGCTTGGAAAGAATTGAATAGGAATTCTGCATAAACAGGATGCAAAATTTCCAGGGTGGGGTGTGGGGGGGGGGTTTTTGCATCGGGCTTTGATTTGAATGCATCAAAAAGCAGCTGGGAGTCAAAAAGGAGTCAGGGGGAAAAACGTGGACCCCGAGCTGACCCCGAATTCCGGATTTCCACGGGGAATTGGCACCGTCTTTGCACCTGAAACGTCTGATCGTGAGCTGCCAGAGCTCGGGGAGGGTTTGGGCATGGTGGGATCGCTGGGGCTGTGCGGGGCCAGCAGTTGGACTTTGGGGATCCTTGTGGGTCCCTTCCCTACCCAATCCAGGACATTCCATGATTCTATTCCAAGGCCAAGCGTCGTCCCATGCACAGATGGGATGAGGCAAGGGGGGGGATGAGACCTCAAGAGCTTTCTGTTCCATATTTGCCCTTCTGATGGCCAGAGACCCCAACTGGGCTTCACCATTTCTTCCTTCAGGCCATGGAATTCCATTTCCTGGAATTCTACTCTAAAAAAATCATTATCAAGGAGCGACCAACGTCCAGAGGCCTCTGGAATCCACTGCACCTCAACCTTAACGAGGATTTTGATGTTAATTAAGCACTCTCCAGCTGAACAAGCAGCTTTACCATATGCAAAACGAGCAGGGGGGAAAAAAAAAAAGAACCCTTTCAAGAATCCCGCAAGAATTAACTCGACATTAAAAAACTGTAAAAAATTCACACGACGAATTGATAATGACACAAAATTGAGGGGTTGGTCAAAACCCAGGAGGCAAAGGCTAAACAGCTGAAGGCCCATGGGGTGAATAAGTACGGGTTGAGTGCGTAAATCCCGAATTGCTGGGGGGTACCTCATGTCCGGCAGGACAATCCTGAGCTGAATAAAAGGTCCCCTGGTCCCTTTGCTCCTCACACAGCTTCACCTCTCAGCTGCTACGGTAAGTGGCACCTCCTAGCAGTGGTGGGGATGGTTTTGGGGGTTTGGCCAAGCAACGAGTGGAAACGTGTTCTTTGAGTTCGATCTTTGCAGGTGGGTTTTGGGGTTTTGGATTGACCTTTAGAGGTCTCCTCCCAACCCGAAGTGTTCTATGATTCCATGATCTACAGCTCTCTAGGAAATTCGGAGCTTTTGAGCCTGTTGGTCTAGCAAAAAAAAAAAAGTAGGGAGAGGAGAGTGGGAAATGAGCTTCTTGGGGTGGAAATCCAGGGAGGAGGGAAGGTGGTCGAAATCTCTCCGGGACAGCGACAGTCGGCCCGGTTTCTGGAAGGATCTTTCTTGGCGACTCAAGGGAGTTTGGGCACCTCGAGGAGCTCAGCAGGAAGCGGGGTGGGATGTGAACCACCCACAGCAGCATTTCCAGGCTAAAACAAACACCAGGCTTGGCAAGACGGGGGCCATGCCTGAACGTCCGCTGTGTTTCAGGTCCCTCATTCCGTCTGCCCTTCCACCACACTCCCAACAACATGTGCTCCACTGGATGCTGCTCCACGGGATGCTGCTCCGTCGTGAAGACCAAGACCGTGTGCTGCAGCCCCTGCCAGAAGAGCGTGTGCTGCAGCCCCTGCCAGAAAACCGTGTGCTGCGAGCCGTGCCAGAAGAGCGTGTGCTGCAGCCCCTGTCAGCAGTCCTGCTGCTGCGACCCGTGCCAGAAGAGCGTGTGCTGTGAGCCGTGCCAGACCTGCTGCGACCCGTGCCAGACCTGCTGTGAGCCGTGCCAGAAGACTGTGTGCTGTGAGCCATGCCAGAAGAGCGTGTGCTGTGAGCCGTGCCAGACTTGCTGTGACCCGTGCCAGAAGCCTTGTTGTGACCCATGCCAGACCTGCTGTGACCCATGCCAGACCTGCTGTGACCCGTGCCAGAAGCCCTGCTGTGATCCATGCCAGACCGTGTGCTGTGACCCATGCCAGAAACCTTGTTGTGACCCGTGCCAGACCGTCTGCTGTGACCCATGCCAGAAGCCCTGCTGTGACCCATGCCAGAAGCCTTGTTGTGATCCATGCCAGACCTGCTGTGACCCGTGCCAGAAGCCCTGCTGTGACCCATGCCAGACCTGCTGTGACCCGTGCCAGAAGCCCTGCTGTGACCCGTGCCAGAAGCCCTGCTGTGACCCGTGCCAGAAGCCCTGCTGTGACCCATGCCAGAAGCCATGTTGTGATCCATGCCAGACTGTGTGCTGTGACCCATGCCAGACCTGCTGTGACCCATGCCAGTCCTGCTGTGACCCGTGCCAGAAGCCCTGCTGTGACCCATGCCAGACCTGCTGTGACCCGTGCCAGAAGCCCTGCTGTGACCCGTGCCAGACCTGCTGTGACCCGTGCCAGCAGCCCGTGTGCTGCACCAAGGTGTGCCAGAAGTCGGTCTGCTGCGTCCCACGGCCCTGCTGCTGCTCCTCCTGCTGCTCCTACGTGGTGAAGAAGAAGCCCGTGGTGGTGTGCTGCAGCCCCGTGCAGTGCTGCACCTCCGTCAGGAAGTGCTGCGTCCCCTGCATCCCCATCCAGCAGTGCTGCATCAAGAAGAGCTGCTGAGCCGCCCCTGGCGTGGCAAAGGCACCTCTGCCAGCTCCAGCAACGAGAACAGGAGATGAAAACCTGCTCCTCTGCCTCTGGTGCTCATCGTGATGGAGCCAACACGTAGTGATTTTCCTTTCCTTCTTCTTCTTCTTTTCAAGCTTAAGCTGCTGCTTCTTCCTGTCCTTTAGTTATTATCTCCAATTTATCAGCCATTGTGTAAGGCAAAGAGCCGTTAGATATTAGTGGGGTGTTAACTCTCTTCTTGGTGTTTGGGACTTGGGAGACCTTTGCTGGTGATGGGATCCCTCTTCGCTCCCTCCCTTGGCTTGTAGACAATAAAACTGAGCATTACTCAAAACGCAACACCTGCTCCTTTGGTTGTTCTTTCCGCGAGTTTCACCCGGAGTTTGTCCTGGTTGCGGTGCCCTCCTGGCTGCAGGTGAGCTCCAGTGGCACAGCAGGACATTCAGGGAACAAAGATCTGCGTGGTTTGCTGGTGGGAGTTGGGTCGTGTCTGAAGGCAGCGAGCAGAGCAGCCTGAGCCACCGGAATGGGCTGCCCGGAGAAGCTGGGGCTGCCCCGTCCCTGGGAGTGTCCAAGGCCAGGTTGGAGCACCCTGGGATAGTGGGAGGTGTCCCTGCCCGTGGCAGGGGGTGGGACTGGATGATATTCAGTGATGTCCCTTCCAACTCAAACCATTCCACGATCCTAAGATCCCTTCTCGCCCCTCCCGATCTGCCACAACACATCGGTGTTTGCTATAAAACTTAAAAAGGTTAAGGTAATTAAAACTCATATTGCAGGGACTGATAGAGGCACGATCCCACCGCCTGGAAACACAACCACTCCATAAATCATGGAATCATGGAATGTCCTGAGCTGGAAGGGTCCCACAAGGATCATCCATCCAACTCCTAACCCTGCACAGACACCCCAACAATCCCCCTGTCCCTCAGAGCGTTGTCCAAACCCTCCTGGAGCTCTGGTAGCCTTGGGGCCGTGCCCACTGCCCTGGGGAGCCTGGGCAGTGCCCAACCACCCTCTGGGGGAAGAACCTTTTCCTAAAATCCATCCTAACCCTGCCCTGGCACAGCTCCAGCCCCTTCCCTGGGTCCTGTCACTGCTCACACAGAGCAGAGATCGGAGCTGCCCCTCGGGAGGAGGTTGTGGACCCCAATGAGACTTACAGGAGCTCCCTTACATTGCCAAGGGCATTTCAGCAGGCACTGAGAGGAATTCACTACTCACTGAGCACAGGCAGCATCTTCTTCCACCACCATCTTGCCCAGATAAAAGCCCAAAAACCACCCGGAGCTGTCCTTAGGTGAGCAGAGCGTTCCCCGCGCCTTCCCCGACTCCCAGCACGGGAGTGAAACCCGGGGCTCAACACAACAACTGAAAAGCTTCATTCCTGGAATAGCCCACACATGAGTCAGGTGATGCCTTTCCTCCCTGGCTGGGACTTTCTTTGCTATTAAAATGCAGGAGTCAGGCCTGAATTGCACGTCTGGGGAAGGTGCCTCGAGCGCCCGGCTTGATTGCTTCCTCAATCTGCCTTAGAATCATCGTCCCTACCTGTTTAACTCTTCTGAAAACATTTCTCAGGCATTCAAGAGGTTTTTAAGAAGAGGTACAATGCAGGCAGGAGAATATTTTATACCATAGCTAGAGCAGAAGTGCCTCGGTTAAGGGAAATCTTGTGATTATTTAATTTCATCATGGAATCGTGGAATGGTTTGGCTCAGAAGGGACCTTAATAATCATCTCATTCCACCCATTGCCATGGGCAGGGAACACCTCCCACTAGTCCAGGTTGTTCAGAGCCCCATCCAACCTGGAAAAGCTGCAGGGTCAGATCCTGCCCCGTTTCACAAAGGTCCTGCGGGTCCCAAACTCAGGGAACCACCACAGAAGTTCACAAGACATCACACACGTAAAAGGGACTTGATGGAGGTCTTGATGGAGATCTTATTTCTGACCCAGCTGTAAATTAAATGGCATTTAACAGCAGGAAAAAATGCCAGAAATGCTGGGAGTGTTGGGGTGGTTCAGCCTGGAGAGGAGAAGGTTCCAGGGAGAACCTCAGAGCCCCTTCCAGTGCCCCAAAGGGCTTCAAGAGAGATGAATGAGGGACTTTGCTCAAGGGATTGGAGGGACAGGACAAGGGGGAAAGGCTTCCCACTGCCAGAGAGGAGGTTTAGATTGGGTATTGGGAAGGAATTCCTCCCTGGGAGGGTGGGCAGGCCCTGGCACAGCTTGCCCAGAGAAGCTGTGGCCGCCCCTGGATCCCTGGGAGTGTCCAAGGCCAGGTTGGACGGGGCTCTGAACAACCTGATGTCATTGAAGATGTCCCTGCCCATCCAGGAGGGTTGGATTAGACGATCTTTGGTCTCCTCTTCCAACCCTAACCGTTCTACATCCCTGTGCTTCATAAAATCCTCATTTCTGCGATGATTGGGACCATCTTGGCCGACAAATAAACAATAAACCCCGACAAAAACGTGATTAATGACTTTTTACTCAGGGGGGCAGATGTCTGAGGGTTTACACAGGCAGGATGCTGCTTCCTGCAGGCAAGTTTCTGGCTTATTATGCGGTGACCTAACCAGTGCTCCCCTGGGGACAATTCCAGAAGGGCCACCCAACGTCACGGGAGGTCACGGTCGCATCCTGGGAAGACACATCACGTCCCAGCCACCAGGGGATCACCTGCCACCACATCAGCCCCACCGTCAGAGCCTGCTGGAGGTGATTTGCCCATGAGTAGGCGCTGCCTCAGCACCTTGGAACTCTTGTCTTTTGCTGGTGGCCCCCCTCGTGACATGAAAATAACATCATCACCTTCTTCTCCTTCTTCTTCTTCTTCTTCTTCTTCTTCTTCCTCTTCTTCTCCTTCTTCTTCTTCTTCATGTTCTTCTTCCTCTTCTTCTTCTCCTTCTTCTTCTGCTTCTTCATCTTCTTCTTCTTCTCTTCTTCTTCTTCTTCTTCTCCTTCTTCATCTTCTTCTTCTTCCTCTTCTTCTCCTTCTTCTTCTTCTTCTTCTTCCTCTTCTTCTTCTTCTTTTTCTTCTTCTTCCTCTTCTTCTTCTTCTTCTTCTTCTTCCTCTTCTTCTTCTTCATCTTCTTCTTCCTCTTCTTCTTCTCCTTCTTCTGCTTCTTCATCTTCTTCTTCTTCCTCTTCTTCTTCTTCTTTTTCTTCTTCTTCCTCTTCTTCTTCTTCTCCTTCTTCTTCATCTTCTTCTTCCTCTTCTTCTTCTCCTTCTGCTTCTTCATCTTCTTCTGCTTCCTCTTCTTCTTCTTCTTCTTCTTCTTCTTCTGCTTCTTCATCTTCTTCTTCTTCTCTTTCTTCTTCTGCTTCTCCTTCTTCTTCTTCTTCCTCTTCTTCTTCTTCTTCTTTCTCTTATTCTTCCTCTTCTTCTTCTTCTTCTTCTTCTTCTTCTTCTTCTTCTTCTTCTTCTTCTTCTTCTTCTTCCTCTTCTTCTTCCTCTTCTTCTTCTTCTTCTTCTTCCTCTTCTTCTTCTTCTCCTTCTTCTTCATCTTCTTCTTCCTCTTCTTCTTTTTCTTCTCCTTCTTCTTCTCCTTCTCCTCCTCACATGGGGTTGTCCTGGCTCGGCACGTGGCCACAATTCCTTGTGTTCTCGTGCAGTGACACGGAGCCAAACCACGTGAAACTCTCAAAAGCCATGGCCACAAGTTGTCTCCAAAGTCAGGAATGACCTCAGAAAATGGAACCTCACGCCTCCAGTACTGACTGCCTTGAGAGATGCTTAGTTTAGATTTGATCCACCTGTTCTATGGATGAAAACCAAAAAAAAAAAAAAAACCTTAATATATAACAGAAATAAAAAGCAGGGAGTTTGAGGGCCCAGCACCCCGAAGGGAGACCCAAGAGCAAGACTGAGAAAGGAGAAACCCTTCAGCCTAAATTTTGGACAGCAAAACCAGGATTCCCACTGACCAATAGTTTCCACTGGTGTGTCCCCCCCAAAAAATTCCCCACCAAGGGCAGAGGGGATGAATGAGCAGGGACATTCCCAAGTTCCAGGCGTGGTTCTCCCACTGCTTCAGCCCCCACCCAGCCCCGGGCACATTGCTGAGAGTGTCCCGAGGCCATTCCCGGGGAAATTGGAGCTTCCTCAGAGCTGCCTCCGGTGCCATTAACGCCAATTCATTGGCAAATTTGCGTCTGTTGTTCGTGTGGAGGAGTAATTACCAAGAGGGCAGGATTGAGGAGGTGAGCAAAAGGAAAGAGGTGAAGATTAAACCCCCGGAAGACACGTGGGAAGGATGTGCTGGGTGATCCCCTTACCCCCCCAGGGGAGTCAGAATAGCCAAGGAATGCCTCATTTCCAGGGGGGGAAGGCTTTGGATTGTATAAAAGGGCTCCCTGGCAGAGGGGTCTTCATTCACACCTCTCCACTTCTCTCCAGGCCTCACTGGTCGCCAGGGTAAGTTGGAGTTTGCTGCTTGCCTTCACTTTTGGGCTGGGTTTCTGCGGGTTTCTGCAGGATTTTTTAGTAGTGCCTGGTTTGGGACCAGGTGCTACAGAAGATCTGGGGAGCAGGAATTGGGTTTGGGACCAGAGGTTGGTTTTGAGACCAGATATTGGTTTTGAGACCAGAGGTTGGCTTTGAGACCAGAGGTTGGCTTTGAGACCAGAGATGGGTTTGGGACCAGAGATGGGTTTGGGACCAGAGATGGGTTTGGGACCAGAGATTGAGTTTGGGACCAGAGATTGGAGACCAGAGATGGGTTTGAGACCAGAGATGGGTTTGGGACCAGAGATGGGTTTGGGACCAGAGATTGAGTTTGGGACCAGAGATTGGAGACCAGAGATGGGTTTGAGACCAGAGATGGGTTTGAGACCAGAGATGGGTTTGGGACCAGAGATGGGTTTGGGACCAGAGATTGAGTTTGGGACCAGAGATTGGAGACCAGAGATGGGTTTGGGACCAGAGATGGGTTTGGGACCAGAGATTGATTTGGGACCAGAGACTGAGTTTGGGATCAGAGGTGGGTCTGGGACCAGAGATTGATTTGGGACCAGAGACTGAGTTTGGGACCAGAGGTGGGTCTGGAACCAGAGATGGGTTTGGGTACTGTCTGGGTGGTTTCTCTCTGATGGAACCAGTGCTGGACCAGGTGCTAAAGCCATGTTTCTCCAATGCAAAAATGTGGAGATCTCCGGGACAGGCTGTGCTGGGACTCTGGACACCAGGCCACACTTTGGGATGGACTTTGGGATAAGAATGCTTTAAGCAGGGCTATCCAGGTAGAAAAAAAAACCAAAACAAAAACCCCAAACTCTGCTTTCCTTCCAGCTTTTGCCAACACTCCAACCACCAAGATGTCCTGCTGCGGAGGAGGAAGCAGCTACTCCGTGACCTGCTACAGCAGCCCCAAGTCCTGCAAGAGGCCCATGTGCTGCTCCCCCATGCAGTGCTGCAGCCCCTGCTGCACCCCCTGCTGCATGCCCATGCAGTCCTGCTGCATGCCCATGTGCTGCTACACCATGAGCAGCAACAACAACAACGGCTGCTGCGGCGGCGGCAACGGCGGCTGCTGCGGCGGCGGCAACTGAGCCCTCCCCGGCTCCTCCCTCTCCCCTGGATTTGGATGTGGATAACAACCCTCCCTCCTTCACTTAGAGATGTAGATCTTCCCTTCTCTCCCTGCCTGCCAGGTGCTTGTGAAGGGCTTTGAAGCCACCAACATGATTCTCCTTCGCCGGCCCCCGGCCCCTGCTCTTCGCTTTTCCTTCTTGGGGTGTGGGATGTTTTGAGTTCTTTCCATCGCTGTTTTTGCTTCGAGCTGTCTGAAAAGCAAAACCCCCAATAAACTGTAGTTTGTGAGCCCTGCAAAACCTCCTGGAGTTGGTGTGTTTGTTCTGGTACCTCTGTGGGCAGTATTTCCCCCCCACCCCAGCCCATGACAAAGAAATGGGGAGGAAATAGGAGAGGAGAAGGTGGTGTGGAGACTTCAGAGCAGCTTTCCAGTGTCTGAAGGGGCTGCAGGGTTTTTCATCAGGAACTGGGGTGACAGGACAAGGGGGATGGGTTCAAGGTGAAAAAGGGAAAATTTAAGTTGGATATTGGGAAGAAATTCCTCTCTGTGAGGGTGGGGAGGCCCTGGCACAGCTTGCCCAGAGAAGCTATGGTTGCCTCATCCCTGGAAGTGTCCAAGGCCAGGTTGGACACTGCTTGGAACAACCTGAGCTACTGAAAGGTGTCCCTGGGGGTGGAATGGGATGAGCTTTAAGGTCCCTTTGAACCCAAACCATTCTGTGACCCCTGTGAAAAAAATACAATGGACTCGTGAAGGACGTGAGCCCCTTCTGGAACAATCTGACACAGGAAAGCTCCCCAGATTTCAAGCAGCCAGAGATCTGCCTCAGGACCTGCAGGCAGCCAAATAAACAGTTTGGCACTTAGGAGATGGAGGTCTTGCCTCTGCTGAAACATCTGAGTAGCCAAACACAGAGTTGAAGTGGGAGGGACAAATCCTGAGAAAGCTCCACCACCTTCAGGGAGTGACAGGATCAGCTGGAGTTGAACCAAACCCTTCAAAATCTGCCCCACAGCCCCTTTTTATGCATTTAATGCCCTTTTCCCACTCTGTTTTCACATTGATGTGTCCCTTCTTTGCATTATGATCCTTATCCTGCTCCCCAAAGGTGGTTACACCGACAGCTGGACACGACTCCCCTGGGTTGGAAATGCCCCCCCTAGATCAGCCCTTCTCACAGTTGCAGGGCTTGCCCGTGGAAAATTTCCCTCTGGAGGCTCAAGTGAAGTGTTCCCCTCCACTTCTGCCCCATTAATAACTCCCTGTAAGTGAATAAATAAATCAGTTCTCTCGGGCTGGCAAGTTGGTTCCTCCTCGGAGGGGACCTGCTGGGGAGGAAATGCCACTCGTGTTCTCCTGCCCTGCCTGCAGAAGTTGCAATTACAAGGCTTGTTCTCCAGTATTTCACCCAAGGAATTATTCCCGTGCCAGGGAAGCCTGGAAAGGAGCTGGCAGCGTTTCCTGCAGGGCTGAAACAGCACTAAAAAAAAATCTGCTCCCCAGCCCTGGCACTGGGAGAGAGCAAACCAAGACCACCGTGGCCATCCTGGGGGCTGGGGGCAGCTCACCCGAGAGGACCCCTCTGCAGAGCACCCCAGGGATGCCCAGGGAGCAGAGGAAGCACAGGGGAACTCGCCAGGCAGGCTCCACCATCCTCTCATTAGGCAGCTCTTCAGGATAATGCCCGAGCTCCTCAGAGCGGGAGCTGCAATTTCAGAGCGTGGAGAAAAAAAAAACAATTCCTCCCCAACCCCCCCTCCATTCCTGCCAGGGCTGAGCCCCACAGCAAAGTGTTCAACAAGGATTCATCCACCCTGCCCAAGGCTCTGCCTTGCCTTGGCCTTCCTCCCTTCCTCTTCCCCTCCCAAGGAAATGGTTTCACCTCCTCAAAGTCTCAGCAGAGTTCCTGCCTCCCACTCAGGGCCGGTTTTCTGGGCTGGACACCTCAAACTTCTCACTTTTTTGTGCTCCTTCCATTTCCAGCACCCACAGAGGGTCCTGCACCAATTTAAAGCCCCCTCCCCTCCCTGGTGAGGAGCTGAGGGTGGTCCTTTTTGGGGCAGCCAGGGCTCAGCAAAGAGGGTTTCAGGTGGATGATGGAAGGGGAGGTTGCAGGAGGGACTCGCTGACTTGAATCACACCCAGTCCCAGATCAGTCTTGCACAGGCAGAGCTTCCCCGCTCAATTTTTAGTTAAAAAGAGAAACATTAATAAAATATTAATAAAATATTAATAAAATATTAATAAAAATAATAAAAATAATTAAAATAATAAACACCATTATGAATATTCAGAAGGGAATACTCAATACAGAGGCTGGAGGATTTGCAGAAGTTTGGGCAAACCAAAAATCAAAGGTGGTTTTGGCACCCCAAAGATGTTCTCGGGGCGCAAGGCCGGGAAAATTGGGATTGTTCAGCCCGGAGAAGAAAAGCTTTGGGGTGACCTGGCTGTGGCCTTTCAGGACCTGAAGGGATCCTTCAAGAAACACGAGGAAAAACTATTTAGAAGGGCCTGGAGTGACAGGAGGAGTAGGGGTGGGTTCAGACTGACAGAGAGGAGGTTTGGATGGATATTAGGAAGGAATTTTTCCCTGTGAGGGTGGGGAGGCCCAGGGAAGCTGTGGCTGCCCCATCCCTGGGAGCATCCAAGGCCAGGTTGGAGCAACCTGGGCTGGTGGGAGCCGTCCCTGCCCATGGCAGGGGGGGGAAATGGATGCTCTTTAACGTCCCTTCCAGCCCAAACCATCCCAAGACTCCGCGACGTTCGCAGGAGTCACGAGCCCCAAACGCTCCCTCCTCACGTGAGGAGGAACAAACAGCCCCCATTTCCCGTGACACCTTTCCACCCAACCCCGCGTTTCAAACACCAGCCTGATGAAACAACCAACCCAAATCCCGAGGCCCAAAGACACGAGGTTTCTGTTTTCGGGTCTCGCACTGACTCAGCAGCGGAGGGTGCTGAGTAAGTCCCGGAACATCCCCGGCCCTCGGCGCCCGCCTTTGTCCAGCAGATAGGAGGGTGCATTTTTCTGGCTCCCCTTGCAAGGTTGTGGGGAGGACAAATTCATCAGTATTCATAGCAGCCCTCTGATTATCTGCAGGCTAAAACAATTATGGGGCCCCGACGGAGGAAGGTGGTGATCAACGAGTAATGGGGCGAAATGCAAATACCAGGAGACACGTAGGGCTAAAAACTATGGGTTTGGGTGGGTAAATAGGGGAAACTGGGATGGTCAATGGCTGTCTCACTTCCAGGAGGAAGGTGTTGAGGACTATAAAAGGTCTCCTGGCCCGGCTCGCTTCATTCGCTCGCCTTCTCCTCCCTTCACGTCTCCTCACTCTTCAGCAGGGTAAGTGAGACCTTCTGAATCTCCCCTCATTTCCCAAAAGGAAAATTTGGGTATCTGGGAGCAGTAGCTGGATCTAACTGGGGAGCTGGGGTGGGGTTTGGGAGCTGGGCTCCTGGAAACTCTGCACGAGGAGTTACGAGGGCTGGGAATGTTAAAAGGAGGCTCCGGGAGCATCCCAGGGGATGGAGAACATTCCAGGAGGGCCCAGACTGAGGGCTGTGTGAACTGGGCTGGGTTGCTCTCCCTGGGAAATTGGGGATGCCCTGGAAGGAGGAGGTGGGACCGACACTGCAGGAAAAAGAGGAGTTACAATCAAGATTTACAGAACGAGGCAAGGTTTGATTTCACCTCCTCAAACGTCCCAAGTTGAGCATAACCAGGGCTTGGAATGAATTTTGTATTTCCAAACCTCCTGTTCCTGGTCACAGACGCTCCCTCTGCTCCTCCCAGCTTTGCCCTGAGTGGTTTCTCTCTGATGGAACCAGTGCTGGACAATACTCCAAGTGCAAGGGTGTCCAACCCAAAAATGCCCTGGAGATCCCAGGGACAGGCTTATCCTGGGATCCTGGACACCAGGGACTTTGGGATGGACTTTGGGATAAGGAGGCTTTAAGCTGCCTAAAGAACCAGGAGATTCAGGCAGAGAAAAAAACCCAAACTCTGCAGTTCCAGCTTCCTGGGGAGGGGCAGAGGAGGGGGAAGGACTGAGCTCTCCTCTGGGAGGACCAGGGACAGGACCCCAGGAGTTGTGTGAGGGCAGGCTCAGGTTGGATCTCAGGGAAAGATTCTTCCCCCAGAGGGTGGTTGGGCACTGAACAGGCTCCCCAGGGCAGTGGGCACAGCCCCGAGGCTGCCAGAGCTCCAGGAGGCTTTGGATGATCCTCTGGGCCACAGGGTGGGACTCTTGGGGATGATCCTGTGCAGGGCTGAGGGTTGGACTGGGTGGTCCTTGCGGTTCCCTTCCAGCTCAGCAGATTCTGCCATTCTGTGCTCCTCCTTCCCAGCTTTGCCAGCTCTCCAACCGACGAGATGCCCAACGGAGGCTGCGGCTGCTGCGGAGGAGGCAGAAGCTACTCCGTCACCTGCTACAGCAGCCCCAAGTCCTGCAAGACCCCCGTGTGCTGCTCCCCCATGCAGTGCTGCAGCCCCTGCTGCACGCCCATGCAGTCCTGCTGCATGCCCATGACCTGCTGCTACACCATGAGCAGCAACAACAACAGGGGCTGCTGCGGCGGCTGCTGTGGTGGCAACTAAAACCCCCCCCTGCCCGCTGCCCTCCCGGCTCACCCTGTGCTTCTGGACGTGGATTTGGATATGGACACCACCCCTGCTTTGCTTACAGACCGTAGATCTCCTCTCCTTCGCCTGCTTTTGGTCACCCACTGCTTGTGCAGTCGCTGCCCGGCCGTGGGTGGGATCCCCCTCCTTGATCCCCCTCCTTGAGCCCCCGAGCCCCCTGTTCCTCTCCCCTCCGGGTGTGTGGGGTGTTTGATGCTGCCAATTCTCCCTTTTCCTCCCTTTAGCCCCTAATTAGTCATGAATCACAATAAAACGTGTCAGTTATGATCCTGCAAACTCCTGGCTGATGTTTATTCATTTAACTCTCTTTGTCTTTTCAACCCGAGCTCCAGGCTGGGACGTTTTTAAGCATTTGTTTAATTTCTCAATGTGATTAATTTTGCAACTTCTTTGTCATTCTGCTGACGACAGCACCCCAGAGTGGTGAAATTCTCTCGTGCAGGGGGAAAAGCAGGACTTGTCGGTGTTATTTCTTGATCACCCAGTTTCATTCTCTTACCCCTGCTTTGACTTTGAAGACATCGTTTGCAATCAAAGCATCTGTGCTGTCCTAAAGCTAAAGGTCTTTTCTCCTGATGGAACCCTTTCCAGGGAATTTGCTGAGATTTGAAAGGTTGGATGAACCTTTTAAGAGGTTTGATATCTTGTCAGTAAGGTTAAATAGAGCAGGAAGTCATTGGAAGAATCCTAGAATGGTTTAGGTTGGAAGGGACTTTAAAGATCATCTCATCCCACCCCCCTGCCATGGCAAGGGACACCTCCCACCAGACCAGGCTGCCCAGAGCCCCAGAGATAAATCCAGCCTGAAGGATTCAGAAAAAGCACCTAATTTATCTGGGATTCTACTCAAACGTGGCAAAATTTGAGAGGCAAGATTAAGGAATTAAATATTTGCACTTGGTGATTTGTGACATCCTCAGGAAAGGGAAGTGACTCCAAGTGCTTTAAATCCAAGCCCAGAATAATCTTGGGGCACTGGGAACGAGTTCTAAACCTAAAATCCTGGTTGGCCCTGTCAGGTACCAAGTTCTTTTCCACTGTCCCTGCAGCTATGGAATAAATTATCTCCAGCAGAGCTCCAGGTCCAAGCACCGCCCTGAGACCACGCCCCTGAATTCTGCACATGCTTTTCCCGGTGATTCAGACCCAAATTCCACTGCACAAACCTCTGAGCATCCCTTGGAGAGGCTCCACCGTGGAGGGGAGTGAATGGAAGTGCCTCCTGCCCCGAGGGCCGCTGGGAGAGATGTTTTCCTGGTCCTTAAAAAATGCCTCAACGGAGCAGCTGAGCTGAAAAAATGGGTCAAAGGAAAATGTCAGAAAGGTGGCTGCGCTGGAATTGTTGGTCCATGAGGTCACTGCTCCTCTGGCTGCCCTCATTCCGGATTTTCCACACATAAAAGCGGATTTTCCACACGTAAAAGGCTCGTCCTCGCTGTGCAGTCACTCACTTGGCCGGGGTGCTCCCGACCTGGGAAGGGAATGAATTCGTTTAAATAAGGGTTAAAAATAAATAAAAAGGTTTAAAATAAATAATAATAAAAAAAATCAGTTAAATAAACATCCCATCCCCCAGCCTGCCCTGCTCCATCCCTGCTCCTGGTGTGTCCGTAGGGATCCTGTGTTTGGAGCTCCAGCCTTCCAGTCACACACACAGGGCAGGCAGTTCCTCATGGTCCTGATGTCACCCTGGAGTCCCTCCCCACCCCGTGCTCTTGGAAGGACTCCCGAGCCTTCCTGTGGTTTTCCCACAGCCTCTTTTTTTGGGCACCTCACTCAGCGTGCCGGCATTCCAGGTATCCTTCATCCCAGGATCCCATGGGACTGACAGGAGGGAACAGCACACCCGAGCATGACCAGTGGCACAGCTAATTAGATAATGGGGCCACTGCACATGCAAAGGGGCTGAGCTGACGTTCCAGCCAGGGAGATGCTAATTGGGGCTGATTAATCCGACAGCAAGTGCCAGGAAAAAAAAAAAAAAAAACAACACACACACACACACACACACATGGCCATGGCAGAGCTGGGCTCCTCATTCCCAGGGCATGTCTCATTCCCAAGAGAACTCGGCCACATATAAAAGCTTTCAGCCCCGGCTCTGTCCCCAGGACTCCGACTCCCTGCCCAGCCCGTCCGTCCTGCTCCCAAGGGTGAGTTGGATTCTCTCGGCTCTCTCAGGTTCCTCACGATTTTTTCACAGAAATGGAAAAAAAAAAAAACAAACAGAAAAACAAAAGGAGTTGTGGTGTGGTTTGGTTTGGTTGGTTTTTTCCCCCCAAGATGGTTTATTCCTTGAGGGGCTTGTGAGTCACACGAGGAGAAACTCCTGAGGGAGCTGGGGGGGCTCAGCCTGGAGAAAAGGAGGCTCAGGGGGGACCTTCTGGCTCTGGAATTCCCTGACAGGAGGGGGGAGCTGAGAGGGGTCAGGCTCTGCTCCCAGGGAACAGGGACAGGAGGAGAGGGAACGGCCTCAAGCCGTGCCAGGGGAGGGTCAGGCTGGGCATGAGGAGGAATTTGTAGCTGGAAAGGGTGGTGAGGCCTTGGCAGGGGCTGCCCAGGGAGTTTTGGAGTCCCCACCCCTGGAGGTGCCCAAGGAAGGCCTGGAACTGGCACTGAGCGCTCTGGGCTTGATGGGGCCAAGCTGGGGATGGGGCACAGGCTGGATCCATGGGCTGGGAGGGCTTTTCCAACCTCCAGGATTCCAGGAATGACCGTGGTGATCTCTGCCTGCCTCCCCCCCTCCAGGATGCGCTACCAGAAAAGCCTCGGCGAGCAGGACTCGTGCCACGATGGGATGGGCTGGACACAACCCCTCCATGGGGAGCCTCAGCCACGACCTCGAGGGGTCCTGCCAGAGCCCCCCAAAGGGCTGCCAGCCCCTCCAGGAGCCGTGCCCGCCCCAGCAGCAGCAGCAGCAGAGTTGCAAGCCCCGCCGGCGGGTGGAGGTGAACCACTCGCCCCTCGCCTGCCCCCCGCCCGTGAGGATCCACCGGAGGCCCCTCCAGCAGTACCGGCCATCCCCGCCCTGCCAGGACCGGGACGGAGGTGGCAAGCCCAGGAGGAGGGTGGAGCAGTGTCCCCCCGAGGATGACAGCGACAGTCCCCCCGTGGTGCTGCAGCCCCTGCCCCTGCAGCATCGCTGCCCCCAACCCGTCCAGCGGTGCCCCGCCCTGCCCGTCCAGAGGTGCCCCCCGCCCGTCCAGAGGTGCCACCCGGCCCCCATCCCCCTGCCACCACACCCCGGCCACCACCAGCACAAGCAGGTCACTCTCTTGCCGCCCTGCCTGCAGAAGTGCTGAGCACGGGGACAGCGAGGTGCTGGGGGACCCCTCACTGGGGCCTGAGACCCCTCCCCAGTGCCTGGGACCCTTCCCGGGGTTTGAGACCCCTTCCCATCACCTGGGACCCCTTCTCGGGGTCTGGGATCCCTCTCCACCGTCTGAGACCACTTCCCGGGGTCTGGGGCCCCTCCCCAGCATCTGGGACCCTTCCTCAGCATCTGGGACCCCTCACTGGGGCCTGAGACCCCTCCCCAGTGCCTGGGACTCCTTCCCGGGGTTTGAGACCCCTCCCCAGCATCTGGGACCTCTTCCCGGGTTCTGGGACCCCTCCCCAGCATCTGGGACCCCACCCCAGCACCTGGGACCCCTCACTGGGGTCTGGGACCCTTCCCCAGCATCTGGGACCCCTTCCCGGGGTCTGGGACCCCTCTCCACCACCTGAGACCCTTCCTCAGCATCTGGGACCCCTCACTGGGGTCTGAGACCCTTCCCCAGTATCTGGGACCCCTCTCCATCACCTAGGACCCCTTCCCAGGGCTCTGGGACCCCTCCCCAGCATCTGGGACCCTTCCTGGGGTCTGGGACCCCTCCCCAGCACCTAGGACCCCTTCCCCGAGTCTGGGACCTCTCCCCAGCATCTGGGACCCTTCCTGGGGTCTGGGACCCCTCCCCAGCACCTGTGACCCTTCCCCAGCATCTGGGACCCTTCCCCAGCATCTGGGACCCCTCTCCATCACCTAGGACCCCTTCCCAGGGTCTGGGACCCCTCCCCAGCCTCTGGGACCCCTCCCCATTGTGTCCCCAGTCAGTGCTGGGAGGGGGGGGTTCACTCCTTGTCCAAATGATGCTCCCGTGGCTGATTGGTTTCATTGCTGCTCTTTGCACATCGTCAAAAGATTTGGGGTCCCAACCCCCACCCTGCTTGGCCCCCAGCACTGACACTTTAAATTCCCAGCTCCCCCCCTGGAGATGGAGGAACATCCTGCCACGGATTCACCTTCCTCCCGTGGGTTTGGTGGACTTTGATGTTTGGGAACAGCAACAGGACTTTACCGGGGAGGGGGAAAAAAACAAACAAAAAAAAAAGTAACCACTGTGACTGCAGGAGCATCAGGGACTCTCCTGTACATTTATTTTCTCTCCCAGTGTGTTCGAGAATAAAGCTGGAAAAAAAAAATTAGCAGACACTTGGTTCCTTTATTTTATTATTTATTTTTTAACGCAAAAAAAAAAAAAGCCACTAAAATTCTCTCCACGAGGAAAATTCGAGTCGAAATCAGGGTTCACACCTGAGCGTTTCAGCTCCGGATCTGCCCCCCCTGAGTTGTTCCAGCGCCTTTCCTCGCCCCGCAGAGCCCCGCGCGAGGGAACAACACCCTCAATTTAAATGCTAATCACCCGAAATGAGCGCGCGTGGCCCCGGCACGTGAGGTGTGGCTGTGCGTGCCAGGGATGCCTTTTCACCCCTGCAAGGAAGATGCAGCCCCGGCTCTTCCCCCGCTCAGCGCCTCCCAGGCACTGGAAAGCTGCTTTTTTTTCTTCTTCCCTCTCTCACTTTGCCAGAAAAGCCTCCCACAAAGTGCATTAAAATATCTTGTGTTGTTGCTCAAGCGTGTCCTCGCTGAACCCCCCCGGGGGGGAAAACTGGAAAGGAGGAAAAAAAAAAGGAGTTTCTTCTCCTTTTTTCTTTTTTTTTTTTTCTTCTTTTTTTCTTTTTTTTTTCCCCTTCACCACAACAATTTATTTTTGTCGTGTCTCTAATTTCACCCCAACAAAACACCCCTTTTAGATGTGAAATCTAGCTTAGGAGATCCCTTATTTTATCAGCTCTTTTCTTCCCAGCCCCTTCCCAGTTCCCAGGCACTGGCCCAGTGCGGTGACTCAGAGCCCACAGGCCGAGTTTAGCCCTGACCAGCATCTCCAGCTCAGCTCTTTGGTCCATCTTATCTTCCAAACTGCTTTCCATTTGCCACTCTCAGCCCAGTTAGTCCATCCCAGTTAGTCCATCCCAGTTAGTCCATCCCAGTCCATCTCAGCTCATCCCAGCTACAGGATCGTTTCTCCTCACCCCAAGCTGGTGCCACCTGCAGATTTGCCAAGTCCACCCCATTAATCCAGGGTGCCAGTGAAGATCCTGAGCAGGACCAGCACCAGTGTCAGCCAGTTTTTCGTGTAGTTCATCCACCAGCCAGTTTTTCATGTAGTTCATCCACCAGCCAGTTTTTCGTGTAGTTCTTCCACCCAGTCCACGCTGGGTGGGCAGTCCAGCCCACAAGGTTGCCACGGGACACTGTGCCAAAAACCTTGAGGCAGCACCACCCATGGAATCCTGGAATGGTTTGGGTTGGAAGGGACCTTAAAGATCACCCAGTTCCAAGCCCCTGCCGTGGGCAGGGACACCTTCCACGAGACCAGGTGGCTCCAGCCCGGCCTTGGACACTTCCAGGGATGGATAATCCATGGAATAACCTGTGCCAGGGTCTCACCACCCTCACAGGGAAGGATTCCTTCCTAACACCCCACCTAAACCAGCACATGGAATCCTGAAATGGTTTGGGTCGGAAGGGACCTTAAAGATCATCCTGTCCCACCCCCTGCCACGGGGACACCTTCCACTCTCCCAGGTTGCTCCAACCTGGCCTTGGACACTTCCAGGGATCCAGGGGCAGTCACCTGTGCCAGGGCCTCCCCCCACCAGGCACAGAACCAACCTCTTCCTCACCGAAACCCATCAGCACAATTTGCTTTCGGTGACTCTGAGCTGGCTCTTCCCCTGTCACCTGTTTGTGCTTCAGGCACCTGCTGGAAAGGTCCCTCCTGGGCAGCAGAAGGTCGTTAACCCTGGGCACATCGTGGCTCCTGACTCACAGGTCACACATCAGCCTCCACTCAGTGCCCTGGTGCTCTGGAGATGGTGAATAAGTACTTTATTACCCTCCTCACACAGACAAATGTGTGGCTTAAACGCTCCAAGTCCTTTTATGTGCCCCGCTGGGTAATTAAAAGATGCTTATCAGAAATCGTGAGTCAAGCACGACATGGGAACAGCATCCAAATGGAGGAGATGTTTTGCCAATAAATAATTTAATCCTCGTTCCTACAGAGTGTTTCATTTACCAGGGGAAGACTTGGAGCCCTATAAAAGGCCCCCGGTCCCTTCTCCTCTCACAATCTGCTCCCCCCTGGTCAGCACCTGCCTTGCCTCAGGAACAGGGTAAGACACAGCCCTGGGTCATTTTTCGGATGGGGGTTTGGATTTCAGGAGGTCACAGAGCTGACTTGGTACACTTGAGCCTTCCAGAGTGATGGGCTAAGCCAAGAGAGGAGGTGTTGGGAGGTTTGGGTGTGGGATTGGCACCACGGGGCTACGCCAAGAAAGAAGCTCTCGAGGGACTCGGGTGTGGGATTTACACACGTGGTGTTTTATGGTCGGTTCTCTTCCTGGAGGGGGGGGAAAAAAAAAAACGAAGGGGAAGGTCAGAAAGAGGGTTTGGACTTAACCTGAAGCCAGCATTGGGCAGCTGAAGGTGTTTCCTTCAGATCCAGACCCTCGGGACAGTCAGGTGTGACCCGGTCACGCCTCACTTTTACGGGGGCCCTCAAACGAAGCCAGAGGAGAGACGTTGACCCCAAACCTGCCGTTTTCCAGGTTGTGGGTGTTGTGTTTTTTTTTTCCCCCCCACGATGATCTACTCCTCGGGAAGGGAATCCTTCTTCAACCTGAACTCCACCTGGTACGACCCCTCGGGCTCGTGGCTGGACACGCGGCGCACCCCGTTCCGCTACGGCTACGCCAACTGCTGCTCCTCGGGCTGCCACGGCGAGGGCGCCGAGGGCATGAGGGGCCACGACTACCGGCACTACGGCTACAGGCAGCCCGTCTGCTCCGAGAGGTGCCAGGGCTACGGCTCCTCCGGGTCCTGCCACGGCTACGGCTCCTCCGGGTCCTGCCACGGCTGCGTCCGGAGACCCTCGTACGGCTACGGCTCCTCGGGGGGCTGCCAGGGCTACGGGGGGTCTGTCTGCTCCGAGAGGTGCCACGGGTCGTCAGGGCAGGGATATGGGAGGTCTGTCTGCTCCGAGAGGTGCCACGGGTCGTCAGGAGGAGCTCAGGGATACGGGGGGTCCGTGTGCTCCGAGAGGTGCCACGGGTCGGGGTACCGGGGGGGCAAGGCGAGCTATGGGAAGGTCTCGCAGTGCATCCCGCAGAGCAGCCCCAAGTGCGTCCCACAGAGTGCCCCAAAGTGTGCCCCGAAATGCATCCCACAGAGCACCCCAAAGTGTGCCCCGAAATGCATCCCACAGAGCGCCCCAAAGTGCGCCCCAAAGTGTGTCCCAGTGCAGACCTGCCCCCCTCCCGTGCAGGTTTGTCCCCCTCCCGTGCAGGTTTGCCCCCCTCCCGTGCAGGTTTGTCCCCCTCCCGTGCAGGTTTGTCCCCCTCCCGTGCAGGTCTGCCCCCCTCCCGTCCAGGTCTGCCCCCCTCAAGTCCAGCAGGGCTGTGTGCCCGTGCCAAAGGGCATCCCGAGCCAGCAGCAGAAGCAGGTCTGCCAAATTCCAGCCCGGAAGATAAAGTAGAAGGCGAGAGGAGCGAGGCCAAGCGAAGGGAATGTGTCTCACCCCGCTCTCTGGTGGGCCCCCTGTCCTGTGCTGCTCATGGGGCTCTGCTCTTGTCGTCTTGCTTGTAACGTGCTTTGAAGGTGCAACCCACGCTGTGTGTGAAACATTAAATGCTCTCCCCCTCCTGATTTCACAGCAGACGTGGAGGCAATAAAAAAAATGACTGCTCAAACCCCACAGCTCCTTGGCATCAGTTTTTTTTTTTTTCCACTTCATCCCTTCGAGCTGCTCCTGGTCCTTCTTGTGGCCAGAGCTGGTGTTTGCACCCTCATGAGGCTCCTGGTGGTTCAGCCTGATGTCTTTGGATTCTTCCTCCCACCCCAGCCAGATTCCTTGCTGGGAGAGGAACTAACAGTTTTCATCGTGTTGGTGCACCACAGTAATTAAATGGTAATACAGCCATGGGGAAAATAAATAAATTAATTAATTAAATAAAACAAAATAACCTGCTGGCTGGGCCAGCCCCCAGGATGTGACACATCAGCTGCTCCCCAGTGTTGATGGGGGGAGATTTCTCCTGCAGCACCGGCCTGACTGAGGAAAAAGAAGCAGAAAGAGGTGCCAGGGGCACCTTCCTGGGGTGGAGGGTTTAGCACCTCCAACAAACCGCCCTTGCAACACCCCAAAAGCAACTCCTTCCATAAACCCAACAAATCACCCCAAAGGAAAAAGCCACCACCCACTCAAAATATCATCAGGTCACTCAGGGAAGAGCAGGAGACGTGAGGGCTCACAGAGAACCAGCTGAGGGCTCGCTTTGGTCCTCTTGGGTTCTCCCACGAGTGTCCTCCCCGCCAGGGGACCCCTGAGGTCGACAGAAAGGGCGAGCAGGTTTCTCCTGCCCGCCCACGTGGCCTGGGCTGGGATGAATCCAAAGTTTCACAAGGGTTTTCCCGTCTCCCGAACGTTTGTGAAACACCGCGAGCCGCGTTCCGGTTTCCTCACCTCTTCGGCTGCTCCGGGTGACTCAGCTCCTCTGGGGGCTGACGGCTCTGCATTTTAATTCCAGTTCAATCCGTGCCATTATTAATATTAGAGTGGCCTCTAGAGTCCTGGCTGGGATCAGCCCTGGGGAGATCCACAGGCAGAAAGGCATTTTTTCCCCCCCCAAAACTGAGCGTTAAATCGCTGGAGATGCTGATCCCAACGTCCTCCCCCCTCCAACCTGGGTGCTCTTGGGTTCCTGTGGAGCTTTAAATTCCTTCTTTAAAAGCCTTTGAGGAAGGAAAAGACTGGCTTGGAGTGTTGCAAGACTCCTTTTTGTGCTTCCTGGCTGGTTTTGCTCGGATTTGGGAGTCTCTCTGATGTTGCTCCTTCACCCACTCCCACGGTCAGCAGGAGCTTGATGCAAAGCCTCACCTGGCCACGTCCCACCCCTAAACCCCAAAATCAAACCTCAGCAAGAGTTTTAGATCCTGGGGATGACTTAACTCCCTCTGCAACCCCCCAGGGCCCCATCTCTCCTGGGGGACACTCACAAATCCTTGTTTTCAGGTCACCCCCCCCACACACACAGAGCAGCCCCAGGCTCTGTGCTCCCCTTCTGCCACCCTCATACCTGCAGCCCTTCATTCCCTTTGTCTCCTTCACCCACTCACAACCCAGATTCTTCTTTTCCCACGCACCACTTGTTCCCTTTCCCTTTTTCATTTTTCGGGTTCCCTTCACAACCCAACCCCCACCAGCCCACCCTCCCCCTAACGTTTGTCCCTTCCCCAGCTTGGGCACGTGGCTGCTTCGCACTAAGCACGAGAAACAGGTAAATTCAGCCAAGTCCAAGGCTTACAAGACCGCCCAGAAACCTCCCCGGTTCCCCGAGCCAGGCGTGGTGGGCAATTAACATTTTTCTGGAGTAACGAGGAAGGGGGGGGGGGGAGACTGCAGGGATATCGATCCGCTCCCAGCACCCCGTGAGTCAAATCAGCAAGGGCGAAAACCTCCCAATTAGCGAGGCCCTCGGGGTGCTGAGCCAGCAAGTCCCTCCAGTGGGGCCCCATCTCGTTTCCGGAGGGGTGTCCCTATAAAAGACCTCGCGCCCCTTCGCTCGTCGTCATCGTCGTCGTCGAGGCCTCGCCGTCTCCTCTGAGCTCCCGCTGAACGAGGGGGTAAGTGCAGCTTTCTCAAACTTGGGCAAACTCCTCGTGCTCACCTGCCCTGCCTTTTGACCCCCGAGGTCTCAGCCTCTTGGGTCCCATCCCCTCTGCCTGTGGCTGCCTCAGACCTTCTGCCTCGTCGGCTTCTTCGTCCGCAGATGAGAATAAAAAGCGAGTTCGGGAAAACAGAAAACTTGCTGGCTCAGGCGGCTGAGGAGGCTCCTCAGGGCTCTGTCAGCCCCTTGTCGCTCCTCAGGAAGTGTTTTAACTTCTCTCTGATGTATTTGGTAAACACAGAAGGGGAAGACTTGCCCAGAGGAGCAGCATGGGCAGGCACGGGTGGCCAATTTTCCTCTCTTCTCCAAGAACCCGGGTTATAATCACAGAATGGTTTGGGTGGGGAAGGGGCCTTAACAATTACCCAGTTCCACTTCCTACCACGGGCAGGGGACACCTTCCACTAGCCCAGGTGGCTCCAAGCCCCGTCCTTGGAGCAACTTCCAGTGCCCTTTGCCCTCAAAGGCGAGTCTTCCCGGCAGGTCTCCAAGGATGTGCTCCCACCAGGACAAAGACCAGTGCCACCAGCTGGAGCGATCCTCCTGCCACGGCAGTGAAGGCTGTCACAGGAGCAGTGGATCTGGGTGCCATGGCAGCAGTGGTGGATCTGGATGCCACAGGAGCAGTGGATCCGGATGCCACGGGAGCAGTGGTGGATCTGGATGCCACAGGAGCGGTGGATCTGGATGCCACAGGAGCAGTGGATCCGGATGCCACGGGAGCAGTGGTGGATCTGGATGCCACAGGAGCAGTGGATCTGGATGCCACGGGAGCAGTGGTGGATCCTGCCACGGCAGCAGTGGTGGATCCTGCCACGGAAACCCCCAGGAGTGCCAGCAGCAAATCTACCAAGTATCCTCCAAGATGAAGTGATCGGACCTGCGCCATCCGTCACCTGCAGGTTGATCCACGGGCGTGTCCTCGGCCCTGTGCCCAGTTCAGACAGCTCTGCTTGTCTCCAGCAATTCCCAAAGCAAAATGTTTCCCTCCCCTTCCCCCTGGTGAGTCCTGGGACCTCTCCTGAGCTTTATGTGTGGGTGCTGAAATAAACTCTGCGTTCATGGCACAGTTTTGTCTCTGTATCGTCTGTGACTGCACAGAGCCAAAATCTGGAGTTTGGGAGGGGGTTTGGGCCACTCCAATTCAGAGTTTGGGAGGGTTTTTGAGCCACTCCAATTCAGACTTTGGGAGATATTTTGAGCCACTCCAAGTCAGACTTTGGGAGGGGTTTTGAGCCATTCCCATTCAGAGTTTGGGAGGGGTTTTTGAGCCATTCCAATTCAGAGTTTGGGAAGGGTTTTAAGCCATTCCAATTCAGAGTTTGAGAAGGGTTTTGAGCCATTCCCATTCAGAGTTTGGGAGGGGGTTTGAGCCATTTCAATTCAGAGTTTGGGAAGGGTTTTTGAGCCATTCCAATTCAGAGTTTGAGAAGGGTTTTGAGCCATTCCATTCAGAGTTTGAGAAGGGTTTTGAGCCATTCCAATTCAGAGTTTGGGAGATGTTTTTGAGCCACTCCAATTCAGAGTTTGAGAAGGGTTTTGAGCCATTCCAATTCAGAGTTTGACACTGCCATGGCCAGACAGGGGTTTGGGCACTGCCACAGCCCCACTTTTGGGGCTCCAGAGGAAAAGAAAGAGCCAATAAAGATTTTTAAACGCTGACAACTCTCCTCCACACCCCCTTCCCATACAACTGGAGACCCCAAAACCCCCCAGCAAGACCCCGAGGGCTGCCTTGCACAGCTCAGGGCTGGCTCTGGGCACAACCACGGGGCAGTCTCACCGACAAAGAACCCCATTTTTTTTAACCCTTTTGGCCCCAAAAGGCCACCCCTGGGGGTGGAGGCATCTCCACTTTGCTGGTGGCAAAACCTCCCAGCAAGCCTTTCTAGAAACCCTGTGCCCAGCCCTTGAGGAGCTCTGGGTCGAGTTGCACAACGCGCTGCCAGATTTCTTCTCGGCTTGTAATTAAAAAGGAATTGGGTAATTTATTGCCCTGGCAGTGGATGTCACCCCGATAAGATGGTTCTCGAGTGCGTCAGGAGGGATCAGAAATATCTGGCATTGCTGAAAAGGGTGCAGGCAGCAGCTCCCTCCCCGCTTTGGGATCCTTCGGGAAAAGCTCTTGGTGTTTGACTCTGGAATTTCCCACCCCCCTCCCCTCAAGTCAAACTTCATTTTCAAGGCACTTTGAGGTGGCCCAACCACAAAATCTAGAGGTGCCCAGGCCAGCTGGGTGCTCTTCATTAACAAACTCAACACGAGGAGCAGAACACAGCTCCAAAAATTACCTGGAGTCCTTTTTTTTCCCCTCCCCTCCCCCAAAGTTTTTCTGCTGCCAGAACAAAACACAATTAAACAGCCCGGGTACAGTTTGCCCTGACACTTGTTCCCGTTTGTGACAGCAATTTGGCAATACAAAAGAAGCATTTAGGTTGCTCACCTGGTTCTTTCACCCTGCCCTGTCCTCCCACCTCGCCAACAAAAAAAAAAACAACCAAAAAACCTCCCGTGTGTTTCGGGAGCTCCCGGATGTGTCAGGTGGTTTTTTGGGATGAGGGAATTGCTCAGGGCTTGCAGTGACTTCACAAAGAGTCAGGCACTTGGGTTCAAAGCAGTTTAAGAGAGGCAGGAGAGGCACCTCGGTGATGCCAGGTGTCAAAGATTTAGGTTTTAGATTTTTTAGATTTTTAGAATTTTTTAGATTTCCAGATTTAGGAAAGGTGGGATGAGGCTCCATCTCCCCAGGGATCGGCATAAAATCTTAACCAGCACGGAAAAAAGACCAATAAAAGGCAGGAGAAACGGCCCAAAAATGCCAGCTCCTTGGAGCATCTTGGCAGGAAGGGAAATATTTTCCACCCCTGACAAGACCCCTGCAGCTCCCCTGTTTGAGCTGGAAATCCTGAGCTGAGTTTGGTTTTTTTTTTCATTTGCTGCCTGTTGAATTACTGAACTTCCAGTTTAATTATTGAACTTCCAATTTAATTACTGAACTTCCAGTTGAATTACTGAACTTCCAGTTTAATTAACTGAAAGATCTGCCACGAGCAGCCACAGGAAAGGGCCAAACGAGCTCCGTGGTCCTAAACACAACTCCCAGCCCACGCAGAGAAAAGGCACAGGGAGTATCCCAAATTCCTGCCAGGGCTCAGCTCTCACTGCAAACATCCATCGGAATAGCACGCCGGGATTAACTCCCACCAGGAGCTGATTGGGGATCAGGGAATTCCCAAAAAAAGGATGTCCCTACGAGCTGGAGAAAGTCCCCTGAGGGGTCTGACAGATCCCCACCAGGGGGACACCACGGTGTGACAACCCCACCCGTGGGGTCGGAATAAAAACCTGGAATAAAACCAGCGGCACCGCTCCGGGAAATTACTCATGGGCTGAAGGCCAGCCACGTAATTATGCACCTTGCTAATAATCCTGGATGGCCACCCATCAGGGCAGGGCTTCTCCCTTCCAAAAATAAGGATTCCAGCTGCCTGTGGTCCTTCTGGTAGCAGCAGGAAACCTTTGACCGGCCAAAAAAACCAATAAATTTTAGGGGGGGGAGGATCTTCTGGTTCTCGTCATTGTGGTTTGGATGGTTCCAAGGGAAACGAGCCAACAGAGGGACCTGTCAAATCACACAACCCCGGAATCATTGAGGTTGGAAAAGCCCTCCAAGCCCATCCAGCCCACCCTGTGCCCACATCCCCAGCTTGTCACTCAGTGCCACTTCCTCGGGCACCTCCAGGGGTGGGGACTCCAAACCTCCCTGGGCAGCCCCTGCCAAGGCCTCACCACCCTTTCCAACCACAAATTCCTCCTCATGCCCAGCCTGACCCTCCCCTGGCACAGCTGGAGGATGTTCCCTCTCCTCCTGTCCCTGTTCCCTGGGAGCAGAGCCCGACCCCTCTCAGCTCCCCCCTCCTGTCAGGGAATTCCAGAGCCAGAAGGTGCCCCCTGAGCCTCCTTTTCTCCAGGATGAGCCCCCCAGCTCCCTCAGGAGTTTCTCCAACCCCTTTTCCTGCTACTCCAGCCCCATTCCCTTCTCTGACCACGCTCCATGTCCCTCTTGACCTGGGCACAACACTCAGGGTCCTCCCCCCCAGTGCCCAGCACAGAGGCAGATGCTGTTAAAAAAGAGTTTTCTCCTTTTTTTTAGCACCCCCTGTGCTTAGGGGAGTTCTGCAGGACTCCAGAACCTCAAGACCTTCCAGAAGGACGTTGTGATTAAAGCATGAGGCGTCATTTCCCCACACACACACGCACTTCACCAAACACAGAGTGTGATCAACACCCCAAACCAACCCGGTTCGTGGAGCTGTGGAAACCGGGGCCACCCACGCACGACTCCCCCACGGGGCAGAGCTGCCAATTAAATCTTCTGTGGCACAGGAAAGGCCACCTGCAAGAAGGAGGCAATCCCAGCGTGGATGGGGGTGAGTCACTCCCCGAGCCCGAGGAGTGGTGAGGCCAAAAGAAAAAAAAAAAAAAGAATTGACAAATTAATTGAATTAATTGAACGGGGGAGAGCTCAGAGAAAAGGGAGGGGCTTCCTCTCCAGGTGGGGTGTGCAGGGAGGGTATAAAAAGTGCTCCTGGTCCCCAGAAAGCCTCATTCCCACCTCGTGTCTTTGCTGTTTGAGCATCTCAGGTGAGAGCAGCGATTCTGGGGTGGGGGGAGTTCTGGGTTTGCTGGGGATGGGGGTGGGTTTGGACCCCCCACACCTGGGGCTGGGTTGGGGTTTGTTCTGAGGGTGGTGGGGAGAGGGGAGGTGGGTGAGGAGGGAGGGCAGGGGCTGCTGAAGGAGCAGGAGCAGAGATTTGGACTTGGAGGGAGACTCTGGGGTGGCTCCTCTTTGGAAAACCCAGCATGGCCTGGACTGGGCTTTGCTGGGACAATCCCAAGTTGGGGGCTGGGGGGGAAAAGAACCCAGTACAAGCTTTAAAACCAACTGTGGGATCCTGCCAAGACTGGATGGATGCACACACCCTCAGAAGGGCCATCTGATGGTTCCTGTGTGTCCCCCCACAGGTCCCCCCCCAGCGCAGGACGATGTGCTCCCGGCAGGAGAAGGACCAGTGCCACTCATACACCCGCCAGAGCAGCTCTGGGGGCTGCCACAGCTCTGGGGGCAGCTCTGGGGGCTGCCACAGCTCCAGGAGCAGCTCTGGGGGCTGCCACAGCTCTGGAGGTGGTGGCTGTCACAGCTCTGGGGGTGGTGGTGGCTGTCACAGCTCTGGAGGTGGTGGTGGCTGTCACAGCTCTGGAGGTGGTGGTGGCTGTCACAGCTCTGGAGGTGGTGGCTGCCACAGCTCTGGTGGCTCCAGCTGCCACGGGAAGCCCCAGATGCAGGTCCAGCAGCAGCAGCAGCAGCAGCAGCAGATACCCCAGATGCCCCAGCAGAAGATGAAGTGATGGGGGGATGTCCCACACGCCCCCAGCTCCAGCTGCAGAGGCCACGCCTGGACCGGCTCCCTCTCACCTTCCCAGCTCCTGGGGCTGCCAAAATCCCCCCTCCTGTGACCTCTCTGGAGCCCCCTGGGGAAGGGGCATCACTGGGGGTTCTCTGCTGCCTTCACCTGATGCCCCCCGAGGGCTGTGCCCAATAAAGTGTCACGTTCCCAAGACCTCTCTTGTGTGTTGGCCTTTCCTTGAACTCCTCATCCTCGTGTTTCCCTGAGCCCAGGAAGGGGTTTTGGAGCTGGGATGTGTTCACAGCTTTTGCTCAAAGGCTGCCAACCCCACTCCTCCCAAGGAAAACCCTCGGAGCGATGGCTCATCCCGAGTTTTGGGGTTCCTTTGGCTTTGCACGTCAAAAGAGACTTCTTTTCCCTGTAACCACAATAAAAAAAAGGAAAGGGGGGGGGGGGGTGATGGGACAAGGAGGGAGTGGGTTCAGAGTGAAAGAGGGAAAATTTTAGTTGGATATTGGGAAGAAATTCCTCCCTGTGAGGGTGGGGAGGCACAGGTTGCCCAGAGAAGCTGTGGCTGCTCCTGGATCCCTGGAAGTGTCCAAGGCCAGGTTGGAGCAACCTGGGCTTGCAGAAGGTGTCCCTACCCATGGCAGGGAGTGGAATGAGATGATCTTGAAGGTCCTTTCTCACCCAAACCATCCCAAAATTCTGAGACTCCACAGCTCCTAAAATCCTCTGGAAAAGCCAGAACCAGACTGCACCACAAGTCACAGAAACGCTTTTGCCCTCGAGTCCCTGGCAGGAATGTTGGGATGTCACATCCCAGTTGGGGGACACAGGGCAGGAACTGGGCCCCTGGTGCAGGCAGGGACCTGCCCCAGCACCCCCCTGGCCCCTGAGTGGGGTGTTTTCCCAGTTCCTCTCCCATTTACAGCCACAGCCACCGGGTTCTGGAGGGGATTCTGCGACCTCGGTGAGGATCAGCAGGGAAATCACCAGCTGGGTTTCGTGCTGGGTGAGCTGAGCCTGCAGGGTCGGGGCAGAGCTCTGCAATCTTCCCCGTCTGTGACCTCCCAGCAAGACCCACACCCCCTCCACCAGCAGGTGGGCAGTTCAAGCATCCCAAATTTGGAGATGGGAGCAGCTGGAGCGCCCCAAATCCTGGATGTGACGCCACATCCCTGGGAGGGGGGGGTTGCCATTGTCACCACAATCCCCCCTGATCAGGTTGGGACAGGTTTAAAGGTTATTTTTGGTGATCTCAGAGCTTTTCCCACCCAAAATCAGGACACAGCGAGCCCAGCTTGCCCAAAGCCCTCTGATGGCTCCCAGGAAAAGCAGGAAGGAGCCGAATTTTGGTGCCACCTGAGGTGCTGAGAGAGCAAGGAGATGAGTGGATGTGCCCTGACCTTTCAGCTCAAAACAGTCCAAGCCCTGCTCCCGTTCCCTCCTCCCCTGGACGCCTTCCAAGGCCTTTCTCTGGGGCAGCAATCGACGATCAGCAGGTGGAAATGGCCCGTCCTTGTCACCTCACTCACAGCCAGGCTTCCCAACACCCTCTCCTTGCTGCACTTTGGGGGGAATCCACGCTCTTTTAGGTCAAAGAGGGTTCTAGAAGCCCCCTGGTGACGATGTGAGACCCTTCTGCAGAGGAAAACCCAGCAGGACTTCACCTTCATCCCCCTGGGTTGTTCCCACGACGGACCATCCCACGGAGAAGGGAGAGAACCACTTTCCTCTGTGTTTCCCTGGCTTATTCCTGGCTTTATTTGGGATTAGGGATTAGCAGGGACTGGGCTCTGGCAGCAGAGCCTCGGGAGATGGGGCTGTTAATTAAACCCGAGCTTAATTTCACACAACAAACACCCCCCCACCCCCGATCAGACGAGGCTTTGGAAATCCAGGCACCCACGGGTTTCCCCATTAGAGGCAGGTGAGGCTGGCAATTAGAACGCTTATGTGGCACAGGAAACAGATAAAAAAAGGCATGATATCCATCACTGGTGAGTCAGGAGGGCGACGTAAACACAGGGCTGGGGAATGGGGTGATAAATTAATGGATCCCCCTGTGACAGGGACCTGGCTCATTTCCGGGAAAACCATCTGGGACCTGCTATAAAACTGCTCCCTGGCCCGGCATCTTCATTATCTCCTCCTGCTTTCCCCCCCTCCTTCAAGCTCAGGTAAGTCCAAGGCAGCAGCACGGGTGGGGTTTTTTTTTTTTCCTTCCTTTTTCCTGGGAATCATTTCCCGGCGAGGGAAGAGGAGTTTGGAGCGCCGGGATGGGGAAGGGTTGGGATGAAGAGGTGTGGGATGAAGGGAGGGAGGACAAGGACCTGTCTGATGGTTGGGTGCTGCACCCAAGGCATGGAATCCTCCGTCCTGGATGCAGGAAAACGCTCCAGATCCCTCCAGGGAGGCATCCCTGGGATCCTGGGCATGGGGACATCGGCGTGGTGGCACTGGGACAATGTGGGGAGGGAAGATGGGGGGACAATGGGCATGGTGGGATTGCAGCAGGGCCACCTGATGGTTCCTGTGTGTCCCCACAGGTCCCCCCCCAGCGCAGGACGATGTGCTCCCGGCAGGAGAAGGACCAGTGCCACTCATACACCCGCCAGAGCAGCTCTGGGGGCTGCCACAGCTCTGGAGGTGGTGGCTGTCACAGCTCTGGGGGCAGCTCTGGGGGCTGCCACAGCTCTGGGGGCAGCTCTGGGGGCTGTCACAGCTCTGGGGGTGGCTCTGGGGGCTGTCACAGCTCCAGGAGCAGCTCTGGGGGCTGTCACAGCTCCGGGGGTGGCTCTGGGGGCTGCCACAGCTCTGGGGGTGGTGGTGGCTGTCACAGCTCTGGAGGTGGTGGCTGTCACAGCTCTGGTGGCTCCAGCTGCCACGGGAAGCCCCAGGTGCAGGTCCAGCAGGTCCAGCAGCAGCAGATACCCCAGATGCCCCAGCAGAAGATGAACTGAGGGGCGGCCAAGCCCCCCCTGCCACCTCCCCAGGGCTGCCAAAGCCTCTCCCCTGGCCTCTGGAGCTCCCACGGGGGAAGGGAGCCCCACTGATCCCCCCTAAGGGCTGTGCTTTGCCCCCCTTGAGATGCCCAATAAAGTGTCACATTCCCAAGATCTCCCTCGTGTTGGCATTTCCTTGGGATGCCCAAATCCCGCCTTTATCCTGGTTTTCCAGAGGGGGAGGGAATTTGCAGCTGCATCAGCAACGCAGTTTGGGCAGAGCTGCTGGGCTGGGTGGGCCTGGCCGGGTTTTTTGGGGGGGATTGGGGGTGGGGTTTTAGGGGTGGCTTCTGTGGGAAGCTGCCAGAAGCTTCCCCCTCATCCGTGGGGGCGATTCCAGCTGCTCCAGGACGGACCTGATTCCGTGGGTGATAAATTCGGTTCCTTATCTCCCTGTTTTGGCCGTTTTGGTGCTCGGGGAGGGTTCCACCCCCCAGGGCAGTGACAGAGAGGCTTTGGTGTCCAGCCAGGAGCACAAAAACCCCTCCCCATCCCACGGCACGTCCTGCCTGGTCCCCACATCGGGGTGGTACCCCCAGACCCCCCTTTTCAACCCTGCCCCTTCCCCCTCAAGCCTTCCCCACCACCGAGCTCGGAGTCAACCTCCTGGAGGCTCCTGCTGATCATAAAAATCAGACAGGCGTCACTTTTTACACTTTTTATTGGGTTTTTTTATGGTCTTTGGGGTAATAAGGAGCAAAATAAGCCAGAAAAAAACAAACACAAGAAAAAAACCAACACTTTTTGGATATTTACACCTTAGTGATGGGCCAACCCCTTGAAGAGCTGAAGGATCACATTCCAGGGAGGTCTATTTTTGGTGTGCCCACCCCTCTCCCTCACCCCACCCCAAACCCGTGGGAATTTCGCTGCTGGCTCCAAAACGAGCTCCCGACCATAAGCCTTTCATTTTCCTCCGGGAATTGCCCACTCTTTATTTGGTATTGCTCTGCAATCTGAGTCAGCTATAATTGCACGGCTCGTTCCAGCCCCATTAACAGGAGATTTGTTTTGATTTGTTTGGGTTGTTTGGTTTTTTTTTCACTTTCTCCCCATTAAAACCACGTGGATGAAGGGGTTGATATTCCTCTGGCATCGCGTTTAGGAGAAAAAAAAGAACAAATCTGACCTCACCACCCCATCCCACCCTCCCTCCAGCCTTCAAGATGTGTTTTTAAATTACCACCAAAAAAAAAGAGACACCTAAAGGAGCATCAGGAGCAAAACGAGAGCCCTGGGGGTTCTTTTCTGCCTCATGGAGGTAAATAGGTGAGAGCAGGGCATGGTCTTCCCATCTCCTGGGGTGCTGCCAGCACTGGAGGAGCAGAGAGAGAAAGAGAGAGCCCAAAAATCTGTGCTGAGGAATTCGGGGATCCTGCAGAGAGGGAGGAAAACCCACTCGTGACCACCCCAAAATCCTGCTGGGGGTGACATCCCTTCCCCCCTACCCCCCAAATCCCCCCCATCCACCCAACTCCTCTGCTTTTTTTTATCACTAAAATCTGCGCCCCAATTAACTCTGAGCAGTTTTAATTAGAGCTGATTAAATGCCCCCCCCCCCACATGGGCTGGAATTCACCCCTGCACTGCCCATCCACTTTGGAATTCACCCCCTGCACGGGGCCATCCACTTAAAATTGGACTTGATGATCCCTGGGGGTCCCTTCCAGCTCGGAATTTTCCGAAAAATCTGGGAATCCCACCCCACCCTGATGGACTGGGGGGTACAAAATCCCATCCACCTCGGTCCCGTGGACGTCCCTGCCCACTCCAAACGAGTCCGGTGCAAACATCACCCAGGAGCAAACGTCCCCCAGGAGCTTTGTGAGCTCCCTGAGCCGTCCTTACCTGGCTCTCCCTGAGCCCCGGGAGTGGGGGAGATGCCCCCTCCTCTTCCTCAGTACACGCAGGGCTTGCTCTTCTTCTTCTTCTTGGTCGTGGGCTCGGTGTCCGAGTCCGAGGAGCGGGGGATGTACCTGTACTTGCTGGTGGGCGACCTCTGAGGGGGGGACAGGAGCCCATCAGCGAGGGAAAAAGCGAGATCTGGGTGCCCTCAGGGCGAGGGAAGAGCAAGGAAAAGGAGCAGAAGGAAAAGGAGCAGCAGGAAGAGGAAGGGGGGGGGGGGTCACAACCTGGGATTACACCTTGAATTTACCCAGGGAAAAAATGGGACCAGGCAGCCCATCCTGAGTGTCCCATTCCCTGCAGGAAAATGGGGGGGCAAGCAGGACAATCAGCAGGAGCAGGAGGGGGAACTGGAGCTTTGCAGCTCCGGGAAAACCAAAAGATTGGAGACATCCCCATTCCAAGCCTGGAGGTGGGGTTGGGGTTGTTGTTGCACCCCTTTAGCACCCCTGGCGCCCTCCCCACCCTCCCAAAACATCCCCCCAGCGCCTTTCCCACCCCTCTAAACCCGCAGAGTTTACCTTGACGGGGGCGAATTCCTGCTGGATCAGCTTCTTGAACTCGCTCCTGCTGAAGGTCTCGGATTTCCTGCCCTTCCTGGCGCTGCCCTGGTAGCTCTCCAGCATGTCGCTGATGGCTTTAATCAGCTTGGACATCTCTCCAGTCCTGCAGGGGCAGCTGTGCCTGTAGGAAAAGCCCTCCCCGTTTCGTTTCCCCACGAGTTTCATTTAAATCTCCCTGGAGTTTAAACTTTTTTCCTTGCCGGAGGTAAAAAAAAAAAATAAAAACACCTTTCCCTCCTCGCTGGGCTGCCCCATCCTCACTCTGGCTCCTGTCTGAGGGTTTTCACCTCGGTTTTTGCCTTCATTCCTCCACTTGAAGTGGGTCTTCACTTTAATTTTAATTTTAATTTTAGTGGTTCAGATTAAAGGGCATCTCGAGGGGGCACTCGGGGGTGAATGAATCAGCAGGGGAGGAAAGAGCCGTGTCCTCATCCTCACACCCTCCTGGGCAGCCGATCCTGCCCTTTCCACCTCCAAAATAACCCCGGAAAAACGCACAAAATCGTCTCAAATCCCCCTAAAAAGACCAAAAAAACCCCAGTGGAGACTCACCTGCATCCACCACTCGCTGGTGCAGATGGGACTGGTGGGAGCAGCTCCTTTCCCAGTCCCTGCAGGCTGCGGGGAAGTGGGTGGAGGGCGAGGATTCCTTCTGGTCAGTCCTGTTCTCTCTCCCCCTCACACACAACACCCTCTTCCCAGGGAGCCTCCTCCCCTCATTATCCCGTGTTTATTTACCAGCAGCGCCTGGGGAGGTGGATGTAGGTCAGGATGGGCTCTGGGATCCCCCCCAAAATAAAATAAAATTAAAAAAATATAACCAGGGGTTCTCTTCTTGCATAAAACTCTGCATTTTGCATCCCCTAAATGGGGTTTCTTTTCCCTCTACAAACCCAAAGGGGTTTGTGAGATCGAGGGGTTTTGTGATGCTGAAGCTCCTCAGGAAATGTCAAAGAGACCGAAACAAATCCTGCAGAAAAGGGGCTTTAATCTGATTTTTGGGGCTGTCCTGGGAGCTGCCCCTGGATCCAGAGTGCAACCAGCAGGGCAGGAGGGATTTCAACGCCCTTGAAGCCCATCAGGGCATGGGACAGGAGGGATTTCAGCCCTTGGAGCCCATCAGAACATGGGATAAGAGGGATTTCACCCCTTGGAGCCCATCAGGACATGGGACAGGAGGGATTTCACGCCCTTGAAGCCCATCAGGGCATGGGGACAGGGGGCATTCTAGCCCAGGGAGCCCACCAGGACACAGGGAGCCCAACAGAACATGGGATAGGAAGGATTTCAGCCCTTGGAGCCCACCAGGACATGGAACAGGAGGGATTTCACCCCTTGGAGCACATCAGGACATGGGATAGGAGGAATTTCAACCCTTGGAGCCCACCAGGACATGGGACAGGAGGGATTCATCCCCTTGGAGCACATCAGGGCATGGGATAGGAGGGATTTCACCCCTTGGAGCCCATCAGGACATGGAACAGGAGGGATTTCACCCCTTGGAGCACATCAGGACATGGGGACAGGGGACATTCCAGCCCAGGGAGCCCACCAGGACATGGGATAAGAGGGATTTCAGCCCTTGGAGCACATCAGGACATGGGAAAGGAGGGATTTCACCCCCTGGAGCCCATCAGGGCTTGGAACAGGGGACAATCCAGCTCAGGGGGCCCACCAGGACATGGAATAGGAGGGATTTCACCCCTTGGAGCACATCAGGACATGGGGACAGGGGACATTCCAGCCCAGGGAGCCCACCAGGACATGGAAAGGAGGGACTGCACCCCCTTGGAGCCCACCAGGACATGGGATAGGAGGGATTTCAGCCCCTTGGAGACCATCAGGGCACAGGGAGCCCATCAGGACATGAAACAGGGGGCATTCCAGCCCAGGAAGCCCATCAGGACATGGAACAGGAGGGATTTCACCCCTTGGAGCCCACCAGGGCTTGGAACAGGAGGGCTCCAGCAGCACCAGCAGCACCAGGACAGCACTCCGGGGCTCTCAGTGTGGTCCCCGAGGAGCCACCACGAGCTGGGGGGAGGGTGGGACGAGCCCTCCCCTCCCCTCCACCCCGCGGGCCGTGCCAGCTCCCAGGAAGGGCTCAGGCACCTTCCCCAGATCGCCAGATAAGAGGGGAGGAGGGCGGATGGGGCTCGGGTGGCCGCGTTGTGGCCGCGTTTTTTGGGAGGGGAGGCGGCTCCCGGAGCCTCCCACGCCGCGGGGACGGCTCCACCCGCGGGGCTGGGCAGCCCAGTGGGTTGGAAATGAGGTGGAGAAAAGTGGGTTGGAAATGAGCTGGAGAAGTGGGTTGGAAATGAGGTGGAGGAGTGGGTTGGAAATGAGGTGGAGAAGTGGGTTGGAAATGAGGTGGAGAAGTGGGTTGGAAATGAGGTGGAGGAGTGGGTTGGAAACGAGGTGGAGGAGTGGGTTGGAAACGAGGTGGAGGAGTGGGTTGGAAACGAGCTGGAGAAGTGGGTTGGAAACGAGCTGCAGGTCCCTGCGAGCCCCCCCAACACGCGGGATTTTTTTTGGGGGGGGGGAGCTGCCTCGCCCCCAGGGGCTGCTCCTCCCACCCGAGGGGATTCCTGGGTGGAGATGCAGGACCGGGGGGGTGTTTTCTGGACAGGGGGGGTTGTTTTCTGCAGGGTTGGGGTCGAGTTGCAGGGGTTTAAAGCTTCGTGTGGGAAGGATCCCGGCACTGGGGTGGCCGTGGCGTGACCAGACCCACAGGAAACGCTTCGTGGGGGATTTTGGGAGGGCGATGAGCCCTCCAACCTCTGTATTCACACCCCCCACACGCAATTAGCAGTGTCTGAATGAGGGGAATTAGGGGGGGACCACGGTGCCACCATCCCCTGGTGACGCGTCCCCATCGCCATCCCCCCCTTAAGCCGGGCTTTGCCGGGCTCTGGGCGCGGTTTTACCGCCCATGCTGGCTCAGCTGCTGGTCCCAGACCTCACCAGTTCCTCCCCCCCGCCCCAGAACAACCAGTTTTTTACCCCCCCTGAGGTCATCCCTGTCGGGGTGTGGGGACTGACGGTGAACCCAGCGCGTCCGGGTCCCCAATCGCCACATTTTGGGGGGGTTGCACAACCCCCCACCACCACCCGTGCCCTCCCGTGCTGAGCCCACGCTAGGGAGGGAAGGGATTCTCTGATCCCACAGGTTTATCCTTGTCTCCAAATTTTAAATTTTAATTCATTGCATTTAATTCATTTAATTTAAATTTTTAAATTAATTTTTTCCTCTTCCAGTAGCTCTAAAATCTTCTCTTTTTTTCTCTTTTTTTTTCTTTTTTTCTTTTTTTTTGGAGGGGGGGATGGATTTAAAAACCCTCGCCCGAAAATTCAGCGCTGTTTGGATCCAAACAATCCGATTTTTTATTGTGAGCAGCGCTAATGGAGGAGGAAAGGGGGAGATTTTGGGAAGGGGGGGGCACAGGACGGGGCTGTGCCCGAGGTCCGGGCACGACCTGGTGGCCTCTCCAAAGAGCCACCAGCTGGTGTCACATCCCACCAGGTGGCAGCAGGAGATTCCCCGTCCCGAGGGAATCTCCAATCCCGGAATATTTTCGCCTGGAAAAACCCTCCCAACCCGTGGAATTTCCCCCGCCTCGTGCCCCATCCCCACCTTCGTGGTGTTGCTTCGGTGTCCCCTCTTTTTTTTTTTTGAGGGGGAGCTCTTTGGGGTGAAACAACCCCTAAGGATTTTGGGGATTCATCAGGGTGTTGGGGGGGCTCATTCTCCTCCTTGATTTCCTCCCCCCTTGATTTCCCCCCTTAAAAAAAAATAACCTGATCTGCTGCAAATGGCACCCTAAACCACCCTTTGTCCCAAAAACGTCGTGGTTGGTGGGGGTGATGTCCTTTTGTGCCTTTCAGAGCCATGAGAAAGCAACATCTCCACTCTCCACTGGCTCTCCCCGCTCCAGAAACCCCCCCAAAATGCTGCAGGATTGGGGGTTGTATGAGTCTTTTTTTTTGGGGAGGGTTTGGGATGGAGGATCTGGCTGGAGATCTTGGCAGGGCCGATTTTACCTCCTCGAAAAGGTGGTTTTTTTTTAAAGCCCTCAGATGTCAAAAACCGGCTCCGAAAGGGAGATGAAGCAACCTGGGTGAGGCAATTTGGGGTGGTCTTGTGTTAACTGTGGGGGTGGGGGGGATGTCTTGCTTCAGTTCTGCTGCTTTGGGGAAGCTTCTGGAAGGTTCCTTCCTGGAGCAGGGTGATTTCAGGGCCTTGGGAAATCACAACTTGTGCCTTTTTCCTGCCCTCTCCCCCCCCTCCCCATGAAGATGTTTGGAAATCGGGCTCTGAGAGTGCTCAGCAGCTCTGGGGGGGGGTGTTCCCAGCTTCAGTTTCCCTCTGGAAAGAGGCTGATTAACTGGATGGAGCTTTCTTGGGGCGAACTGGGATGTTTTGAGGGAGGTTTTGGGGTCGTTCGGGGTTCTTGTCCCCACAAAACCCCCCTTTGGATGCAGCCCCCAAAAACTGATGTGTCCAACCCCCCTAAATGGAGCCAAACTTGCCCTTAAAAAGGGTGTTCTTCCCAAAAAAAGAGTGTTCATCCATCCATCCATCCATCCATCCATCCATCCATCCATCCTCCAGCTCCTGCCCACCAGCACAGCGTGGGCCCAGGAGACTCATTCAGTGTTTTCAGGCTGGTTTTTTTAACTGGAAACATCCAATTTTGGGATCTTCTGTGACCCCTGGAGCACCCTGAGCACCTGTTGGAGGGAACCCTGAACTTCCCAGGCATCCCTCTCCCCTGAGCCCCCTCTCCAAGGGGTTTTTTTTTTCACCCCCCTCCCTCCCTGGATCTGGGGGGTTTAAGGAGAGAGGAAAACGCAGGACCCACAGAGGAAAATGCAGGATCCACCTGGAGGAAAACCCAGCAGAGCTTTGGCAGCCTCAGGGCGACTCTTTTCTCTTTATTCATCATCAAAACCATCACATTTTGCAGCAGGTGGCACTGAGGGGGGGGAGATGGGCAGAGAGGGGTTGAGGATCCGAGGTCGGGTTTGACCTCGGAGCCGGGAAATTTTCCATGGAAGGGGAGGAAAAGCAGCGAGGGAGGGGGTTGTGAGCCCAAGCAGAGCTTCAGTGGTGGTGGTGGTGCTGGTGCTGGTGCTGCTGGTCCTCCACCTCGTGCAGGTGCTCGTGGGTGGCGATGGTGACGCGGACGATCAGCAGCATCGTCTCGCAGAAGCTGATCTGGGCGTCCTTGTTGACGTCCAGGTCCTTGAAGATCTCGTCGATGGTGGCCTTGTTCTTCACGTGCTGCAGGGAGGGGAGGGAGGGGGACAGGGTGGGGGTCACTCAGACCTCTCCTTGGGTGGAAAAAAACCAGCCCATCCTTCACTCAGTTGGGGGTGGGGTGTAAAAATAGTGGGGTTTGGGGGTGGTGCTTCTGAGCCCCCTTTCCAGGTGGAAAAGGAGCTCCTGGGCAACAGAAACATGATTTTGGGGGAGAAGGGGAGGTGAGGGTCAATAGTCTACGTGGGGGTTCCTTCAGCTGTTTTTAGGGAGCAGGTTGGGAAGGGGAGTGGTTGGACAGGGAGGGTTGGGCAGGAGGAAAAGGATGAACCCCAGCCCTGGAGATATCCAGGGTCCATCCCAGAGAATGAGCTTCTGCTGGAAGCTCAACCAGACCTGCATGGGGTTCCTTTCAGATGTTTTTAGGGAGAAGGTTTGGGAAGGGGGGTGGTTGGACAGGGAGGGTTGGGCTGGAGGAAAAGGATGAACCCCAACCCTGGAGATATCCAGGCACTGGGAACCATCCAGCTCAGGGATGAAGGTCAATGCTCTTCTGGAGGCTCACCCAGACCTGCATGGGGTTCCTTCAGCTGTTTTTGGAAAGGGGGTGGTTGGACAGGGAGGGTTGGGCTGGAGGAAAAGGGTGAATCCCAACCCTGGAGATATCCAGGTATGGGTCCATCCCAGAGAATGCTCTTCTGGAGACCTGCATGGGGTTCCTTCAGCTGTTTTTAGGGAGCAGGTTTGGAAAGGGGGGTGGTTGGACAGGGAGGGTGGGGCTGGAGGAAAAGGGTGAATCCCAACCCTGGAGATATCCAGGGTCCATCCCAGAGAATGCTCTTCTGGAGACCTGCATGGTGTTCCTTCAGCTGTTTTTGGAAAGGGGGGTGGTTGGACAGGGAGGGTTGGGCTGGAGGAAAAGGATGAATCCCAACCCTGGAGATATCCAGGGTCCACCCCAGAGAATGCTCTGCTGGAGGCTCACCCAGACCCACATGGGGTTCTTTCAGCTGTTTTTGGAAAGGGGGTGGTTGGACAGGGAGGGTTGGGCTGGAGGAAAAGGGTGAATCCCAACCCTGGAGATATCCAGACATGGGTCCATCACAGAGAATGCTCTTCTGGAGACCTGCATGGGGTTCCTTCAGCTGTTTTTGGAAAGGGGGGTGGTTGGACAGGGAGGGTTGGGCAGGAGATATCCAGGTTAAGGGAAGGGGGGGGGGTCCAACCCAGCTCCCTCCCTGCTCTGGGCCCACTCACCTTCAGGTAGTTGGCAAGCTGCTTGTCAATGAGCAGCTTCATCTCCTTCTTGGTGAGGGTGTCCCTGTCCCCCTCCCTCCTGGAGTACTGGTGGAAGACGTCGATGATGACGTCCATGGCCTTCTCCAGCTCGGAGAGCTGCTCGTGGCTCTGGGAGCTCTGCAAGAGCAAGGATTTGCACCCAAGTGACAGCAGGAGCCACTTTTGAGGCCCACAGTGGGGTGTTGGAAAAACCCCACAGTGGGGTGTGGAAATCTGCCATTAACCCAAAATATTCCCCCCTTGCCCCTGGCTCTGCTGGAGCTCCCAAAACCAGCTGGTATCACCCCAAAAAAAAAACCCCAAAATATCTCTGTAGAGATGGGTTCTGCCCTCTGTAGAGATGAGATCTGAACGAGATCTCACGTCCTGGAGCCCCTTTTTGGGGGGTGGGAACGTCCTGAGAGGGGTGGAGGAGTTGGGGGAGCCTCCTCCAAGGAGAAAACATCCCTGCCTGTGGGATGAGCCTGAGTGGGGCTGCTCATGCTCTGCCAGCATGAGGAGGTGCTCCCCCAGGTTCTTCTTCCCACCTCTGGTGGCCCCAACCAGCACCTGGAAAAGAAGAAGACCTTGAAAAAGAAGAGCACGTCGGACTTGCCTTGCTCATCTCGGCAACAGAGCGAGGTCCTCCCCGGGGCTGCTGGTGGGGCAGGTCCCAAGTGAGGGGTCTCTTATACACCCCTGGCCATGAAAGGTTGTGAAATGTCCCCTGTTTCATCCCTTTCCAGCCCCTGCTCACGACACACTCGGCGTTGCTTAAGGCTGGAAGGGAGAGGGGGGAAGTTCCTTAAAAAAGGGGTCCCTGCGGCTTTTCCCGCAAATTTGGGGGTGTCACGGACTCCCCTGGGGTGGCAGAGGGTGGGCAGGGCTGTGGAAATGTCCCCCCCTTCTCCTGGTTGAGGTTTGAGGTGGGAACTTCGCCCTCCCCCTCTGTCCCTTCCTCCCCAGCGGGTGGGAAATGAGGCGAGGTCGTGATGGGTTCTCCGCCAGCTCTCGCCAAAAGTCCAATCCCATGGGGTTCTTCCACTTACCCCCGTTTTTTAGGGGTGTCTGCACCCTCTTTCAGGGCTCCCACACCACCATTCCTGCCCTTCTCCACTGAGTGTCCCCACCCCTGCAGAGCTGGCGAGCCCCAAAGTGCCCCCTTTGAGCTTGGAAAAGCCTTCCAGGACCATCCAACCCAACCTTCCCCCACCTCTTCAGCCAGACCAGCCACAAAACCACAGCCCTGGCAGCAGTGCCAGGCCTGCCCTGGTGTGACAGGGCCAGGGAGGTGGCACTGAGGGACCCTCCCCTGCCTGCAGCAAATGTCTTGTCACGAAAGGGACACTCAATCCAGGGCGTGTCCCAGGCCTGGAAGGGCTCCAGGAGCTCCATTTCGGCTCCAAGGGTGGATTGTTCCCCACCCCCAGGTGTGCTCTGGTGAGCTGCACACACCAGGTGTGGCTGAAAGCTGGGTATTTATTCTTTTTTTTCTTTTTTTGTGGGGTTCTGTCCTCACACTCTGTGGCTTTTTGTTGCTGTCGTCTCTCAGGGTGGCACAGACCCCGAGCAGGAGCTTTGGCTTACGGAATTTGGGAGCAAAACGAGACTTTCCAGTGTTTCTTCATCAAAAACACCGCCTGCTGACTCAGCAGACTCGCTCTGGGGGGATTTGTTTAACCTGCCAAGCATCGTGTTGAGCTCAGAACACAAAGTGGAGTTCCAGGGGTGAGTTCCAGGAGCTCCAGAGCGGGGGCAGAACCGTGGTGGGACCTGCTCAGAGGTGGTGCAGCCCTTGGCCCTGCAAACTACTTTTCAGGGGGGAATTTCTTCCTGGAAAGGGTGGTCAGGCCTTGGAAAGGAGCTGCCCAGGGGAGGTGGGGGAGTCCCCACCCCTGGAGGTGTCCAAGGAAGGAGTGGACATGGGAGGTGCTCAAAGGTTGGGCTCGATGATCCTGGAGGGCTTTTCCAACCTCAGCGGTTCTGGGAATGATTCTGTGATACAACAGCAACCCCTCCCCGGGCTCCAACCCTCTCTGGGGGTGCTCTGCATTTCACAAGAGGGGCTTTCTGATGCTCAGAAGGTCGGGAGAAGGTCCAGAGTGTTTCACAACGGGACCGTCCCTGGCGTTGCGGAACTTTTGTGGCGACCCCACAGGAAACCCCCCCCCCTCCCCACCACCTTTTTTGGTCACTTCGTCAACCCCTGGAGACAAGGAGGGAAGGACAAGGGTGTGGGAGGGGTTTCCAAGGTGTGGGGGTGGTGGCTGGATGTGCCCACAGGGGGTGTTTGGTTGTGAAAGGCCAGGGAGGTGAGGACGGCGCCAGGAACGGTGCCCTGGCACAACTTTCTGCCCCCCACCCCTTGCACGGGAAACCTCCCTGCCCACCCACAACCCCGTCCCCAGGGCCACCAGGATCCTCTCACTGGAGCTGGGGGGGGAATTTGGGGAGCTCAGGATGTGTTCCCAGGTGCCCAGGGGGTGGGTTGTGCCCTGGCAGGGGCACCCCGAGCTTGGCGAGGGTTGCAAAACTCTTTCAAAAAAAAGGCTGATGCGGGAAGAGGGAAGGGCAGGGCTCGTCACTTCCCCCCTGGGTTATCCCACAGGAGCGGTGCCCACCCTTTTACCCCCCCCCCCCCTTCCAACCTGTGGGACGAGGAAGGAATTGCCAGCACGGGAAGGACTCGGCGGATTTCAAGTCGATGCTTTATTGAGAGAGATCCCAGCAAGGCAGAGCAGATCACCCAGAGAGCCCCGCCCCTAAAGCAGCCTGCTCCCGTTTTTTTTTCCAGGGGATGGCTTCCGTGTTTTTTTCCATGGATAGCTCCCGTTTTTCCATGGCTGGCTGCCGGTTTTCCCACGGAGGCTCAGTCCTGGTCGGGCCCGCAGCGGTCGGAGCGGTGGCTGATGCGATGGGCGTCGTCGGCCAGCTTGGCCAGGACGGTGGTGAACTCCTCGAAGGACAGCTCCTTGTCCTTGTTCAGGTCGGTCTCCTTGAAGAGCTTGTCCAGGTAGCCACTTCGGTTCCTGTCCTGGAATTTGGGGAGAGGGGGACAGGAGAGGTTTTAGGGTGTCCCCCCTTCCCGGGGCTCCCAATCCACCGGTGGGAACCGAGCCTGGGTTGGGGGGGATCCTTCCGTGCCCTGGGATGTGTCTGGACCTGCAGGACATCACCCCCCCTGTCCTACAGTGCAATTAACCCCTAATTAAGACCTAATTGTCCAGGTCGGTTCCTGTCCTGGAATTTGGGGAGGGGGGGGACAGGAGAGGTTTTAGGGTGTCCCCCCTCCCTGGGGGCTCCCAATCCACCCGGGGGAACAGAGCCTTTGGTGGCGAGGGATCCTTCCGTGCCCTGGGATGTGTCTGGACCTGCAGGACATCACCCCACCCTGTCCTACAGTGCAATTAACCCCTAATTAAGACCTAATTGTCCAGGTCGGTCTCCTTGAAGAGCTTGTTCAGGTCGGTTCCTGTGCTGGAATTTGGGGGAAGGGGGGGGACAGGAGAGGTTTTAGGGTGTCCCCCTCCCCGGGGCTCCCAATCCACCGGTGGGAAAAGGATCCTTCCATGTCCTGGGATGTGTCTGGACCTGCAGGACATGTCCCACAGTGCAATTAACCCCTAATTAAGACCTAATTGTCCAGGTCAGTCTCCTTGAAGAGCTTGTCCAGGTCGGTTCCTGTCCTGGAATTTGGGGGAGGAGGGGACAGGAGAGGTTTTAGGGTGTCCCCCCTTCCCGGGGCTCCCAATCCACCGGTGGGAACAGAGGATCCTTCCATGCCCTGGGATGTGTCTGGACCTGCAGGACATCACCCCCCTGTCCTACAGTGCAATTAACCCCTAATTAAGACCTAATTGTCCAGGTCGGTCTCCTTGAAGAGCTTGTCCAGGTCGGTTCCTGTCCTGGAATTTGGGGGGAGTGGGACAGGAGAGGTTTTAGGGTGTCCCCCCTTCCCAGGGGCTCCCAATCCACCGGTGGGAAAAGGATCCTTCCATGTCCTGGGATGTGTCTGGACCTGCAGGACATCACCCCCCCCTGTCCTACAGTGCAATTAACCCCTAATTAAGACCTAATTGTCCAGGTCGGTCTCCTTGAAGAGCTTGTCCAGGGTCGGTTCCTGTCCTGGAATTTGGGGGGGGGGGACAGGAGAGGTTTTAGGGTGTCCCCCCTCCCCAGGGGCTCCCAATCCACCGGTGGGAAAAGGATCCTTCCATGTCCTGGGATGTGTCTGGACCTGCAGGACAAGTCCCACAGTGCAATTAACCCCTAATTAAGCCCTTTCCTGAAGGAAAGAGCCGACCAAGCCTGACCACGGGAACCCCTCCACGAACCCCAACCACGGTGGGACCTGCACCCCATTCCCTCCCCCAAGGGATGGCACCCCAAGGACCCCCCACCCCAGGCACTCACACAAGCCTGCAGGAAGGTGGGGGCCTGCTCGGTGAGCAGGGTCTGGAAATCCGCGAGGTTGAGGAGGTCGTGCTCTCCCTGGCGGATGCTGTACCGGTGGAAAACATCCACCACGGTCTGCAGAGCCTTCTCCAGGGTGCAATTCCCGGGGAACCGCCGGCCCTCGGCGTGGCTGTGGGTGCTGCCGGACATGGCTGAGCTCGGGGGGTGCCTGCAGAGAGCAGGGGGGAGACCCCCCCCCAGAGCTGTGAAACGGGGCCCAAAACCGGGGGGTTTGGGTGTAAATGTGTTGTATGTTGAATAAAATGCCGAATTACAGGTTGTTTGTGATGTGTATTACAAAATAAATAGCATGGTGTTATTTATATATATAATATAGGTGCTATATATTATATATAATGTTATTTATGCACATAATATAATATATAGGCATTATATACCATATGTAATGTTACTTATGCACATAATATAATATATAGGCATTATATATCATATGTAATGTTATTTATGCACATAATATAATATATAGGCATTATATATCATATGTAATGTTATTTATGCACATAATATAATATATAGGCATTATATATCATATGTAATGTTACTTATGCACATAATATAATATATAGGCATTATATATCATGTGTAATGTTATTTATGCACATGATATAATATATAGGCACTATATATCATATGTAATGTTATTTATGCACATAATATGATATACAGGCATTATATATCGTGTGTAATGTTATTTATGCACATAATATATAGGCATTATATATCATGTGTAATGTTATTTATGCACATAATATAATATATAGGCATTATATATCATATGTAATGTTATTTATGCACATAATATAATATATAGGCATTATATATCATATGTAATGTTACTTATGCACATGATATAATATATAGGTATTATATATCATATGTAATGTTATTTATGCACATAATATAATATATAGGCACTATGTATTATTTATGATGTTATTTATACATATAATATAATATATAGGAACTATGCACTATATATGATGTTATTTATATGTATAATGCATGTGCTATGTATTTATACAGCCCTAAATTTTATGTGTGCTGGGTTATTTACTATCTACATTGCAATGTGTTAAAAATATAGGTTATCATTAAATGCATGTGTTCTATTTTGCATGGGATGCCAAATTATATATTGTGGTCTTTCTATATATAATATATCTATATGATATGAAATATATTATCTTACTTATATTATATATTATATATATGCATTATATAACATATATTTTCTATTATAATTTTATAATGATATCTATAAATTATAGCTCTATTTATAAATCATTTATATTTTATCTATTATATTTTATTATATCTATATTATGTGATATGACATTGTATTGTATTATATTATATGGCCCTTAGTGCCATGATATAGTAATTAGAGTTGGATCAGGGGTTGGACTTGATGATCTTGGAGGTCTTTTCCAACCCAATCTATTCTATGATTCTATGATTCTATATTATATTATATTATGTTATATTATATTATGTTATATTATGTTATATTATGCCAAATTATGTCTATATTATTTTAACACGCAATAAATAATATTTTAATCACATATCTATATATATATTCTAATAAATCACAGGCACTAAACACTACACATATCCCACATCACGCCACAATTTACACTCCTTCTGCAGCCCAAAACCATCCCCCTCCACCGCCCTGAGTCGAAACCACCCCCTTTGTGTTGAGCCCACATCCAAAACTGCATCTCCCTCCGCTCCCCACCCGCCCTCGGAGCCCCCCACGGCCCCACTCACGCTGGTGTCGAGGAGGGAGAAGGCAGAGCGGGTCCCTTGTCCCTTGGTGAGCTCCAGGAGCCGAGGGCAGCCCTTTTATCCCCACCCCGAGGGGCGGTTTCGCCACCGCCGGCCGTGCCACACCTGCCGCAAGCAGCGACTCGAGTTCACCTCTTCCCGCTCCTGGAAATTGCCGGGTGGGCCCTTCCCTTCCCTTCCCTTCCATTCCCCGGCCCCTCCCGGATTGTTCTTCCTCCTCGTTCCTGCTTGCACCCACCGACCCTTTGGGAGAGGCCGGCCCTGCCCCCCTCACTCCCTAAAATCAAGGGGTGACTTTGCCCCCCCAATTCTGTTTTTCGTGCTCTCTGCTTCCCAAAACCCCCAGCTGGTTGGGAGTCTCCCCAGAGTGAAGAAACGTCTGCCTTTACCTCTCCAATTTGTCTTTCCCGAGTGTTTTCCGCTCCTTTCTGTCGTCACATCGCCCGAACCAGACCTTTCCCCTCGCTCCAGGAATTTTCTGGAGCGAAGCGGGCACGAAACCAGAAGAAAAAGCCAAAGAAAAGCCAAAGAAAAAGCAAAGAAAAGCCAAAGAAAAACCAAAGAAAAGCCAAAGAAAAGCCAAAGAAAAACCAAAAAAAAGCCAAAGAAAAGCCAAAGAAAAACCAAAGAAAAACCAAAGAAAAGCCAAAGAAAAACCAAAAAAAAGCCAAAGAAAAGCCAAAGAAAAACCAATGAAAAACCAAAGAAAAACCAAGGAAAAGCCAAACTCGGGGTCTTTACGGGCTTGGCGGATGAGCCACCCAAGGGGTTTTGCAACTGTCACCTCTGTGTCACCCTCGGAGAAGAATGAGGAGGCTCTCAGGTGGTTTAAACCAAGACAATGGATACCAGGAAGGGGAGAGGAGCAGCAAAACAAAAGGGTAACCGGTCCTGTTTGAGGATGCTCCTCGAGTGGCCCCGGGGGCAGAGGCAGCAACTGTTGCATGAGTTTTATTCCCGTATCCCTGACTCACTTTATTGCTCTTCTTTTTTTTGTTGTGTGTGTTCCTGCTCCGCTCATTAGGGACTGTCAGCAGTCCCAAATTGCATCCTCATTCCTCAACTGACAGGGAAAGCCTCCAGCAAGGTTTGGGGTGCTTGTGTAACCCCCACCTGGGTCCTGAATTCCCTTTTTTTCCCAACTTTTTCCCCCAAAAAACACCCTGTGGGGAGGCCACTCAGAATGCCCAGCCCTGCGAGGGGAGCGATGCCCAAGTGCCACCAGGGTGGCCCTGGCAGGGCAGTGAGTGGCATCTGCCCCCAAGGGATGCTCCCCAAAGCCCTTGTGGAACCCCACAGCGCCGAGCTGTGCCACGGGGTGCAAATGCCCACGTGACATTTGGGTTTCACGTGGGATGGGCGCTGGGTTTCGGCTGCTTTTTGGAAATGTCGGGGCCCTCCTGAGCCTGAGGGTTCCCCCCACCCGGTTCACAGTCACCAGCACAGTCAGGAGCTCTTTGCCACTCCTGTTTCTGCCCCTTCCTCCCCCCTCCAGGAGGTCACGGTGACCTCTAGAAGTGCCAGGATTTTGTGGGGGGGCCGTCACCCCACCCTCTAAAATCACCCCATTTCTTTGTGCAGAGTCACCACCCTGTGTGTGTGACCGGGGTGGCACCTCTGTGACCTTCTGTGTGACACCTCTGTGACACCTTCTGTGACTTGTGTGACCCCCTGGAGCTCCCGGAGCCCCTCGGCCTCGTTCTCTGCTGGGCTGGGGTCCTTTGGTTGCTTTGGGATTCACAAAAGCGTCACGGGCACCCCCCAGGATGTGGCACCTCCAGCTCCGGGGCTGGGGCTCGGCAGAGACCTGGGAAAGGACCCCCTCCCCCAGCTGTGCTTCACCCCTGGCACGTCCTGGAGCTGATCCTAAGGGGATTTGGGAGAAGCAGGGCTGGGAATGCTCTGGTGCTTCCCTGCTGTCATGTTCTGGAGCTGATCCAAAGGGGATTTGGGAGAAGAAGGGCTGGGGATGTTCCTGTGCTTCACCCCTGGCATGGCCTGGAGTTGGTCCTAAGGGGATTTGGGAGATGGAGGGCTGGGAATTCTCTGGTGCTTCCCCCTGTTGTGTCCTGGAGCTGATCCTAAGGGGATTTGGGAGAAGCAGGGCTGAGAATGCTCTGGTTCTTCCCCCCACCTCTGTTACCCCCCTGGCACCTCCTGGAGTTGGTCCAAAGGGGATTTGGGAGAAGGGCTGGGGATGTTCCTGTGCTTCACCCCATTCTGTCCTGGAGCTGGTCCTAAGGGGATCTGGGAGAAGAAGGGCTGGGAATGTTCCTGTGCTTCCTCCCTGTTGTGTCCTGCAGCTAATCCTAAGGGGATTTGGGAGAAGCAGGGCTGAGAATGTTCTGGTTCTTCCCCCCATTGTGTCCTGAAGCTGATTCTAAGGGGATTTGGGAGAAGCAGGGCTGGGAATGTTCCTGTGCTTCACCCCACCTCTGTTACCCCCCTGGCACCTCCTGGAGCTGATCCAAAGGGGATCTGGGAGATGGAGGGCTGGGAATGCTCTGGTTCTTTCCCCCTGTTGTGTCCTGGAGCTGATCCTAAGGGGATTTGGGAGAAGAAGGGCTGGGGATGTTCCTGTGCTTCCCCCCATTGTGTCCTGGAGTTGATCCAAAGGGGATTTGGGAGAAGCAGGGCTGGGAATGCTCTGGTGCTTCCCTGCTGTCATGTTCTGGAGTTGATTCAAAGGGGATTTGGGAGAAGCAGGGCTGGGAATGTTCCTGTGCTTCACCCCACCTCTGTTACCCCCCTGGCACCTCCTGGAGCTGATCCTAAGGGGATTTGGGAGAAGCAGGGCTGGAAATTCTCTGGTGCTTCCTCCCTGTTGTGTCCTGGAGCTGATCCAAAGGGGATTTGGAGATGGAGGGCTGGGAATGTTCCTGTGCTTCACCCCTGGCACGGCCTGGAGTTGATCCTAAGGGGATTTGGGAGATGGAGGGATGGGAATGTTCCTGTGCTTCGCCCCATTGTGTCCTGGAGCTGATCCAAAGGGGATTTGGGAGAAGCAGGGCTGGGAATGTTCCTGTGCTTCACCCCACCTCTGTTACCCCCCTGGCACCTCCTGGAGCTGATCCTAAGGAGATTTGGGAGAAGCAGGGCTGGGAATGCTCTGGTTCTTCCCCCCACCTCTGTTACCCCCCTGGCACCTCCTGGAGCTGATCCAAAGGGATTTGGGAGAAGGGCTGGGAATGTTCCTGTGCTTCACCCCATTGTGTTCTGAAGCTGATCCAAAGGGATTTTGGGAGAAGCAGGACTGGGAATGTTCCTGTGCTTCACCCCATTGTGTCCTGGAGCTGGTCCTAAGGGGATTTGGGAGAAGCAGGGTTGGGAATGTTCCTGTACTTCGCCCCTGTTGTGTCCTGGAGCTGATCCAAAGGGGATTTGGGAGAAGCAGGGCTGAGAATGCTCTGGTTCTTCCCCCCACCTCTGTTACCCCCCTGGCACCTCCTGGAGCTGATCCAAAGGGGATTTGGGAGAAGAAGGGCTGGGGATGTTCCTGTACTTCACCCCATTGTGACTTGGAGCTGATCCTAAGGGAGTTTGGGAGAAGAAGGGCTGGGAATGCTCTGGTGCTTCCCTGCAGTCATGTTCTGGAGTTGATTCAAAGGGGATTTGGGGGAAGAAGGGCTGGGGATGTTCCTGTGCTTCACCCCACCTCTGTTACCCCCCTGGCACATCCTGGAGCTGATCCAAAGGGGATCTGGGAGATGGAGGACTGGGAATACTCTGATGTTTCCCTGCTGTCATGTTCTGGAGTTGATTCAAAGGGGATTTGGGAGAAGCAGGGCTGGGAATGTTCCTGTGCTTCACCCCATTGTGTCCTAGAGCTGGTCCTAAGGGGATTTGGGAGAAGCAGGGCTGGGAATGCTCTGGTGCTTCCCTGCTGTCATGTTCTGGAGCTGATCCTAAGGGGATTTGGGAGAAGCAGGGCTGGAAATTCTCTGGTGCTCCTACCAAGGACACACTCGCTGCCTGCTGAGGTAGAAGATGCTGGGACCAACCACCCACGAGCAGTGGGAGCACACTGGGACCTGACCCCCTTCAGGAGCCCACACAGTGTTTTTTTTTCGCTCAGTGGGGACTCCCCACTCTGCCCAGAGCAAGACCCTTCCCCTTCCCTCCTCTCCTCCAGCTCCATCTGCTTTTAACCCACCCTAACCACGGTTTGGGTGGGAATCGCACCCACCCCCGGAGCCCCCCCAAGGCACGAAACACGGATCCATTCGGTGCTCCAAGTGCAAGGTTTTTATTTCAACTCCACGGGGGAAAGGGGCTGGCAAGGTTTGGGTTGCAGGGAAGGGAGGATGGTGCTGGGATGGCAGAGCCCCATGGGCACAGAAACCCCGTGGGCACAGAAACCCCTGGGCACAGAAACCCCGTGGGGGGACGCTTCAGTTGCGGGGACGGCGGCCGTGGTCGTGCCCGTGGTCGTGGCCGTGCCCGTGGTCGTGCCCATGGCCATGCCCGTGGTCCCCACCAGGGCCCTGGTGGGACCTGTTGTGGGCATCGATGGCCACCAGGCTGAGGGTGGTGAGGAACTCGGTGAACTTGAGGCGCCCGTCGCGGTTGCCGTCGGCCTTGGCGAAGAGCTGGGCGATGTACTCGTCGGTGCTCGCCTTGGGCTGGGGAGGGGGGGAAAAAAACACACCTGGAACTCGGCTCAACCCTCCCTCCCTCATCTGGGAGAGCTGAATTCCAGGAGGAAAAAAAATCCCTCCTTCCCTCAGCTGGGAGGGCTGAACCCCAGGAGGAAAAAAATCCCTCCTTCCCTCAGCTGGGGAGGGCTGAACTCCAGGAGGAAAAAAATCCCTCCTTCTCTCAGCTGGGGAGGGCTGAACCCTAGGAGGAAAAAAATCCCTCCTTCCCTCAGCTGGGAGGGCTGAATTCCAGGAGGAAAAAAATCCCTCCTTCCCTCTGGGAAGCTCCCATCCCTCAAGGAGGGCTCTTCCACCCCTGGAAGCATCCGAGGATGGGTTGGGGGCAACCTGATTTAGAAGAAGGAGGTGCCCCCACTGCAGGGGTGATCTTTTGAGGTGCCTTCCCCCCCACCAATCCCACAATTCCAGGATGAATTCCACGAGCTCACCGGCTTGGTGTTGTGCAGGAAGGGCTGGGCAGTCTCCTTGAGCAGCTGGGAGAACTCTCCCTTGCTCAGGTAGTCGTCGATGGGGTACCGCACGGCGTACTGGTGGTAGATGTTGACAGCGCACTCCAGGGCGAGCTCCAGGTCGGTTTTCATCCTGCTGGGGAATGGAGAACACACACACACACAAACAAGGCAAAACATCAGAGCAGGTTGGGAGGAGAGGGAGGATTGGGGTCTCTCTCTCTCTCTTTCTCCAGGCCCATCCTGGTGGTGCTTCCAGCACCACAAAGAGGGCCTTTGGAAGGAGCTGCTCACCTTGGAGGAGTTCTGGGCTCTGCAGGTGATGCACAGAAGGGGCAGGAGCGAGTGGTGCCACGCAGGGGAGACGCCGCCTCTTCTTATACTCTCCCTGAGCCACGGTTTTTGTGACACCCTCAAATCTCCTCCCGGGGCGACAACCCCGAGGGAATTGTGCAAGGCTGCTCAGCACGCCCAGGTGGTGACTTCTTGGCTCCAGGAACCGGCTGCTCTCCCTGTCAGCGAGGGAGGGGGACGCCCCAAACTCATCAGGACAGAACAAGGAAACACCAGAAGTGACATCTGAGAGGAGCTGTCACTTGGGGGGGTCGTTGATGATGCAAGGTTGGGACATTTCTGACAGAGATTTGGGGGCTTGGTGGAGATGATGGGAGAGGAAATTTGTCTGGATCACGCCTGTGAGGGTCCCCAGTGGGATAACACCGGGTTTACCCCACGGGGAATGTGGCTCATCCTTTTATTTGCCCCATCACCATCGAGTTTGGGTGGAGGTTTGGTGGCCCCTTGGAGTTTGGGTGGAGGTTTGGTGGCCCCTTTGAGTCTGGGTGGAGGTTTGGTGGCCCCTTCGAGTTTGGGTGGAGGTTTGGTGGTCCCTTCGAGTTTGGGTGGAGGTTTGGTGGCCCCTTGGAGTCTGGGTGGAGGTTTGGTGGCTCCTTTGAGTTTGGGTGGGGGTTTGGTGACCCCTTGGAGTTTGGGTGGGGGTTTGGTGGCCCCTTCGAGTTTGGGGGAGGTTTGGTGGCCCCTTGGAGTTTGGGGGGGGTTTGGTGGCCCCTTCGAGTTTGGGTGGAGGTTTGGTGGCCCCTTCAAGTTTGGGTGGAGGTTTGGTGGCCCCTTGGAGTTTGGGTGGAGGTTTGGTGGCCCCTTCAAGTTTGGGTGGAGGTTTGGTGGCCCCTTCGAGTTTAGGTGGGGATTTGGTGGCCCCTTCGAGTTTGGGTGGGGGTTTGGTGGCCCCTTGGAGTTTGGGTGGGGGTTTGGTGGCCCCTTTGAGTCTGGGTGGGGGTTTGGTGGCCCCTTCAAGTTTGGGTGGAGGTTTGGTGGCCCCTTCGAGTTTAGGTGGGGATTTGGTGGCCCCTTCGAGTTTGGGTGGAGGTTTGGTGGCCCCTTGGAGTTTGGGTGGAGGTTTGGTGGCCCCTTGGAGTTTGGGTGGAGGTTTGGTGGCCCCTTCGAGTCTGGGTGGAGGTTTGGTGGCCCCTTGGAGTTTGGGTGGAGGTTTGGTGGCCCCTTCGAGTTTGGGGGGAGGTTTGGTGGCCCCTTGGAGTTTGGGGGGAGGTTTGGTGGCCTCTTGGAGTTTGGGTGGGGGTTTGGTGGCCCCTTGGAGTTTGGGTGGAGGTTTGGTGGCCCCTTGGAGTTTGGGGGGAGGTTTGGTGGCCCCTTCGAGTTTGGGTGGAGGTTTGGTGACCCCTTCGAGTTTGGGTGGGGGTTTGGTGACCCCTTGGAGTTTAGGGGAGGTTTGGTGGCTCCTTTGAGTTTGGGGGGAGGTTTGGTGCTGCTGGTGTTGGGTCAACACATCCCCCTCTCCAAACTGGGGCTGGTGGGGAGCCCCTCATCCCAAATCCAGCCCTGGGCCACTCTTGGAGGTTTTTTTGGGGCATGGGAAGGGCAGTGATGGTGAAACATCTCCCTGTCAGCCTCCTAATCCCGGAACCCGAGTCAGAAGAATCCTAAATTGCAAAAGAAGTGGAAAACAAAGGGACAGGTTTGCTGCTGGGGATGGGCCAGGAAGGGGAATCCACGTGGGATGGTCACGTTGGGGGGACATGGGGACACCTCCAGTGGGATGGGATGGGAGGGGATGGGATGGGATGGGATGGGATGGGATGGGATGAGATGGGACACGTGTGTGGAGGGGAGAGGGCATCGTGTGTGCCAGGTGGGGGGGTCTGAGGGGACATCTGTGCCAAGTGGGGTGGTCTGAGGGGGCATCTGTGCCATGTGGGGTGGTCTGAGGGGATTTCTGTGCCATGTGGGGTGGTCTGAGGGGGTATCTGTGCCAGGTGGGAGGGTCTCAAGGGATATTTGTGCCATGTGGGGGGGTTTGAGGAGATATCTGTGCCAAGTGGGGTGGTCTGAAGGGATGTTTGTGCCATGTAGGGTGGTCTGAAGGGATTTCTGTGCCAAGTGGGGTGGTCTGAGGGGATTTCTGTGCCATGTGGGGGGGTCTGAGGGGATTTCTGTGCCATGTGGGGGGGTCTGAGGATTTCTGTGCCAAGTGGGGTGGTCTGAGGGGATTTCTGTGCCATGTGGGGGGGTCTGAGGGGATTTCTGTGCCATGTGGGGTGGTCTGAGGGGGCATCTGTGCCATGTGGGGTGGTCTGAGGGGATGTTTGTGCCAGGTGGGAGGGTCTCAAGGGATGTTTGTGCCATGTGGGGGGGTCTGAGGAGATATCTGTGCCAGGTGAGGGGGTCTGAGGGGGCATCTGTGCTATGTGGGGTGGTCTGAGGGGACATCTGTGCCTCATGGGGGGGTCTGAGGAGATATCTGTGCCAGGTGAGGGGGTCTGAGGGGGCATCTGTGCTATGTGGGGTGGTCTGAGGGGACATCTGTGCCTCATGGGGGGGTCTGAGGGGATGTCTGTGCCAGGTAGGGGGGTCTGAGGGGGCATCTGTTCCTCATGGGGTGGTCTGAGGGGATGTTTGTGCCATGTGGGGGTGTTTGAGGAGATATCTGTGCCATGTGGGGTGGTCTGAGGGGATTTCTGTGCCATGGGGGGAGGTCTGAGGGGGCATCTGTGCCACATGGGGTGGTCTGAGGGGGCATCTGTGCCACATGGGGTGGTCTGAGGGGATTTCTGTGCCTCATGGGGTGGTCTGAGGGGATGTCTGTGCGTCATGGGGGGGTCTGAGGGGGATGTCTGTGCAAACTGGGGGGGTCTGAGGGGGCATCTGTGCCAAGTGGGGTGGTCTGAGGGGATTTCTGTGCCAACTGGGGTGGTCTGAGGGGATGTCTGTGCCATGTGGGGTGGTCTGAGGGGATTTCTGTGCCATGTGGGGAGGTCTGAAGGAATGTCTGTGCCATGTGGGGTGGTCTGAGGGGATGTCTGTGCTAGGTAGGGGGTTCTGAAGGGATGTCTGTGCCATGGGGGGAGGTCTGAGGGGGCATCTGTGCCATGTGGGGTGGTCTGAGGGGGCATCTGTGCCAAGTGGGGTGGTCTGAGGGGATTTCTGTGCCAAGTGGGGTGCCAAGGGGATCGGAGGGAGGAAAAGAGATCCAGAAGCAGGAGCAGGACAAGCTCAAGTGGGTTGGGGGGGCTTTAAAAGGGATTTAGAGGGAGGAAAAGAGATCCAGAACCATGAGCAGGACGAGCTCGGGTAGGTTGGGGGTTGTTAAAAGGGATTTAGAGAGAGGAAAAGAGATCCAGAAGCAGGAGCAGGACAAGCTCAGGTGGGTTGGGGGGAGTTAAAAGGGATTTAGAGGGAGGAAAAGAGATCCAGAACCAGGAGCAGGACGAGCTCGGGTGGGTTGGGGGAGTTAAAAGGGAGGAAAGGAATTACAGAACCACGAGCAGGACGAGCTCGGGTAGTTTGGGGGGTGTTAAAAGGGAGGAAAAGAGATCCAGAAGCAGGAGTAGGACGAGCTCGGGTGGGTTGGGGGGTGAAAAGGGAGGAAAGGAGATCCAGAACCAGGAGCAGGACGAGCTCGGGTGGGTTGGGGGTGTTAAAAGGGGATCGCAGGGAGGAAAAGAGATCCAGAAGCAGGAGCAGGACGAGCTCGGAGCGGGGCCAGGGCCACTCCTCTCGAGTTTACAGCCCCGGGCTGAGCGTGCTCGTGGGGCAGCCCGGGTGGCACAGGGAAGTGGTGACTCCACAACCCCGCCCCGAGCAGGAACGCGGCCGAAACCCCGCTCAGGATTTACTGAGGGGAGGGGGAAAAAGGGACGAGAGGAGGGAGGGGGGGTCCTGCGTGACGGGTCGTGCCCCGCGGGTGTGGGGTGTGGGTTGTGTCAGATGCTGACTCTGCCCGAGCGTCGCAGTTACGGCTCAAAAAAACCCCCTTTTTAACCACTAAAACCCTTTTATTGCCGCTCTGGGAGCCGCTAATCCCCCTAAAATCTCCCTCCTCGCTCCGGGGGCTGCGGGGCCGGCTCAGACCCCGCCGCTGACTCATCCCGAGCGGCTGCCAGGGCTCAACATCCCCCCTTTTCCCCCCGAGGCAGAGCAGAATCCACGCGGGGAGTGGATTTTTCGCCACTTTTTCCCACTCCCTGCCCGCGTTCCCCCTCCCACGGCCACGACACCCGTGGGGGGGGAGCGAGACCCCCCCAATGTGGGACGGCAAAGAGGACTCGACTGAAATCTCTATTTATTGAAATGACATCAGGAGGACAAAGGGGGGTAAAAAAGGGGTCGGGAGGCGTGGGGAGGGGGGAAGATTCTCCCCTCCCACCCCCCGCGCTCACTTCCTGCGTGGCATCTTGTCGGGCAGGTCCTGGAAGAAGTCGTTGCACATCATGGCCAGGCAGGCCAGGAAGGTCACGTACTCCTGGAAATCCACCTCGCTGTCGCTGTTGCAGTCCAGGTTGCTCATCAGCTGCTGTAAACTGGCCTCGCTGGTTTGTTTCTGCCCCCACCCCGGGGAAAAGTGGGAGAAATCGGGGTTAAAATCGGCGTTTCCAAGGTTGGAATCGCATCGCCTCCACGAGGCACCTGCTGGTTTTCCACTTTTCCCACTTACGCTGAAGCTCGGCAGCTCCTTCAGGAGCATCTCCTTGAGCTCGGCTTTGCTGAGCTTGTACTTGTCCGCCTTCCTTCCCCGAGTATTTGTGGAAGGTGGCGACCATCACGGCCAGCGCCTGCTCCAGGGGACACGCCATGGGGACACCGGGACACCTGGAGGGACAAAGGGGGGGTCACAACCCTCTCCTTCCCAAACCAAGCAGGGGAGGGAGGGGCTCAGGTGCTTTCCCAGCCCTCGCAGGTGAAATCCAAACCAACGGGAACCTCCCCTCTGATCCCCCGAGAGAGGGAAAAAAAAAAATAAAATAAAAATAAAAATCCCCGCCCGGGAATGGCGGGGACACCCGGAAAAAAAAATCAACTCACCGAGAGCTCGGAGGGAACGGCGGAGGACGGGACGGGAAGGGCGGGAGAGGAGACGGGGCCGGGATTTTTTATAGCCCCGCCTGGGCCGCCTCCCTCGGCCGCGGGGAGGGAGGGAGGGAGAGGGGGGAGGCATCGACGATGGAAAAAGGAAGGAGAGGAAAACCCGGGAGCGGCCCTGCCCCAACCCCCAACCCCCCATCCCGAATTATCCTGCTCGCGGGGGTTGGTTTGGGTTCGAAAGGGGGGTGGGCAGGCACCTCCTGGTCCAGGAGAATCCCCCCGCGTGGGGACACACGCAGGGATGCTGGAACCCACGAGGGGGGGGGGTCTGTCCGTGGAGAGGGGAGGGATGGATGGGGTTGTGCTGATGCTTTTTTTATTATTATTATTATTATTTTCTGCCTGTTTTTAAACTCTCCTGGCAGCGATTTTTTATTGGTGTTGTTGTTTCCCGACTCCCCCGTTGTGTAACCCGGCGCTATTTCGGTGCCTGCGTGGCCCACGAGCTGTTCCCGGCACTTTCCAAACCCTCCAGATGTGAGCTGAGGGCTGGCAAGCCCCAGTGCCCCCCCAACCCCATCCCCTCAGGGGATGAAGCTCCGGGTTCCTCCAAAACTCGGTGGGATGTGAAACCTCCCCCCTCCCCTCCCCAGCCACTCCCCTGAAGTCTCCCCAGGTCGGGTTTTTTTTTCTTCTTCTTGACGTTTTTGGCAGGAGGAACCCCCAGCCTGAACCTCCCTCCCCTCATTCCCCAGTGCAAACTGGGGGGGAGTTACTGGGAGGGGGCAGAAGCTCCCCTGGGGCTCTGGGAAGGAAGAGCAAAGTCTGGAGCGGCTGGGCAAGGTCTGGAAGGACCTGGAGGGGTTCAGGGAAGGACCTGGAGGGCCTCAGGGAAGACCTGGAGGGGCTCAGGGAAGACCTGGAGGACTCAGGGGAGGACCTGGAGGGTCTCAGGGAAGACCTGGAGGGGCTCAGGGAAGACCTGGAGGGGCTCAGGGAGGACCTGGAGAGCTCAAGGAAGACCTGGAGGGGTCGAGAAAGGACTTGGAGGGTTCAAGGAGAACCTGGAAGGGTTCAAGGAGGACCTGGAGGGGCTCAAGGAAGACCTGGAGGGACTCAAGGAGGACCTGGAGGGACTCAAGGAAGACCTGGAGGGACTCAAGGAAGACCTGGAGGGACTCAAGGAGGACCTGGAGGGACTCAAGGAAGACCTGGAGGGCTCAAGGAGGACCTGGAGGGTCTCAGGGAGGACCTGGAGGGTTCAAGGAGAACCTGGAAGGGCTCAGGGAAGACCTGGAGGGGCTCAAGGAAGACCTGGAGGGGCTCAAGGAGGACCTGGAGTGGTCAAGGAGGACCTGGAAGAGTTCAAGGAGGACCTGGAGGGGCTCAAGGGAGACCTGGAGGGTTCAAGGAGGACCTGGAGGGGCTCAGGGGAGGACCTGGAGGGGCTCAAGGAAGACCTGGAGGGGTTCAAGGAGAACCTGGAAGGGTTCAAGGAAGACCTGGAGGGTCTCAAGGAGGACCTGGAGGGTCTTAGGGAAGACCTGGAGGGCTCAAGGAGGACCTGGAGGGGTTCAAGGAGGACCTGGAGGGACTCAAGGGAGACCTGGAGGGACTCAAGGAGGACCTGGAGGGTTCAGGGGAGGACCTGGGCCCTCAGGGCCGGGCTGTGCCAGGGGTTTGCTCTGCCATGGAGTGGTGGAAAAGCTCTGTGAGGGCTTTTCAAAAACCTGGCCTGGTTCCCGTGGAGGAGCCAAAGAGCAGCTGCTGCACCTTCAGCAAACCAGCCCAGACCTGCCTGGAGCCGCCTCAGCGACCGGGAAGGAGGAGGAGGAGGAGGAGGAGGAGGAAGAAGGGGAATCCTGTGACTCCCGGTCACATCCCAGGAAATTCCTGCCTGTCTGCAGCCCCAGGGCTCCCTGGAGAACTCATTGACCCCCCCAGCACGAGCCCCCCCCCCCCCCCAGTGGGGGCTGAGGGGTCTCCTGGAGGGGTCTGGGGAAAACTCTTTGGGTTTGTGTTTCGCTCAAACCTCCTCCTGTCTCTCGTCCTGGTTCCCCCACCCCACTTTCCCTGCCCCCCCAAACCCAACGAGGCGCCCAGGGCGGGGCTCCTGCCCACCCAAAAACCCACGCTGGGCACTCTGAACCTTCATCTCTTTCCACCCAAAAGTGCACTCGGTCCCTCCCTGAGCCAGCAAGGACAGCTCAGAGAGGGGGGGTGGGTAAGGAGGAACCATCCAAGCAGATTGTTTTGCTCAAATAAAAATTAAAAAACCCCAAAAAAAACCAACCCCAGCCTTCCAGGGCCGTGTCCCAAGCCTGGAAAAATCCCAGGGAAGCCGGAGGAAGGCGTGAATCACCCTTACCCAGCAGGCACAGAACCCCTGGAGCACAGCCAGGACTGGGCAAAGCTTTTATTGACGGCCCCTCAGGGCCACTTTAAGAAGGGTGATAATGGAGGGGGATGATGGATGATGATGGGGGGGTCACTTCCTGCGGTGCTGCTTGCTGGGGTCGTCCTTGAAGAAGTCGTTGAAGCCCATGGTGATGCAGGCCAGGAAACAAACGTACTCCTTGAAATCCACCTCGCTGTCCTTGTTGTGGTCCAGGTCGTTCACGAGCCGCTTGAACTCCGCCTCGTCCATCTGTTTCTGGGGGGGGAGGGAGGGAAGGGAAAATGAGAGGGTTTTGGGGTGGCCCCCACCTCCCCTGCCAGCTCTGCTTCCCTCCCCCTGCCTGGAGGAGGGGTTTCTCCTTGCCCTTGGAAAGAGGGGTTTCCCTCTGCCTTTGGAAGGAGGGTTTTCCCTCTGGAAGGAAAGTTTCCCTCTGCCTTTGGAAGGAAAGCTTCCTTCTGCCTTTGGAAGGAAATTTTCCCTCTGCCTTTGGAAGGAGGGGTTTCTCCTTGTTTTTGGAAGGAAGGTTATCCCTCTGCCTTTGGAAGGGAAGTTTGCCTTTGGAAGGAAGTTTTCCCTTTCCCTTTGGAAGGGAAGTTTCCCTTTGCCTTTGGAAAAAGGGTTTTCTCCTTGCTTTTGGAAGAAAAGTTTCCCTTTGCCTTTGGAAGGAAGTTTTCCCTCTGCCTTTGGAAAAAGGGTTTTCTCCTTGCCTTTGGAAGGGAAATTTTCCCTCTGGAAGGAAGTTTTCCCTCTGCCTTTGGAAGGAAAGCTTCCTTCTGCCTTTGGAAAGAGGATTTTCTCCTTATTTTTAGAAGGAAAGTTTTCCCTCTGCCTTTGGAAGGAAAGTTTTCCTGTGCCTTTGGAAGGAAATTTCCCCTCTGCCTTTGGAAGGGAAGTTTTCCTGTGCCTTTGGAAGGAAATTTCCCCTCTGCCTTTGGAAGGGAAGTTTTCCCTCTGGAAGGAAAGTTTTCCCTCTGCCTTTAGAAGGAACCTTTCCCTCTGCCTTTGGAAAGAGGATTTTCTCCTTATTTTTAGAAGGAAAGTTTTCCCTCTGCCTTTGGAAGGAAAGTTTGCCTTTGGAAGGGAAGTTTTCCCTCTGCCTTTGGAAGGGAAGTTTCCCCTCAGGAAGGAAAGTTTTCCCTTTGCCTTTGGAAAGAGGGTTTTCCCTCTGCCTCTGGAAGGAAACTTTCCCTCTGGAAGTAAAGTTTTCCCTTTGCCTTTGGAAGGGAAGTTTCCCTCTGGAAGGAAATTTTCCCTTTGCCTTTGGAAGGAGGGTTTTCTCCCTGCCTTTGGAAGGAAGGATTTCCCTCTGCCTCTGGAAGGAGGAGGCCTGGAAAGCTGCACCCATCGTGTCTCTGGGATCAGGGGGAAAAGTGGGGCCGAAAAACTTTCCCTCCTCCCGATTTAAACCACAAGGGTTTAAAGAAGGGGAAGTGAGGGGGGGGAAATGGTTATAAAGTGGAAATCAGAGCGTGATTTCCCTTTTGCCAAACTAAATATATCTGGGGGCATTTTAAAAAATAAATTAAAAAAAAATTAAAAAAAAAGCCAAATTTCCCTTTTGGGCTGAGGCTGCTCCAGCTCAGCTTCCTCCTCCTTCTTCTCCTCCTCTTCCTCCTCCTCTTTCCCAGGGCTTTTCCTCGGAGCACGAGGCTTCTCTGGGCTGCACCCACCACATTCCACACTCAGGGAATTTCAGAGACCCCTCCAACCCCCCCAAAGTCCCCCCCCGTGGCCACTTACGCTCCCAAAGACGGGCAGCTCCTTGTTCAGCAGCTCCCTGAGCTCGGCCTTGCTGAGCTTGTACTTGTCCCCCTCCTTCCCCGAGTACTTGTGGAAGGTGGTGACCATCACAGCCAGCGCCTGCTCCAGGGGACACGCCATGGCCAGCCTGGGGACACAGCAGGGCATGGGGAGGGGGGCTCAGGATCTTTCCACCCCAAAACCCCAGGGAGGTTTTTGGGGTGTAGAGAGGGAGAGGGGAAGGCACTCACCTGGTCCTGCAGCCCTGAGGACACACCTGGGGTGCTGCAGGCCAGGGCAGGGGTGTTTATAGCCCCGTGGGGGTGGCACTGCCCACCCCCCCCCTGTGGCCCCCAGGGCTTTCCCAGGTAGTTTCACTCACACCCCATTTTTGCCCAACGAGCTGTGTGATCCCATTAGAGGGAGAACCATCCCCCACCCCCCAGGGTGTTGTGGCCCCCCAGCAATCCCTTCCTGGCGACCCCAAATCCGAGGGAATATTTCAGGTGTGTGTGGGGGGGGTGAAAATCTGATTTATCTGAGGTGTGGGTTGGGGTTTTGGTCCATCAGCTTTAGCACCAGGCACAGGGTCAGGATTTGGGCCCACCCCTCCCAGGAGAATCACATCCTCCTTCCAGTCCATCACTTGTGTGAAAATCTGATTTGTCTGAGGTGGGGGTTGGGGTTTTGGTCCATCAGCTTGGCCTAGCACCAGGCACAGGGTCAGGATTTGGGCCCACCCCTCCCAGGAGAATCACATCCTCCTTCCAGTCCCATCACCTTGTCCTTCTGCAGGTCCTTCAGGAGCACCCACAGGCTGAGCCCACCCAATTGGCCTTGGCACAGAGGGTCACTGGGGTCAAAGGGTGGCATCAGCCACGACACAGAATCATAGAATCATAGATTGGGTTGGAAAAGACCTCCCAAGATCATCAAGTCCAACCCCTGATCCAACTCTAATTACTATATCATGGCACTAAGGGGGGGGGTCTGTGTGGTGTCCCACCCTGAAAGGAGGAGGGATCACCCAATATTCTCTGGGATTCCACAGCTGGGCACGTTTTAGGGGAGCAGCAGGACCTTCCCTGCCCCCCACACTCCCCCCCCTCCTGTCCCAGGGAAGGGACACAAAAAGGGGGAATATCCTGAGTTCTTCACCTACAAACGAGGTGCTGGGGGTTTGGCCGCCCCCAAAGCGGAGGGTCCATCCCGGAGGGGATCCCGAGGGTGGACACGGCTGGGATTCCGTGGGAGCGGCGGGGAGCGGGGCCCGGCCCAGCCCCGCAAACCGCGGGGTTGAGTCACGGCCCGGCCCTCGCCCCACGGGGATTCCTCGGCCGTGACTCAGCCGCGGACCCGCCCCGCTCTCTCCCACGGCGAGAATCGCGGTTTTCCGCCCACCCCCCGGAGCTGCGGGGGTCCCCGTGGGCAGGGGGACAGGCAGGGGGACAGGTAGAGGACAGGCAGGGGACAGGCAGGGGACAAGGATGCTCCGGGAGCAACGAGGGGGTGCGGCCGGCAGGGGATGGGGGTCCCGGTTTCACGGTGCCATCACCCCCCTGCCCTGAGAGTGGGGGTCCTGGGGGTCCGGGGAGGATGCGGGGGACACACGGTCACGCTCGTAGCTCCACTCGCAAGTCCCTTCCCAAGTGGAAAATCCCCGGGAAGAGCCGGAGCTGCGGCTCGGGCTCCCTGCCCGCACCGTGGGCGTGGCGGAGCGCGACGAGCCCAACCCTGCTGAGCACGAGGGGGTCCCTGGGGGGGTCTCTGGGGGTGTCTCTGGGGGTCCCTGTGGGGATCTCGGCACGGCTTTGCCCCCTACCCGAAATCTGCAATGTCCTGGGATGGCAGGACGGGAATTGGGGTCCCCCAAAACACCCCACACACTCGGGGCCGGGGGTGTGCAATACGGGGCTCTGACTCCGAGCCACCCGTGGGGACACGGGGGGGGGTCCCCCAGGAGAGCTGTGGCAGCAGCCGCTCCCCCCGTGCCCCCTCGAGGGTTTGGGGTGTGGTGGGCGCTGGGAACGCGCGGTGTCTGCTGACACCTCGTGGTGCTGCTCCCTCAGCCCCGCCGTGACCGCGGTGTCACCAGGCTGTGACTGTGGGGAGGGACAGGGCAGAAACCCCCTCCCCTCCCCTCCCTCGGCATCCCCTCCCCTTCCTGCCCCCCCAGGGAAAGGCAGAGCCTCGGCGTCACCCGCTGCTCCTCCGGATTTTATTTTATTGCTGCAATAAAATAAATAACCACGGCCGTGTCGCCCCCACGGGGCGCTCCCTCCACCAGCCCGGCCACGGGGAAAGACCCCCTTAGCCCAGGGAAAGACCCCCCTCCCCGGGCTCTGAGGGGGAGCTGCGAGGGGAGGGAGGTCCCGGCTGTGACGGGGGGGGGGTTCTGCCAGCGGAGCTCTGAGAACACCCAGGAGGGCAAAACCTCTCCCTCCGCTCCTCGCCCCACTCGTGGCGCCCGTGGAAGGCAGGAAGGAAGGAAGGAAGGGGAGGAGGAAAGGAGGGCAGGGCAGGCAGGGCGAGGAGGAGCCTCGCACCCCCAAAATCCCACCCCCAGGGTCATCCCGCCCCCATCGCAGCCCGGGCACGGCTCGGTCGGCAGAGCCCCGGCGAGCTCGGGGCGAGCTGGGAGGGCACAAAGCGTGGGGAGGGGGGGAAAAAGGGAGGGGGTCGTGGAGAAGCAGGGGAGGGGTTGGGTTGGTCCAGGAGGGTCCTGCGGCAGCGGCTACTTGGTGAGTTTGATGCTCTGCTCCTGCTGGCGGATGATCTGGGCGATGGGGCTGGCGATGCCGCCTATCAAGGTCCAGTACTCGTCGAAGCTGATGCGCCCGTCCTTGTTCTCGTCCAGGTCGCAGATGAGCTTGTCGGCCGCGCGGCGGTTCCCGGTGTCCTGGGGGATGGATGGTGGGATTGTTATAAGTTAGTATAAGAATTTAGACAACTCAATTCCAATTAAACATTGATAAATTTATTAAGCAAGCGATAATAAAGCAAAACAGCGCTGGGTGGCTTGGAGGGCAAGTGCCCTGCCGAAGCACACACCAAAATGTAGTAAATGTTCCTTTTTATACATTTCCAAGTCCCGAGTTTTGAATGCGGCTGCGTTGAGGCTTGAGTTTGTAGCTCATTGTTAAGTGGTCATCTGGTATTTGTCAGAGATGAAAGGTGCAGTTTCTTATCAGTTGTAAATTTTACTGATACTGATACTTGTTTGCTTAGCAAGATGTCTGCAATTATTTTTACTGATACTTGCTTGATTAACAGGATGTCCATGAAACTTATCTTGTTGAATTATAACAAAAGTTCCTTATTCCCTCATACACGTAAGATTTTATGAACAAAGTTAACCCTTCTATTACAGGGATGAACAGAGCCGCTCACACCCTGGGAGGGCAGAGGGACCCCCTGGGAGCGGCAGGGGCAGGACCACCCCCTCCTCCCCTCGCTCACCGTCAGCATGTGGTTGAGCTCCCGGCTCAGCATCTTGCGGAAATCCTTCTTGCTGATGCGCCGCGGCTTCTTGCAGCAGCAGCAGCGGCTCGAGTACTTGTCAAAGTTGTTCACCAGCACCTGCACGGCCCACTCGAGCTCCGTGCACTGCGACATCGCTGCCTGAGGGGGGACCAAGGGCAGGGGATGAAGGACCCCCCCCCCTCAACATCACCAGCACGGCAGCTCAAAGCTCTGGGGTGAGCGGGGTCAGGGGGGGGTCTCTGCTGCTGCTGCTGCCAGGGCTGGGGGCACCACGAGGCTGCCAGCAGGTGGAACCAGCCTGGAATCAGACATGGATTCAGCCTGGAATCAGACATGGATTCAGCCTGGAATCAGCCATGGATTCAGGCTGGAATCAGCCATGGGTTCAGCCTGGAATCAGCCATGGGTTCAGCCTGGAACCAGCCATGGGTTCAGCCTGGAATCTATGGGAAGCCTGGAATCAGCCATGGATTCCACCTGGAATCCATGGGAAGCCTGGAACCAGCCATGGATTCAAGCCTGGAATCTGCCATGGATTCAACCTGGAATCAGACATAGATTCAGTCTGGAATCCATGGGAAGGCTGGAACCAGCCATGGATTCAGCCTGGAATCAGCCATGGATTCAGCCTGGGACCAGCCATGGATTCAGCCTGGAATCAGCCATGGATTCCACCTGGAATCAGCCATGGATTCAACCTGGAATCAGCCATGGACTCAATCTGGAATCCATGGGAAGGCTGGAACCAGCCATGGATTCAGCCTGGAATCAGCCATGGATTCAACCTGGAATCAGCCATGGATTCAACCTGGAACCAGCCATGGATTCAACCTGGAATCAGCCATGGATTCAGCCTGGAATCAGCCATGGATTGAGCCTGGAACCAGCCATGGATTCAGCCTGGAATCCATGGGAAGCCTGGAACCAGCCATGGGTTCAGCCTGGAATCAGCCATGGATTCAACCTGGAACCCATGGGAAGGCTGGAACCAGTCATGGATTCAGGCTGGAACCAGCCATGGGTTCAGCCTGGAATCAGCCATGGATTCAAGCTGGAACCAGCCATGGATTCAGCCTGGAATCAGCCATGGGTTCAGCCTGGAACCAGCCATGGATTCAACCTGGAACCAGCCATGGATTCAACCTGGAATCCATGGAAAGCCTGGAACCCACGAAAAGCCTGGAACCCACAGAAAGCCTGGAACCCACAGGGAGGCCAACAGCCGCTGGTGCCCGAGTCCTCATCTCCCCACACGGTCCAGGACCACCCCAAAACCCCGGGGGTGCCTCCCGTGCCCACCCTGCCCGCCCCCACCCCCGGCATCCACCCCCACGCGCGTGGGCCGGGTGGTAATTGGGGCCCCCCCCGGGGCTGAGCAGGGCCCGGCCGCCCTTCCCAGAGCTCATTAGGCAGGAATGGGGCCGGGAGCTGCGGCTGGAATTACCAGCCAACCCTCCTCTTGCTTCACAGCTCCGGGAACAACCTGGCTGGGCACAGCCAGCTCCCCCCACGAGCACCCCTAACCCCCCCCCAAAAAAAAAGAAAATCCCAATTGGGGGTCCCATCCTGCCTGATCCCTACCCTGGGCTCTCCGTCCTGAGGTTTCCCCAAGCCAGGAAGCTCCCACAGGATGGGCCCGACAGGATGGTCCCCGTCACGGGGTCCACATCCCGGGGAAAGGCAGGGACGGGAACTGCGTCACCTTGGCTGCTCTGGGCTCTTTTTCCTGCCTGGTCACTGGCCAGGACTTGGGGGGGGGGGGTTGCTCCCTGTTTTTCCGTGTGGATTTACACCACGGAACATCAACACCGATCATTGTGGGTCGTCGAGGGAGCCAACGGGGTGGAGCCCCAAAGGGCTGGCCCAGCACTGTCCCCCTCTCTCTGGGGACACCTCCAGGGGGTGTTTGCAGCCCAAGGAACAGGCAGGACCTGCCCCTGTGCCCCAGCCTTGGCTCCTGCCCCCTCTCTTGGCCCTGATCCTCCCCCTCGTTCAGCCCCGGGCTGGGGCTGGCGGCACCTCGGGGTGGTGACACCAGACGTGAGGCTCAGCCCCAGGCTCGTCCCTGTCCCCGGGTGTCCTCCAGTGTCCTCCCAGGCCATCCCTCCCACCTGTGGGAGCCTCTGCTGTGCCCCAGTGCCACGGGCCAGGGTCACTGTGTCACTCCAGGGACCATTCCCAGCTCTCGGCGCTCCGGCCTTGGAGCTGTCCCAGCGCTGGCAGAGCCACCAGAGCCTCTCACCGGTCATTTGCCACCAACAGGAGGGATCCAGCAGCCCCAGGGCAGGAGCACCCCCCTTCACCCTCACCCCTGCACCCACTGGGGACCCCGGTTTGGTGTCACCAGGTGCCCCTGCCAGCAGCGCCCGGCCCGTCCTCGGGGCCTGGCGGCAGCTGCTCCGCCGCTGAGTCACTCACGGCACCGGCCCGGCAACCCCGGAGAGCCCCGGGGCCAGCTGGGGGCACGGGGACACCCTGACCGGGGTGGGGCACGGGGACACCCTGACCGGGGTGGGGCAACGGGGACACCGGTACCGGGGTGGGACAAGGGGACACTGTCACCACAGTGGGACATGGGGACACTGGCATGGCAGGGGGACACGGGGGCACTGGTACCGGGGTGGGGCACGGGGACACTGGCACGGCAGGGGGACATGGGGACACCCTGACCGGGGTGGGGCACGGGGACACTGGCACGGCAGGGGGACACGGGGACACTGGCACGGCAGGGGGACATGGGGACACTGGCATGGCAGGGGGACCTGGGGACACTGGCACGGCAGGGGGACACGGGGACACTGGCATGGCAGGGGGACATGGGGACACCCTGACCGGGGTGGGACACGGGGGCACTGGCACGGCAGGGGGACACGGGGACACTGATACTGGGGTGGGACACGGGGACACTGGCACCGGGGTGGGACACGGGGACACTGATACTGGGGTGGGACACAGGGGCACTGGCACCAGGGTGGGATCAGGGACACTGGTACCATGGTGGGACATGGGGACACTGGTATCATGGTGGGACATGGGGACACTGGTACCAGGGTGTGACATGGGGGCACTGGTACTGGGGTGGAATCAGGGACACTGGTACTGGGGTGGGATCAGGGACACTGGTACTGGGGTGGGATCAGGGACACTGGTACTGGGGGGGATATGGGGACTGGGATGGGACTCTGACACCACAGTGGGACATGGGGACACTGGTACCAGGGTGGGACACGGGGACACTGGTACTGGGATGGGATCAGGGACACTGGTACTGGGGGGGATATGGGGACCAGGATGGGACTCTGACACCACAGTGGGACATGAGGACACTGTCACCACAGTGGGACACGGGGACACTGGCACAGCTGGGCACCATGCGAGGGGGACGGGCAGGACGGGACTCGCCGGCTGCTCCGCTCCCGCCACCACGGGCCCGTGGCTTCTCCCTCTCCTTCCCCCCTCTCCTTTTCCTTTTTTCCCCTCTTCTCCTTTCCCCCTCTCCTTTCTTTCCCTCTCCTTTCCTTCCCTCTCTCTCCCTCCTCACACGGTCACCTCTGCCCGGAGCCAGGACCCAACCCCGGCACCCACTGGGGACCCCAATTTGGTGTCACCAGTCCCCTGCCCCCCTCCCCGGCACCACCGCAGGAAAATCCCCCTCTTCCACAAGCCAGACCCCGCTGGCAGCCCCAGGTGGGGCTCTCCAGAGGCAGCAGAGGCCGATGGATGCAGAGCACCCTCCTCCCATCCCAGATTTCCCCCCCGTGACCCCCCAAATCCCTCCTGTCCCCTCCCCCCGGCCCCACTCGCGGAGCTGCCGAAGAACTCCGGGGAGGAGGGGAGGGAATTTCCACCTCCCAACCTGCAGCAGCACATCCCGGGCCTGCTCCCGGTTAAATATTCACCCCCAAAATGGTGATGGCTTCCCCAAACCGGGGGGAGCGGGAATTCCCCCTGGAGCCTCACCTGGCTCATTGTGGGGGTCCCGCCGTGTGTCCTCCTGACGCTGGTCCGGCAGCTGCGAGCTGATGTCGCGCCGTTCTCCGCTCACCTCGCACCCATCCCGCCGGCCCAGCCAGGTTTTTAAAGAGGCTCCCACCCCTCCCTGACGTTCCCAGGGCGTTCCCGGGCCCAGGGCTGCTCACCTGGGAAATGGCTCCCTCGGGATTGCGACACCACCGGGACGAGCCGGGACCCGCGGAGGCTCCAGCTCCTTCCCCTGGGGGCTGCTCCTCATGTTTGTGTCTTTTGCCACCCCAAAAGACCCCACTGGATGGAGGGAGGGCTGGGTGGTTGAGCGGGCACGGAATTCCAAACCCTGATCCCAAGGTTTGCAAACCCATCCAGCCAAAAAAAGAGCCCGGCTCCTTCACCTCACCCAGAGCTCATCCCACCGCCCTCCCCTGCCATCTCCAAACCACCCCACCCACCCTCCCGGCACCAGGATCTGCCTGGCAAGGCAGGGAATGTCGTTTTTTCGAACCAAAACCACTTGTTCTGGTGGGTGGAAGGGGCTCGACAGGGGTTTGGGAGCAACAATCACCGGCTCCAGACAGGGCCAGCTCTTGGCCGTGTGGGATGGACGAGGCTCTTCCCAGCTGGGAGCAGGGGCCTGTAAATCCCCATCCGTAATTAATTGTGCCAGCAAATTGCACCCCTGGTGTCTCCCAGATTCGATGCCGAGATCAGATAGAGGGGCGTTTATATCGGGAAGGGCAGATTTGGGGATGCAAAGCAGGAGGTGATTTATTACCCAGGCAGGAGCCACCTGCTGCTCCCAAGGTACCTCTGGGAACTCCCATCCCGGAAAAAACGTGTCATCCCAGCTCTTCCCTCCCTCCCCCCATCCTCCACGGTGGCTCCTTCCTAATCTCGGTCGGGAGGAAGCCAAAAACCAGTTCTGGGCCGAGATGTTCCCGGTGTCGTCGTCGTCGTCGTCGTCGTGTGGTTGATGCAACATCCCCGATGGGAGGGTGGGAATCCCTCCCCCTGGACCCTGCAGGCAAACAGCTCACCCCTGAATCACGGGGCTTTCATTGCTCTCCTCTGCTGGCAGATGTCACAACCGCATCCAGGCCCTTATTTTTTTTATTTATTTATTTATTTAATTTTTTTTTACGAGGTATCCAGGGCGTGTGCTCGGAGCTGCCACCGTTCCAGCCCGTCACGAGGACACTTCCCCACCGATTTGGTGAGGTTGGAGTTGGTTCCCCCACCACTGGTCCCCCACCTGAAGGGCCAGGAGGGGTTTGGTGTCTTCCTGGACAAACCCCCTTCTCCCTGGATTTGGGGGTGTCCTCACCAAGGAGCGGGCTGAGCCTCTCCCACCACCTCCAAGAACTTTCCAGGCACCTGTCAGGGATGGCTCACGGCGCAGGAATTGCCCTCCTGACAGCACAACGTCACACACCAGGGAGCCAGAAGTCCCCACTCCCACATCACATTCCCAGACAGGTGCCGGGAAGGGGATCCGGGAGCTCCCGAGCTCCCCCTTTCTTTTTTTTTTTTTTTTTTAATCCCCACCCCACAAACACCACCCCGGCCACCACTTGACACATTTCCTGTCTCTAATTAAATGCACGGCCACACCTTTCTGCTTAATTTCCATGCGTTTATTTCCCAGGCAGGGAACAATAAATAGTCATTCCCCACTTCGTTGTGAAATCCACCCCGGGCCGAGAGGAGACAGAAGGGTGGCCCTGTGGCCGAGCCGCGGTGCCGGAGCCGCCACCGGCCCGGCAGGACCTGCCCAGCTCCTCCTTTTATCGCCTTTCAGCGCGGTTTTAGATCAGTTTTGGTTTGCTCGCCTCGGGTTTCTCCCCTCCCGAGGTGTTTGCTGCCTGTTCCTCTTTGGGAGACCCCCGTTTTTTGGGGGGGGGTCTGCAGGGCACCTGCAGGACGGGGAGCTCGGTGGGAAGGAAGGGCAGAGGGAAGGTGGGATAATCAGGTTCTCCAGCCTTTTTCTTCACCCTCCGTGCACTGATTGCCCCATTTACCCCATCCCGCTGCCGTGTCGATGGCCCGGCTTTGTGCCACCGCCGGCTCTTTCCCGATTTGCTGCGATTACCCCCAAAATTCCACGTTTTTTCAGCACGGGTGGGATCTTTCTGCCTCGCAGATCTTTCCAAGCCCGGAATTTCGGGATCTCCTCCGAGCTGCCTCTGGCCCAGCATGGAATCACATTCCCAAATCCCTTCGGGGGGGATGCCTGTCCAGAGCACGGCCCCTCCTTGTGGAGACCCCACAGCTGGGACCACCACGTGTCCCCACGCACCCACAGCACCCCTTGCACCCCCACAGCACCCTTTGCACACCCACAGCACCCCTTGCACCCCCACAGCACCCTTTGCACCCCCACAGCCCTCTTGGCACCCCCACAGCACCCCTTGCACACCCACAGCACCCCTTGCACCCCCACAGCACCCTTTGCACACCCACAGCACCCCTTGCACCCCCACAGCACCCTTTGCACCCCCACAGCCCTCTTGGCACCCCCACAGCCCTCTTGGCACCCCTACAGCCCTCTTGGCACCCCCACAACCCTCTTGGTACCCCCACAGCCCTCTTTGCACCCCTACAACCCTCTTGGCACCCCCACAACCCTCTTGGCACCCCCACAGCCCTCTTGGCACCCCCACAGCCCTCCTGGCACCCCCACAACCCTCTTGGTACCCCCACAACCCTCTTGGCACCCCCACAGCCCTCCTGGCACCCCCACAACCCTCTTGGCACCCCCACAGCCCTCCTGTCACCCCCACAACCCTCTTGGCACCCCCACAGCCCTCTTGGCACCCCCACAGCCCTCTTGGCACCCCCACAGCCCTCTTGGTACCCCCACAGCCCTCTTGGCACCCCCACAACCCTCTTGTCACCCCCACAACCCTCTTGGCACCCCCACAACCCTCTTGGCACCCCCATACTCTGCCCAATCCAGAAAGACCCTCAACCCCATCTCCCCCCCTCTCCACCCTCTTCCCCCCCCGGGACAAACGAGGTCACCTCATCCAGGTTTTTTTGCTTTTTTTGGTTTTTTGGGGTTTTTTCCCCCAGTGTTTTCCTTTATTAATTTATACAAAAAACGGTTGCAAGTGGCACAAGCTGAGATCAACCCGGCCCCCGCCTCCCTTCCCCTCCCAGCCCCGGGGTCGGGGGAGGGTGGGCCACAAAATCCCTGGAAGATGGGGAAGCACCAGGAGTGTGGCACATTCCAGGAGAACCCCCAGACCCCTGATCCCTCCAGCGGGAGGAGGAAGGGGGGGGACAGCAGGGAATACACCCCACCCACGGCCATGGAATAGCCCGGGATGCCCCCGGAGGTGCCCTCGGGTGCCGGGGGGTGATGAGCCCGCACTTCCAAGGGTTTTTTTTGGGTGGGAGGGGAAAAAGAGCCGAGTCCCTCTCTCTGCGATGCTCCTCCAGGGCTGGGGGGTGGCAGGGTGGGTGATCCTGCAACCGGAGATGTTCCAGGGCTGGAGGTGGGACAAGCCCGGAGCGGGGTGGGGAGGGATGGGATGGGATGGAGCAAAAGGACGGAGAAAAGCTCCGGAGCCGGGTCAGGAACCCCCGTTGCCACCTCCCTCCCGCCGTGGCACGGAGCTGGGGGTGGGAAGGGGAGATTCCTGACGGGAAGGAGAGCTGGGAGAGGGCTGAGGATGAGGAGAGGGGGATTCCTCTGCCGAGCTCTGGCAGGAGCGACGTTGATTTTTTTTTCTTTTTTCTCCCCCAGGCTCATCCCCCCGGGTTCACCCCTGCCCCTCTCGCTCCTGGCTGCAGAGCCTGAAGGCCTCGGGCACCTTTCCCGTCCCCCACCACGCTCCTACTTCCTCCTGCAGCCCTTGGCTGCGTCCCCCATCATGTCCCAGTACTCCCCAAACTCCAGCTTGGCCTCGTTGGGGTCTCCCATGCACTCGATCTTCTCTTCCAGCGGTCCCACGCACTGCAGGGGGGTGGGGAGGAGAGAAAACATCGGGGTGAGGGGGCTGCGGGGTCCTGTACCCCTTTTTCCCTCACAACCCTGCAACCCAGGGGCTCTGCCCTCACCTTGCCCAGGTGGGGCAGCTTCTGCACCACCAGCTCCTGCATCTCGTTGGGGGTCAGGTACTCCTTCTGCCCCTTCACGGCGTAGCAGTGGAACTGGTTGATGACGGTCTCGATGGCCCTTTCCACGTCCGGTGAGCTCCTGGCCGTCCTGGGGGGGGGACAAGGGGGGGCACAGAGGGTGAGAACAGTGACCTGGAGGGGTGGGAAACCTTCCCACGGGGGATGGGGGGGCACAGCCTTGGAGGGATGGGACCCCTCCCCAAGAGGGATGGGGAAACCCCCCCCCAGGGGTGCACAGGGCAAGCCCTGAGTAGGGGGGGACGCTCCCTGAGGAGCCCCCAGTGAGGGGATAAAGCTCTTTGTCGACACCAGACCTCTCTGCACGAGGTGTAAAACCCACCCCACCCCTCCCCCCAAACAGATGTGAGACCTCACTGTGTCCAGATGTGAGACCCCCTCGTACAGGTGTGAGACAACGTCAGGACCCACTGTCCGGCCCTGAGACCCCCACGGAGGTGCAAGACTTCTCCATGCAGATATTTCACCTCTCCATGGGGATATTCCACCTTTCCATACAGATATTCCACCTCTCCATACAGATATTCCACCTTTCCATACAGATATTCCACCTCTCCTACAGGGATATTCCACCTCTCCATACAGATATTTCACCTTTCCATACAGATATTCCCCCTTTCCATAGGGATATTCCACCTTTCCATACAAGTATTCCACCTCTCCTACAGGAATTCCACCTTTCCATACAGATATTCCCCCTCTCCATACAGATATTCCACCTTTCCATACAGGATATTCCCCCTCTCCATACAGATATTCCACCCCTCCCCACAGATGTTCCACCGCCCCACACCAACCCCTGCCCGGCTACAATACACCCCCCCACCCCCTCCAGCTGCCACCTCGACACTTCACCCCTCCCTGCAGGCCTGTCACCCCCCAAATCTCCTTTCCTGGCCCCCTCCCTGCCCGGGTTTACCCCCCAAACCCCCCCCCGAGGCTCAGCCACCCCGGCGTCTCAGCTACACCCCCGGCGCGGGGGCCGCGCCGTCCCGACTGGTTCTTCCTCTCTCCTCGGCACAAGCGGCGATGGCACGATGAGTCAGTGCCCGGGACGACGCCTGGGAAGGGGGTTTGGCCCCTCTCCCCATCCCTTCCAGCAGACCCCCCTGTGAGGGGCACGGACTGGCACAACCCCCCGTGCCCGCGGGTGATTCGCTCAAATCCGCGGTTCTCCCCTAAAAAACCGCACGGGGTGATGCCCATTAGGAAGGAGCTGGCAGCTTCCAGAGCCTCCTCCCGGCACCCTAAACCCTCCACAGGGTGGGCACCTCCCGGTTAAAAGCCGAGGAAAAGAGGAGCCTTCCTGCTCCTCTCCATCCTTGGGGCAGCTCCCGAAGGTTGGATCTCGGGGCAGCTCTCGAAGGTGGATCCCGAGCAGCTCCCGAAGGTGGATCCCGGGCAGCTCCCGAAGGTGGATCCCGAGCAGCTCCCGAAAGTTGGATCCCCGGGATCCAAGCCGGGAAAGGCTGCCCTGGTTCCCTCCAAACCCTCAGCACCACCAGGGACAGCGATTCCAAACCCCAAAACAGCCCCCTCCCCAATCCCCACCGGCTCCTCCACCGCGCTCTGGCTCCGGGATGGGGCTGTGCCCCCCCCAAGGGGTTGGGGACACGCGGGGGTCACCCCACTCGTCGCTCCAGGACCTTGCGCTTCTTGCGGCAGTTGCACTGGCCCATCCTGCTCCTCGCGGCGTCCGGGGGGTCCTCGGTGGCACCGGGGGGGTGGGGGGCGGGTGTCTCCTCTGCGGTGGGCTCCGGGCTTGCTGTTGGAGATGGGGGGGGGGGAGAAAAAAGCCAAGCTCAGCTCCCGGCTCTTGCGGGGGGGAATCTCCCAGGACTCCTCCTCGTCCCGGGAGCAAGGTGAGCTGTCGGGACACGTCCCGGAGGCAGCGGCGTCCCGGCAAGTCGCGGCAGAGCCGAGCGTGGGAGAGCGGGGGGATCCCCCTCCCTCTTCCTCCCGTGGGTGCAGACCCCCCCGTGCCACGAGGGGGGCCACTTACCTGCTCCGCGGGGCCGTGCGGGTGTGCCGGGCTGCGCTGCACCCGCGTTTTATACCGCGGGAGGTGTGAGTGGGAGCTCCCGGTGCTCATTTCGGAGCCTGGCCCGGGGCCAGCGTTGGGGCCGGGAAACGCCTCCTTTTTTTTTTTTTTGGCGGCCGCATCCAGGGCTCCCCCGGCCTGCCCGGCCGCGTGGGAACGGCCCACGGAGCTCGGGATGCTCGAGGGGGAAGGAAGGGGTCACCCCCCCGTGGTGGGGTCTCGCCGTGTGCCTGCTTGGGAGGGGGGGGGGGTTTGGGAGGTGGGCAGCGGGATTGGGGACATTCCAGAGCCGGGGAGGTGCTGCTGTGGTGGTGGATTTCACCATATCCACCCAGCACCGCTGGGATTTTGGGAGCTGGGAATGGGGGCATTCCCGAGCCAGGGAACCTGCTGAGCTGCTGGATTTTACTGTGTGCCGGCAACGTCGGGATTTGGGAGCTGAACACCACGAGTGGGGGGGATACCCCCGAGCCAGGGCCACGCTGTGCAGGTGGATGTGTCCCCCCCTGTGCCACCCAAGACCCACTGAGTGCCGTGGAGGAGGTGGCACCACGGCCACAGCGGCCACTGTGGCACCACTGCCAGAGCCCCACCCCGCTCCCGGCCACATCTCTGCCTCCCACCCACCCCACAGCGTGGCAGGAAGGTGTTTGTGGGGTGTGGGGTGGCACCCCAAAAGCCAGACCACCCCAGGGGACAATTTGGGAACACCATCCATCCATCCATCCATCCATCCCGGAGTCCCCAAACCCGCCAGCCTGGGCTGGGCCCGTCCCCACTGGCAGGGCAGGGGGGAATGGGATCCAAACTGGGATGCCCCCCTAAAAACAACAGCTCTGCTGGCTCAGGGAAACCTCTTTTATTTGCTCCGAGTCAGCTGAGTCTCCCGTGGCCCCGTCACTTCTTGCCCATTTTCTCTCTCCTCATGGTCTTGGCCAGCTCGCCGATGAGGCGCCAGAACTCCCCGAACCTCAGCTCCTCGTCGTTGTTCACGTCCAGCTCGCTCATCTTCTCCTCCAGAGAGGGCACATCCTGCATGGGGGAGGGGGACACGGGATAGTCCACATCCCAAATTCCCCATGAGTGGGGTGGGAATGGTGTGGGGGGGGAATCCTGAGCGTAAATCCCGTGGGATCCGGAGCAGCCCCTCAGCTCCACGGGGATCCACGGGGGTCCAGCCACCCCCTTAGGGGTGCTGTTCCCACCTCACCTTCATCAGGTTGGGCAGCTGGAGCTGCACCAGCTCCTTGAACTCGCCGGTGCTCAGCGTGCCCTTCCTGCCCTCCTTGCCCGCGTGGGCGGTGAAGGTGTCGACGATCTTCTCGATGGCCAATTCCAGCTCGGTCAGCTCGCCCGTGGCCATGACCCCCCTGGGACGGGAGCTGGTAGGGGGTTGGACCCTCAAAAGTGTCCCAGGGAGACCCCCCTGTCCCTTCCCCCAGCCCGGGGTCTCAGATCCAAAGGGTTGAGGAGGGTCCCGGGGTCGGGAGATGCTCCCAAGGGGCCAAAATCTTCAGGTGGGACCACGAGGGGGGGGAAAAGGGAGCAGGTCTGAGGGGTGGCTCGGCTGCCACCTGGCACAGGAGGTGGGATGGGGGGCGTGGGAAGGGATGGGGGCGTGGGAAGGGGATGGGGGGCGTGGGAAGGGGATGGGGGCGTGGGAAGGGGATGGGGGGCATGGGAAGGGGATGAGGGGACATGAGAAGGGGACAGGGGAATGTGGGAAGGGGATGGAAGTGGAAAGGGACGATAGGGAAGGGAGATGGGGGGATGTGGGAAGGGGATGGGGGTCAGGGAATGTGGGAAGGGGATGAGGGGACATGAGAAGGGGACAGGGAATGTGGGAAGGGGATGGGGGCATGGGAAAGGATGGGGATGTGGGAAGGGATGGGGGGCACGAGAAGGGGACAGGGGAATGTGGGAAGGGGATGGGGAAGTGGGAAAGGGATGATAAGGGACAAGGGAAAGGGATGGGGGATGTGGGAAGGGGATGGGGGACATGAGAAGGGGACAGGGGAATGTGGGAAGGAGATGGGGGACATGAGAAGGGGACAGGGGAATGTGGGAAGGGGCTGGGGATGAGGAAGGGACGATAAGGGGATAAGGGAAAGGGATGGGGGGATGTGGGAAGGGGATGGGGGACATGGGAAGGGGCTGGGGGTGTGTCAGGGGTCCCCAGTGCCACAGTGGGGCAGGATGGGGACACGGGAAGGGGCTGGGGTGTGTCAGGGATCCCCAGTGCCACATTGGGGCTGGGATGGGGACACGGGAAGGGGCTGGGGGTGTGTAGAGGCACCCCCAGTGCCTCATCTGGGGCTGGGATGGGGACATGGGAAGGGGCTGGGGGTGTTTGAGGGGTCCCCAGAGCCACACTGGGGCCGGGATGGGGACAGGGGGAGGGTCTGGGGGTATGTAAGGCACCCCCAGTGCCACAGTGGGGCCGGCATGGGGACACGGGGAGGGTCTGGGGTGTTTGAGGGGTCTCCAGAGCCACATTGGGGCTGGGATGGGGACACGGGGAGGGTCTGGGGGTGTGTAAGGCCCCCCCAGCGCCGCTGCCGTGGCCGGGGTGGGGTCAGCGTTCCCCACTTACCCCTCGCTGCGGTCGGAGAGCTGCGGGCGGGTCGCAGCCCCCGGGAGGTGTCAGGAGGTTTGGGGAGGTTTGGGGAGGTTTCGGGGGGTTTTATAGGCGAGCCGCAGGAGGGGACAGCGCAGCCTTTGTGTGTTTGTGTCCCCCTGTCCCCCAGCCGCGGTGTTGGGTTTCCTGGTGCGGCCGGACGGACGCAGAGACACCGCCCGGAGTTCTCCTCCTCCTCCTCCTCCTCCTCCTCCTCCTCCTCCTCCTCCCGACGTGGGCACCGGACCAAACTCGGCCCTCGGCCCCGCCGGGATGAACTTCCCGCGGCCCCGGAGGCACCGGGATGGTACAGGGGGAGCAGGATGGGACCAGGGAATGGGATGGGATGGGATAGGGGGAGCAGGGTGGGATCAGGGGATGGGACAGGGAGAGCAGGATGGGATCAGGGGATGGAGCAGGATGGGACAGGGATGGGCAGAGCAGGATGGGACCAGGGGATGGGATGGGATGGGATAGGGGGAGCAGGATGGGATCAGGGGATGGGACAGGGGGAGCAGGATGGGATCAGGGAATGGGACAGGGGGAGCAGGATGGGATCAGGGGATGGGACAGGGGGAGCAGGATGGGATCAGGGGATGGAGCAGGATGGGACCAGGGGAGCAGGATGGGATCAGGGATGGGACAGGGAGCAGGATGGGATCAGGGGAGCAGGATGGGATCAGGGGAGCAGGATGGGATCAGGGGATGGAGCAGGATGGGACCAGGGGATGGGACAGGGGGAGCAGGATGGGATCAGGGGATGGGATGGGATGGGATGGGATGGGATGAGGATGGGATGGGATGGGATGGGATGGGATGGGATGGGATGGGATGGGACAGGGGAGCAGGATGGGATCAGGGGATGGGACAGGGGAGCAGGATGGAGTCAGGGAATGGGATGGGATGGGATAGGGGGAGCAGAGATGGGGATCAGGAGGATGGGATGGGATGGATGGACAGAGAGCAGGATGGGATCAGGGGATGGGACAGGGGGAGCAGGATGGGATCAGGGGATGGGACAGGGGGAGCAGGATGGGACAGGGGGAGCAGGATGGGATCAGGGGATGGGACAGGGGGAGCAGGATGGGATCAGGGGATGGCCCAGGGGGAGCAGGGATCAGGGATGGGAGGGAGCAGGATGGGACAGGGGGAGCAGGATGGGATCAGGGGATGGGACAGGGGGAGCAGGATGGGATCAGGGGATGGAGCAGGATGGGATCAGGGGATGGGACAGGGGAGCAGGATGGGATCAGGGGATGGGATAGGGGGAGCAGGATGGGATCAGGGGCAGAGGGGAGTGACACAAGAAGGTCCCACAGGGCTCGAGCATCACCCAAATTTCAAGGAATCGTTGAAGTTGGAAAATATCCTCGAGATCATTGAGTCTGGAAACGACCCCCGAGATCATCGAGTCCAACCTTTGAAGGTCACCAAATCCAGGTTTTTTTAAAGGTCATGAAATCCAACTTTCAGGGGATCATCCAGTCCAAGCTTCGAGCCCCTTTCCGGGCAGGTCTCACCCCTGGTCCATCCCAGTGGGATGAGGACACGGATAAGGCCCAAATTCCCTCTTTCCCATCCTGCTGTGGCTCATCCCAGCCCCGATGGATCCAGCAGTGCCACGGAGTGAGAGTTGTGAGTCACCCCCCCCTCTGCTGACATCATCCCTATTAATAGTGGGGCTTTGTAAAAATTAATTAATCCAAATTAATTAGGGGGTGGGTGGTTGGGACCCGAGGAGGCCTGGCACTTTTCCACCTGGCAGAGGGAACTGCCTCAACATTCCCACATTTTGGGGACCCCAAACACAGCCCTGATGTCCCCTGATTGTCACCCACCCCCATCCACCGAGCGAGGGGTGGGATGAGCAGCCCCCCCAAGGTCAACACAGGGAGTTTTGGGATCCCAAAAACCCGGTGTTTATTTTTGGGAAACCCAGTGCAGGGCACAACACCCCCCCCTGTCCCCTGCCCGGATTCTGCTGAGCCCTGGCACTTTTCCACCTGGCAGAGGGAGCTGCCTCAACATTCCCACATTTTGGGGACCCCAAACACAGCCCTGATGTCCCCTGATTGTCACCCACCCCCATCCACCGAGTGAGGGGTGGGATGAGCAGCCCCCAAGGTCAACACAGGGAGTTTTGGGATCCCAAAAACCCGGTGTTGTTTTTTTTTGGGGGAAACCCAGTGCAGGGCACAACACCCCCCCCGCCCCCTGCCCGGTTTCTGCTGAGCCCTGACGCGCTCACTCCACCTCTGCACGGGCTGGGGAGGCTCCCACGGCACCCTGCTCCCCACCCCACCCCCGTCACCCCAAACTCACGGGGCAGGAATTCGGTTTCCTGCAGCCCCATCCGGCCCTGGGGTGACAGTGGGGACACGGGGACAGCGCTTCCTCCGGCCCCACGTCCGGGGCCCTTGGGAAACGCCGGGATGAGTCAGGACCCGGCCGGGTTTGGGGTGAATCACCGGCCCCTGGAGCCGGCTGGGCCCGTGACTCGGCGCCCCTGGAATTTTTGGGGTGCCAGGTTTGGGGTGAGGGAGCTGGCAGGAGGTGCAGGGGATGGGGGAAAGGCACGGGATCCCCTTTTGGGGCTGTCCCTGTGGGTAGGGAGGGGTGAACCGGTCTGGGGACCCCCAGTATGGGTGGGAGGGGACCATGCAGGGACTGGGGGTGCACAGGGACCATATAGGGACTGGGCCCATATAGGGATTGGGGCCATATAGGGACTGTGGACCATATAAGGACTGGGGCCATATAGGGATTGGGACTATATAGGGACTGTGGCCATATAGGGACTGGGACCATATGGGGACTGGGGCCATATAGGGATTGGGACCATATAGGGACTGGGACCATATAGGGACTGGGACCATATAGGGACTGTGGCCATATAGGGACTGGGACCATATAGGGACTGGGACCATATAGGGACTGGGACCATATAGGGACTGGGACCATATAGGGACTGGGGCCATATAGGGACTGGGGCCATATAGGGACTGGGGCCATGTAGGGATTGGGACCATATAGGGACAGGGGCATATGGGGACAAGGACCATATAGGGACTGGAGCCATATAGGGACTGAGATCATATAGGGACTGGGGCCATATGGGGACTGGGACGAGACCATGTAGGGGAAGGGGCCATATAAGGGTAGGGACCATATAGGGACTGGGGCCACATAGGGACATGGATGATATGGGAACTGGGGCCATATGGGGACAGGGGCCATATAGGAACTGGGGCCATATGGGGACATGGATGATATAGGAACTGGGGCCATATGGGGACAGGGGCCATATAGGAACTGGGTCCATATGGGGACAGGGGCCATATGGGGACAGGGGCCGTAGGGGAACCAGGGCCATATGGGGACAGGGGCCATATGGGGACCAGGGCCATATAGGACCACAGGACTCTGTGTGACAGGGGTTGGTGTCACCTCCATGTCCTGTCCTGGGGTCATCCACAACCTCTCAGTGTTGGGGACCCCCACCAGGGACAGCCACTGTGCCCACCATGGACCCCCCCCAGCTCCATTGGAGGGGGTCGTGGGGCAAAACTGGGTGCCCAGTGCTCTCCCAGTGCCACCCCAGTGCCACCCCAGTGCCACCCCAGTGCCACCCCAGTGCAGCCACGGCACCTCCTGCCATTCCAAAACCCCGGGGATGGAAAATCCTCTTCCCTGTCCCAGCGCTGGGACAGAGAGACGAGACTGGCCCGGCCCGGCCCCGGTAACTGGAGCGACTGGTTTGACTGGGCCAGAGGGAGTCACAGAGACTGGAACCTGTTCCAGGCTGTTCCCTGCACGGCCTGGCTGCTCCCACTTTGGAAAGAGCTTATCCCATGGATGTGACCCCCTCCCACCACAGGGACCCCCCCCAAAACCCCAGGGATGGTCCCAAATCCTGCTGTTGGGGAGGATTTGGGGTTCCTGGGGGGGCCCTCTGACCCCACAGCCCGGCCCTGTCCCCGTGCCCGGTGCAGGGATTGGGGCTGGGTTATTTTTGGGAGATTCCTGGCCCCGTCACAGGCAGCTGTTCCCCAGCTGGGCAGTGCCAGAGCCCGGGGTTTTTCCGGAAGGAGCAGCCGGATCCGGGGGACGCGCCGAGTGAGTGCCACCAGTTCCTTCCCGTTGTTTCCCCCCATTCCCAGGCTCTGGATTTGGAGGTCCAGCCCTCCCCCCCCCTTCCCACCCCACAGCAAAAATGGGAGCTTTGTCCTGATGGGAAGCAGCTCCCAAGTTTCCTTCTGGGACCCCCATTCCACTGGGACCCCCTCTTCCATCTGGGACCCCCCACTTCCATCTGGGACCCCCTCTTCCATCTGGGACCCCCACTTCCATCTGGGACTCACAATTCCATCTGGGACCCCCATTTCCATCTGGGACCCACAATTCCATCTGGGACCCCCACTTCCATCTGGGACCCACAATTCCATTTGGGACCCCCATTTCCATCTGGGACCCACAATTCCATCTGGGACCCCCCACTTCCATCTGGGAGTCACAATTCCATCTGGGACCCCCCCACTTCCATCTGGGACCCCCTATTCCATCTGGGACCCCCATTTCCATCTGGGACTCACAATTCCATCTGGGACCCCCACTTCCATCTGGGACCCCCATTTCCATCTGGGACTCACAATTCCATCTGGGACCCCCCACTTCCATCTGGGACCCACAATTCCATCTGGGACCCCCCATTTCCATTTGGGACCCCCACTTCCATCTGGGACTCACAATTCCATCTGGGACCCCCCACTTCCATCTGGGAGTCACAATTTCCATCCAGGACCCCCATTCCCATCCAGGACTCCCCCTTTCCACCCAGGACTTCCCACTTCATCTGGACCCCTTTTTTCCATGTGGGACCCCCCCCCCCATTTCCATCTGGAATTCCCACTTCCATCCAGGACCCTCCCAAATCCATCAGGGAACCCCTTCACACCCCCCTCACCTACCCCAGGAACAGGACAGGGGACCCCCCCAGGACCCTACCTGTGACCCCAAACCCTCCATCCCCCCCCCCAATTCCCCTGGCAGGGGGGGGTTCAGGTGACCCCACTGTGGTTTTGGGGGTCCCCAAGAGGGGAGGACCCACCTGGGCATTTCCCAACCCCAGGGCCAGGAAGCGCAGGAGACGATGGAAAGGAGGGAGCAGGATATAATTAACCCCAAATTAGGGCTGGAATTTGGGATGAAGAGCCCGGCACCACCCGGCTCTTGCAAAAAGCAGCTCCTGCCCCCCCCCTTTTTTTGGGGGGGTCCCAAATCCTGTAAGGGGTTTCCCAAATAGGGGTGGACAATGAATTTGGGAGCTGAGCTCACCCCTAAGGTGAAAACTCATGGGGGTCCCAACCCCCCCTATGTGGGGGGGGGGGATTCCCAATCCCTGCACAGAGAGGGGAAGGGGGGGGAGAAGATCCTAAAAAACGAAGGGGGGTTGATGATTTTGGGAGGGCCGGAGCCGGGCAGGCCGTGGTGGATGCGGAGCCGTAACGGGAGCCCGGATTATCAGCATTTCCAAGGGCCCTCCTCGGGAATCCGGTTTCTTTGGCCCGGACGTTGCTCCAGCAACGTCGCTCCTGGAATTGTGGGGGCCCTTTGAGAGCCACAAAGAGGCCCTTTCAGCCCTCGGGGGGCCCCCTGGGTGGGGGGGGACGAGCTGGAGTCACCCGATAGCCCCCCCTGGGCTCCCCCCCCTCGGCTCCCGTGTCAGGGCCCAGGATATCGGATCATTTTCCAGACCCTGGGAGGAGGGTTGGGCATGGAAAAGGATGGATCTGGCACCGACAGGCACCGCTGACAGACGGGGGATGCCGAGGGGGGACCCCACGGGGTCAGAGCCCGGGCGCTCGGGGACACGCGGGGGGTCTGGGGGGGACACCGGGGACACGAGGGGGGGAAGGGAGAGGGGCCCGGGGTGGGATTGACCCCGACTGGCACCCCAGTGCCCACCCCACGCTTCCCACGGAGTCTCAGGGGTGCAGGGTCATCAGTGGGGGGGACACTGAGCCCCCCAGAGTGATGCTGTGCCCACCCCGTCCCTTCCTGCCATCACCCCACAAGCTCCGGTGGGGCTGGAAGTGCTTCCTGGTGCCATCCCAGTGCCACCCCAGTGCCATCCCAGTGCCATCCCAGGGGTCCAGGCTCGTCCAGGGGGATGGTGAGGGACACACCAGGAGGGCACTGAGCCCCCCAAAGCCACTCTGTGCCCACCCCGTCCCTTCCTGCCATCACCCCACAAGCTCCGGTGGGGCTGGAAGTGCTTCCCAGTGCCATCCCAGTACCATCCCAGTGCCATCCCAGTGCCATCCCAGTGCCACCCCAGTGCCATTCCAGTGCCATTCCAGTGCCATTCCAGGGGTCCAGGTTCATCCAGGAGGTGATGAGGGACACACCAGGAGGGCACTGAGCCCCCCAAAGTGACGCTGTGCCCACCCTGTCCCTTCCTGCCATCACCCCACAAGCTCCGGTGGGGCTGGAAGTGCTTCCCGGTGCCATCCCAGTACCATCCCAGTGCCACCCCAGTGCCATCCCAGTGCCATTCCAGGGGTCCAGGCTCGTCCAGGAGCGTGATGAGGGACACACCAGGAGGGCACTGAGCCCCCCAAAGTGACGCTGTGCCCTCCCCATCCCTTCCTGCCATCACCCCACAAGCTCCGGTGGGGCTGGAAGTGCTTCCCGGTGCCACCCCAGTGCCATCCCAGTGCCATCCTGGTGCCATCCCAGGCACCCAGGTTCATCCAGGGGCATGGTGAGGGACACACGAGGAGGGCACTGAGCCCCCCAGAGTGACGCTGTGCCCACCCCATCCCTTCCTGCCATCACCCCACAAGCTCCGGTGGGGCTGGAAGTGCTTCCCGGTGCCACCCCAGTACCATCCGGGTGCCATCCCAGTGCCATTCCAGGGGTCCAGGTTCATCCAGGGTGGTGAGGGACACACAGGAGGGCACTGAGCCCCCCAGAGTGACACTGTGCCCTCCCCATCCCTTCCTGCCATCACCCCACAAGCTCTGGTGGGGCTGGAAGTGCTTCCTGGTGCCATCCCAGTGCCATCCCAGTGCCACCCCAGTGCCATCCCGGTACCATCCCAGTGCCATCCCCGGGGGTCCAGCCCCTCACGCCCCGTCCCCCGCGGGGGTGGCCGGGCCGGTGCCAGCCGGGCTGTCCAGCCCCGGTATCGGATCCTCCCGGAGGGAGGGGGTTTGGAGCTTATTTAACGTCCCCCGGCGGCCCCGTCCGGGCGCACTCGCGGCACGGGGAGCTCAGGTGAGCACAGGTTGGACTGGGAGGGGGTCCCCCCTGTACCCCCTACCCCAGAGGACCCCTCCCCCCTCCACCAGCGACCCCCAGATCCCGTGGGTCCATCCCTGCCCCGGTACCGAGGGATGGGACAAACCGGGAAGGGGATGGGGAAGGGGGTGAGATGTCATTGGAATGGGGGTCCCTCCCACTCCGAGGAGCCCCCCACGCAGCCCCGGGGGGGGGGGCACTGGATGCCCTGGGACCCCCAGATCCGGGATGTTCGATCCTGCCCAGCCACGAGGGATGGGGAGGGTGGGTGACCCCACTGACTTCACCAGCCCTGTGAGGGGGGGAGGTGGAAGGGGTGTCATCCCCCCACCCCGGAGCCCCCCACCCAACCCGATGTGGTGGCACTGGATGCCCTGGACCCCAGATTTGGGGTGTTGATCCTGCCCAGCCATGAGGGATGGGACGGCCGGGTGACGTTGGGGCTGCCCGTGAGGGGGCAGTGGAAGGGGTGTCATCCCACTCCCGGAGCCCCCACCAACCTGGGGTGGCACTGATGCTCTGGGACCCCCCCAGATCCACGATGTCGATCCCTGCCCAGCCACGAGGGATGGGAGTGGGGTGGGTGACGTTTGGGGGCTGCCCTGTGATGGGGGAGGTGGAAGGGGTGTCATCCCCCCACTCCGGAGCCCCCCACCCAACCCGATGGGGTGGCACTGGATGCCCTGGGACCCCCCCCAGATTTGGGGTGTTGATCCCTGCCCAGCGACGAGGGATGGGAGTGGGGTGGGTGACGTTTGGGGACTGCCCTGTGAGGGGGAGGTGGAAGGGGTGTCATCCCCCCACTCCGGAGCCCCCCACCCAACCCGATGGGGTGGCACTGGATGCCCTGGGACCCCCCCAGATTCAGGGTGTTGATCCCTGCCCAGCGACGAGGGATGGGAGTGGGGTGGGTGACGTTTGGGGGCTGCCCTGTGAGGGGGGGAGGTGGAAGGGGTGTCATCCCCCCACCCCGGAGCCCCCCACCCAACCCGATGGGGTGGCACTGGATGCCCTGGGACCCCCCCCAGATTTGGGGTGTTGATCCCTGCCCAGCGACGAGGGATGGGAGTGGGGTGGGTGACGTTGGGGGCTGCCCTGTGATGGGGAGGTGGAAGGGGTGTCATCCCCCACTCCGGAGCCCCCACCCAACCCGATGGGGTGGCACTGGATGCTCTGGGACCCTCCCCAGATTTGGGGTGTTCATCCCTGCCCAGCGACGAGGAAGGGGAGGGGGAACAGGGTGGGCACATTAAAAGAGGAGGGGGCAGGTGGGAGGGTCTTTTCCCCTCGGAGGAGCCCCCGCCCCCTGCCTGAGGCACCAAGACCCCCTCCCAGATCCTCAGCGTCGATCCCTGCCCGGCAGGACCAGGAGACGCTGCCAGGAAGGGGAGGGGGCAGGGGTGGGCGACTTTTTTTTGGGGGGCATTACCGTGGAAAGGGGGGGCTTTTGGGTGCCCCCCCTGACACGAGGGGGGGGTCCCCACAGCCGGATCCATGGCGTCACAGCTGGAAGGGGCCATGGAGACCCTCATCAACGTCTTCCACCACTACTCCGGGAAGGAGGGGGACAAGTACAAGCTGAGCAAGAAGGAGCTCAAGGAGCTGCTGCAGAGCGAGCTGGGATGTTTCCTGGAGGTAACTGGGACCAGTTGCACCGCTGGGAGGGGAGGGAGGGGAGGGTCTCCCTTTCTTTGCCCACGGGCTCACCCTGTGTCTCCCCCACCCCATCCCCACCACACCAGACCCAGAAGGACTCGGGGGCGGTGGAGAAGATCATGCAGGACCTGGATGAGAACGGCGACGGCGAGGTGGATTTCCAGGAGTTCGTGGTCCTGGTGGCCGCCCTGACCGTGGCCTGCAACACTTTCTTCTGGGAGAACGCCTGACCAACCCCCCCCTCACCACCCCCCACCCCGCATTCCCAAAATCCAGAGAGCTCCCCCCACCCCCTGACCCCTTCCACCCCCTCTCCGCTCCCCAGCATTCCCAGGGGATCCCGCTGGGATCCAGCTCCACAATAAAGGCACCCACCCCAACCCAGGTGGTTTTGGTAGATCCTTCATTCCCATTCCAGGGAGTTTTCCCTCTCGGGGTCACCCGCAGACATCCCTGGCTCCACCCTGATCCATCCGGGGAGCCCGGAATCCATCCTGGATCGCCCCGGGGGGGGGGAGCGGGAGATCCCGGGGTGTGGGACACGGGGACACCGGGATTTGGAGGGGGGTGACAGGTCAGGACTCGCCGCCGGAGCCTCCGGAGGCTCCAGGACCGCGCCCGTGGGGCTGGAGGAACCGGTTGGGATCCCAGCGGGATGGGCCGGGAGCCAAAGGCCCCGCCAGGGCCACCAGCGCCATCGTCTGCCGGGAATCCCCGCACGGCAGGGCTGGGGTGGGATGGGGAAAGGGTCTGGGAATGGGAATGGGGTCCCCACGGGGTCAAGGAGCACGTGGGCAACGTTCCGAGGTGGGGATTTTGGTGGGGTTTTGGTGGGGTTTTTGGGGGAGTCCTGTGCAGGGCCAGGAGCTGGACTGGATGATCCTTTGAGTCCCCTCCAACTCGGGTTATTCCATGATTCCATGATCCTATATGATTCCAGGATTACATAATTTTGTCGTTCCGTGATTCCGTGTTTTTCCGTTAATCCCCGACCCCTTGATCCCGTGACGGTGCCACGGCAATCCCGCCATTCCACGGAATTCCGCAATCCCGCGATTCTGTGACTCCGCGATTCCAAGACCGTATGACTCCGTCATTCCATGACGTCACCCAGTCCACGTGACGTCACCCTGCCCATATGACGTAACAGCGAGCCCACAGTACCCGCCCCTCGCTTGGCCACGCCCCCTTTTCTTTCCCCGCCCCTTTCCCCGAGGGAGAACCAATCAGCGCTCTCCTTGCGGGGCTCGCGGGCGCGGTGGGCGTGGCCGGGCGCGCTGCCGCCATTTCGGGGGGGGCGGGAGCGGCGCCGCCGCCATTTTGTCGCGGGCGGCTGAGGGAGAAGCGGCGGCGGCGGCGGGAGCGGGCGGAGCTCAACGCCAGCCCCGGCCCCGCGCCGGCCCCACACCGGCCCCGCCAACACCCGCCCGCCCGCCGGAGCCACCGGAGACCTGGCGACCGTCTGTTTCGGTGAGAAACTGCCCCGGCCGCGGCGGAATGGGAAAGGGGGCGGGACAGGCCTCAGGGCCCCCTCAGAGCTCCAGAGTCCCCTCAGGGTTCTGAGGGGTCCCTCTTCCCCTGGCTCCGTGCTCGGGGCTGTTCTCGGAGCTGAGGGAGTAGCGAGGATACCTCCCCTCAAGAAAAAAAAAAACACGCTTTAAAAAGCACTTCATGTTTTTAAAAACTCGTTAAAATTATTAAAAATAATTAAATAAAAAATAATGTAATTATTAAATCGAGGCTGCCTGTTGGCTCGATTTCTGGCTGTAAATCCTCTCCCAAAGAGCGAGGTTTTGAGGGTGTTGGAGGGTGAGCGCGGCCCGGTCACCCGCCCGTTAAATTCGGTGCTAATTATAAAAAAAATAAATTAATAAATCGATCTGCAGAGCTCGGGGGTTGGAGCTCAGCACGTTTCCGTAGCATCCAGCACTGGGCGTGGGGGGGGGTGGATTTAAATCCCTGCCCTGAGTCAGGTGGAACCTGGGTAGTTTTAAAGGATATGATGCTTTTGTAGCGTAATTTTGGATTTTTTTATTCCCGATTTTACGCCCCGTGCCCTTGAAATTGGGGTTTGCCTCTTGCTGATGCTAAAAACGTGGGAAATGTGGAGGTGTTGCTGTGCTAGAGGCATTTGGTTGCCATTTGCTGCTGGATTTTTGTGTTATTACCCCAGATAATAGGAAAATATTCACTATAAAAAGACACCTTTTTAGGAAGGGTGAAATAAAGTAACTCCCTGATTTATTTGGGCTAGAAAATACTAAAAATCAGTTATTATAATACCCATAACCTGCCTGTCTCTTGGGTCTCTCCACCCAGCAAGGAGAATTTTTTATCATATATTTAATCATAAAAGTATATAATAGTATAAATTTGATACTTTTGGCTTGGTTTGGCAAATTTTTCTCTGAAGGTACCATTTGTTTGCCATCTCGCTGTTGAGTTTTTGTATTACTGTTCCTAATACTGGCGAAATATTGAACTATAAAAAGATAAATTTTTGGTGAGGGTGATTTAAAGTAACTCCCTGATTTATTCGAAGTGGCAGAGGGGGCTACAAAACATTAAAAAAGAAAAAAATCACACAATCATCCTAAAATCATCACAATCAGCACCTAAAAATTCCGAGAGAGGGCTGGAAAACATTAGGTAAGAAAATCACACAATCATCCTAAAATCATCACAACCAGCAGCTAAAAATTCCAAGAGAGGGCTGGAAAACACTAAAAATAAATCAATATAATCACAGAGGAGCGGGGCAGGTTGTTTTTTCTCCACCCAGGGAGCAAAAAATGGAGGGATTCTTTAATATTTAGTGGTAGAAATGTCGACTAAAAGTGTAATTTCTCCCTTTTGGGCCCTGTTTTGCAGATTCTCTGAAGATGGCTGCACAGTCAGCACCGAAGGTCGTGCTAAAGAGCACCACCAAGATGTCTCTGAACGAGCGGTGAGGAAGCCAACAACGGCACCTTCAGCTCCTAAGAAACCGTGTCATTTTTTTTTTATTATTTTTATTTTTTAAAAAAACCAAAAAAATGCTTAATTCTCACTGCCCAAAAAAAAAAAAATCCAAAAGCCCTCTTTTAAAAAAAAAACAAAAACCACAAAAACACCTCATGGAGCCAGCAGGTGACTCCACACCTGCCTTTGGGTGAAAAAAACCAAAAAAAAAGGGCCCGGTTTGCGGATGGGATCGCCCCGCAGGTTGTAAATGGTTGGTGGCGCCACGGTGGTGTGGGATGATGTGCCGTAAAAAGAGCAGAGAGCAAAACCTCGCCCGCGCCCTCCCCGCCTCTCTCTCTCTGTTTCTCTCTCCCTCCCACATGGTCGTTGTTTATTATTATTATTTTTTTATTTTTTTGGTGGTTTTTTTTTTTCCACATCGGTATATTTTGGGCCCGGCCGCCGCGCCCGAGGGTCCCGCGCCTCGCCCGGGGGTGGGAGCCCTGTAAGAGGCCGGTGGCGGCCCCCCCACACCCCTGGAACCGGCCCGAAGGCCCTTTTTGGGTCCTTGTAAGAGGCAAATGCTTCTCGCTTCACCTCCATCTCTGTCCTCTCGCGCTCCTCCCTCCTGGGGTTCATTCCACGCTGGGTTTTCCACCTTGGGGCTCCTCTGTGATGACTAACGGGGGGGTTTCGCTGCCCTGCTGAGCACTTTGGGGTTCCTCCTATCGTGGTTGAGAAGTTTTGGGGTAGTTCTTGCTGTAGGCTGAGCTTACCGGCATTTCAGCCCGTATTCCTAATTTTTAGGGGGATTTATTCCACTCTTCAGCTCCCAGGATGCTGCTCTTCAGGGGCTTCGTTTACCATCTCGCTGCTCTTAAATTAAGCACTAAAAAGCAGCAAATTCCCCAGTGGCCTCGTTTCAGGAAAACAGGGTGGAAATTAGGAGGTGCTTTGGGGGGTGGAATTTTGCAGGATCATGGCATCGTTTAACGTTGGAAGAGGCTTTAAAATTTATCATTTCCAACGCGGTTCCCGCAGCGCCAGGGCACACCAGGCAGTTCCTGGCACAGTGTCCCTCCTCTGCTGCCTCCTGGCCTGGAATTTTTGAAGCTTTTCCTGGATTTTAGGGAGGTTAATTTGGCTTTTGAGGGGCTTAATTTGGCTTTTGGGGGGCTTAATTTGGCTTTTGAGGGGGTTAATTTGGCTTTTGGGGGAGTTAATTTAGCTTTTGGGGGAGTTAATTTGGCTTTTGGGGGGCTTAATTTGGCTTTTGGGGGGTTAATTTGGCTTTTGGGGGGTTAATTTGGCTTTTGGGGGAGTTAATTTGGCTTTTGGGGAGTTAATTTAGCTTTTGGGGGGCTTAATTTGGCTTTTGGGGGGCTTAATTTGGCTTTTGGGGGGTTAATTTAGCTTTTGGGGGGGTTAATTTAGCTTTTGGGGGAGTTAATTTAGCTTTTGGGGGAGTTAATTTAGCTTTTGGGGGTTAATTTGGCTTTCGCTGTCCCCTTTCTCCCACCTGTCACGGCCATCCCTGCTTCCTGCTGGTTGTCACCCCTTCTTGCCACCTCCAAACCCACTAAACCCTCCAGCTTTCTTCATCCTGCCTCAACTCCCACCTCATTCCTGCCTTTTTCCAGTTCCTCGCTCGCCGCCAGCGAGGGACCCGCGATCCCATAAAAAGTGCCGCTCTTTGGCATAAAAGGTTCATGGGAGCTGGAGACCCACTCGAGCACCGTGAAATGCCCGTAGTTGTGTGATCTAAGCTTTAATTAAACCCCGTTTTATTCGACCTTGAAGCTTCACTAACATGCTGAAGAACAAACAGCCGATGCCGGTGAATATTCGGGCCACCATGCAGCAGCAGCAGCTGGCCAGCGCCAGAAACAGACGCCTGGCCCAGCAGATGGAGAACAGACCGTCTGTCCAGGCTGCTCTGAAGCTCAAACAGGTGAGGAGGGAAAGCTGCGTTTTGGAGGGGCTCGGAAGGATTTGGAAAAACCAGCTCCTCCTTGGAGATAAAATAAAAGAGTCCCGAGAAGGGAAGGGGCTGGAGGGGTGAGTCTGGAAAAAAAAAAGGCTCGGGTGGGATCTTCTCTCAGCTCCCAGCAGGAAGGGCAGGTTGGGCATGAGGAGGAATTTGTTGCTGGAAAAGGGTGGTGATTCCTTGGGAAGAGTCCCCAGCCCTGGAGGTGTCCAGGGAAGGCCTGGAAGTGGCACTGAGTGCTCTGGGCTGGGGGAAAAAAGATTTTGATGGATCAGAGGTTGGACTTGATGACCTTGGAGGTCTTTTCCAACCTTTGGGATTCCGTAATAAAAAGCTCATGGAGGTCTGAAAGGAGGGACACGAGGATGGGGAATGGTCTGGAGGAGCAACTGAGGCTTGTTCAGCTGGGAGGAGACTTTGGGGGGTGGCAGCTCCCATCTGTGCTCTGTGTGAGCAGGGACAGGACCTGAGGGAACATCTGAAGCTGTGCCAGGGGAGGGATAGGCTGGATTTTAGGAAAAGCTTCCTCCCCCAGAGGGTGGCTGGCACTGCCCAGGCTCCCCAGGGCAGTGGGCACGGCCCCAAGGCTGCCAGAGCTCCAGGAGGGTTTGGACAACGCTCTGAGTGACAGGGGGGGATTGTTGGGGTGTCTGTGCAGGGCCAGGGGTTGGACTCAATCCCTGTGGGTCCCTTCCATAATCCTAAAATCAAACCACCTCGAGGGACTGGCAGAAAATCCCACTTCTTACCTCGTAGATGAGTGATTTGTCACCTCCCGGTGGTTGCTGTCGCCGTGGGGGGTGTTCAGTGCTGGCTGTTGACGTCTCCTCTCTGTTTTTCCAGAGCAATGTCTCATCCCCGGGGTTCGGGAGCTGCCAGAGCGCTTCACCTCACAGTCCCACCTCCTCCAGCCCTTAAAACCCCACCCCAGCTCCACCACCCTCCCTCGGCTGCCAGGAACAGAGGAATTGCTGATTGTTTTGGGAACGCAGGCCTGGCTTTTTTTTTAGGAGCGCTTCCCCCTCCCCTCCATCCCATCTGGTGCGGTGTCCCCAATCCCAGATTGCTGCATGACTTCCGCTCTTTTTTCCCCCCTCTCTTCCAGAAGAGCTTGAAGCAGCGCCTCGGGAAGAGCAACATCCAGGCCCGGCTGGGCCGGCCGGCGGGAGCGCTGGCCCGGGGGGCTCTGGGGGGCCGGGGTCTGGCCTTGGGTCAGCGCGGGATCCCACGGGGGGCCCTGCGGGGCCGCGGCGCCCGGGCCATGATCCGAGGGGGGGCCGCGCTGCGAGGTGGGTGCCACACACACACAGAGAACCCTGGTGTTCCTCCCCTTTTGGCTGCTCCTCAGCCTGAAATCCTGGAGTTTATTTTGGCTTTCCCCCCGGCAGGGCAGGGGCTGCTCCGCGGCGGGAGGGGCATCGCCCCCCGGATGGGGCTGCGGAGAGGAGGGATCCGCGGCCGCGGAGGGCCGGGAAGAGGCGGCCTGGGCCGAGGGGCCATGGGCAGAGGGGGACTCGGGGGCAGAGGTGAGTGTGATATCCCCCTCAGGGACAAATTCAGCTGCGCTCCTTTCCCCTGCTCAAGGTCATGGAACACACGCAGCCTCCAGAATTCCCAGTCTGGAATTTGAAATGGGGTTTATCCAAGAGCTGGTGGTTTTTAATGATAAAATGGTGAAAAGTGTGTGTGTTGTAGGGGAAATTGGGTGGGAGAGGAAAACCTGGAGCCAGCTGTTGGGAGGGCAGCCAGATGGTTGGGCACAGCTCCAGCCAGATGTTGCGGTCGGGCTGGGATTGAGGAATTCACGGGAAGCTCCCGATTCCTCGACAGCTTCGAGCGGTGGCTCTGGGGCTGACAAACACAGAGGGGACCGCAGCGAGCTGGTCGTGTTATCCACACATCCACCACCTCTCCAGTCACCTGGAGCGTTCAGTTCAGGAAATGTGGAGTTGGGAATTCCTTGGCTGCAAGTTAACGATGATGATTTTTCCATCCATCCCTTCCAGGTCGCGGCATGTCCGGCCGGGGCCGGGGCGGCTTCGGGGGCCGCGGGAGAGGCCGAGGCCGGGGCAGAGGCTCCGCACGGCCCGCCCTGACCAAGGAGCAGCTGGACAACCAGCTGGATGCCTACATGTCCAAGACCAAGGGACACCTGGACGCCGAGCTGGACGCCTACATGGCACAGACGGATCCCGAGGCCGCCGACTGAGGGGGCCGGCACTGCCCTTTCTCCCTTTTCCCCCATGGAGAATTCAGACTTAGTGTGTTCTTCGATGTTTTGATACTCTCTCTCTCTGTTGTATTAAACTTTTTTTGGGATTGTTTTTTTTTTTTGTTGGGGGGTCTTTTTTGGTTGGGGTTTTTTTTTTGTCTTTCTTCCTCCCACCCTGAGGAAAATGGGATGGATCCAGTGACACGTCCGTGGTGTGTGGGGGTCAGGCCTTGGTGTGGCTCTGGAGCTCCATGGTTGGGGTTTGGGGTGGTTTTGTGATGGATTTGGGGATGTTTTTGTTGGGTTCTGGCTGCTTCTTGTTGGGTTTTTTTGGAATGGCTCGGTTGGATTTTGGGATCAGCCCTTATATTTTTGGATGGCCAAGTTCACCCCCTGTGGAGTTCAGTTGAGCCCACCTGAAGCCAAACCCAAGGGCCAAGAACCCAAGTTTAGCTGTTGTTTTCCTTCCAGATGCTCAAATCCTCTTGTTCCACACCAGAAATTCCCCGTGGGTTGGAGCAGGTGGAAAATTCCCTTGTTTTAGTGGATTTTTGATGGGTTTAAGTTTGAGTTCCTTTGGCACCGTGTTCCTGTGGTTTAGGTGCTTGTTTAAAGGAATGGGAAGCAGGGACATAAAACTGCAGCTGGGCCAACAAAGCAGAGCATCAGAACTGTCTCTCATAGAGCACAAAACTCCAAAATCCGTCATTTTTCCCTAGAAAAGAATTTAATCCCGTGGGCTTTGGGAAGGAGGGCGCTGGGGGCGGGGCCTGTGCGGGTCAGGCAAAGTAAGCGCCGCCGCCATTGGCTGGCGAGGCGAGCTCTGGTTGTTACGACGCCTGCCATTGGCTGATGCGCCTCACGCTGCTTTGTGTACTGAGGGGAACGGGGAAATGGCAGGACCGGGAGTGAGAGAAGGAGGGGAGAGAGTTGAGGAAAAGGAAGGGGCTGAGGGAATGAGGGAAAAGCCTAAAAAAACCAGGAGAGAAAAAAAAAAGGTGAAAGGACCCCCACCGTGTCGTTTTAACCGTTGCATAACGGACGGGGTTGGGGGTTGTGACCCGAGTCCCTCAGCGGTGAATTGTACCTTCGGATGTGCCGCAGATGTTGCTCCAGATGTTCCTCCAGCTGCGCTTCGTCCCCCACATCAGGACTACAATTCCCATCAGTCCCCCCACTCGGGACTACATTTCCCATCAGCCCCCGCGGCTCGTGAGGGGGTGGAGCCCACCCCAAGATGGCGGCGGGGAGCGGCCCCGCGGCCCGGGAGCTCTTCGCTGAGGGGCTGCTGCAATTCCTGCGGCCCGCCGTGAGACAGCTCGACCGCCACGTCCACAGCGTCCGGTACGGCCACACGGAACCGGGCAGGGCCGGCCGGGAGCGGCGAGGGGAAGGCGGGGGCTGGAAGGGGTAGTTTTTTTTGGGGGGAAGGGATTTAGGAGGGCCTGAGGGAGGTGAAGAGTTCGAGGGGGAGATCTGGGGGGGGTAAATGGCTGGGGAAACACCTTTGGGGGTCTGGAGGACTTTAGGAGTACCTGGAGAGGCAGTTTGGGGCAGTAAAGAGGGTTTTTTGGGGGTATGAAGGGTTTTGAGGGGATGAAGGAGGTTTGAGGCTATGAAGGGTTTTGAGGGGATGAAGGGTTTTGAGGGGATGAAGGGATTTGGGGGTACCAAGGGTGGACAGTACTGGTGAGGGGGATCATCTGAGGGGGATCCAGGTCCCCTGGATGGGGTGATTTTTTTTTTTGGCTGGGGGTTGCTGAGAGCACAGATCCCATATTAAGGGGGGAGTTTGGGATGGTGCCCAACGTTTTCCCTTCCCTCCCCTCGCAGGGAGAGCCAAGTGGAGCTGCGGGAGCACATCGACAGCCTGGCCACAGGTGAGCCAAAAACAGGTGTGTGGAGGGGGGCAGGATCACCCCTACCACCCCCCTCACCCCCAGTTTTTGGGGTTCACGGGCTCTGTGCCCCCCTCCCCCCAGAGCTTTGCCGCATCAACGAGGACCAGAAGGTGGCCCTGGACCTCGACCCGTACGTGAAGAAGCTGCTGAACGCCCGGCGCCGCGTGGTGCTGGTCAACAACATCCTGCAGAACGCCCAGGTGGGGGCTTTGAGGGGCAAACAGAGGGGGGGTTTTGGGGGGGTCCCAGAGCCACTCACAGTGAGGGATTTGCCTGCCCAGGAGCGGCTGAGGAGGCTGAACCACAGCGTGGCCAAGGAGACCGTGCGCAGGAGGGCGATGCTGGAGGCCGGGGGCTACCAGGGCAAGTGAGAGCCAGGTATCCCAGCCTTGGGAATTCTGGGGGGGAAGTTGTGTCCCCCCTCCTCTCACCTGCAGCACAGGGAGCAGGGACACCCCCACCCCCAACTTCTGACTGGAGTGTGCCCGGATTTGGGGGGCGCTGGAATAAAAGTGACGCCGGAGTCCGTGATGGTGCCGCGTCCCTGAGGGGCTTTGGGGACAGCAGGGGCTGCCAGAGGGGGTCTGGGTACTCCAAAGGGGGAGTTTGGGCACCCCCAAGGGGGTTTGGGAGGCCCAAGGTGGAGTGAGGGCATCCCCAGGTAGGATTTGGAGTTTGGACACCTTCAGGTGGGATTTGGGGGTTGGGCAGGCCCAGGTGGGATTTGGGTGTCCCTAGTTGGGATTTGGGGTTTGGACACCTTCAGGTGGGATTTGAGAGTTGGGTATCCCCAGGTGGGATTTGGGTGTCCCCAGGTAGGATTTGGGTGCCCCCAGGAAGGGTTTGGGTGTCCCCAGGTGGGATTTGGGTGTCCCCAGGAAGGGTTTGGGTGTCCCCAGGTGGGATTTGGGTGTCCCCAGGTGGGATTTGGGTGTCCCCAGGTAGGATTTGGGTGTCCCCAGGAAGGGTTTGGGTGTCCCCAGGTGGGATTTGGGGTTTGGACACCTTCAGGTGGGATTTGGGTGTCCCCAGTTGGGATTTGGGGTTTGGACACCTTCAGGTGGGGTTGGGCAGCCCCAGGTGGGATTTGGGTGTCCCCAGGTAGGATTTGGGGTTGGGCAGCCCCAGGTGGGATTTGGGTGTCCCCAGGTGGGATTTGGGTGTCCCCAGGTGGGATTTGGGTGTCCCCAGGTGGGATATTTGGGTGTCCCCAGGTGGGATATTTGGGTGTCCCCAGGTAGGGTTTGGGTGTCCCCAGGTGGGATTTGGGTGTCCCCAGGTGGGATTTGGGGTTGGACACCTTCAGGTGGGATCTGGGGGTTGGGCAGCCCCAGGTGGGATTTGGGTGTCCCCAGGTAGGATTTGGGTGTCCCCAGGTGGGATTTGGGTGTCCCCAGGTAGGATTTGGGTGTCCCCAGGAAGGGTTTGGGTGTCCCCAGTTGGGATTTGAGGTTTGGACACTTTCAGGTGGGATTTGGGTGTCCCCAGGGAGGGTTTGCATGTTCTCAGTTGGGATTTGGGGGTTGGACACCCTCAGGTGGGATATTTGGGTGTCCCCAGTTGGGATTTGGGTGTCCCCTGGTGGGATTTGGGGGTTGGGCAGCCCCAGGAGGGATATTTGGGTGTCCTCAGTTGGGATTTGGGGGTTGAGGCACCCCCAGGTGGGTCCTTTCAACATCTGGCACCTTCTCCTGCCGCCCCACCCGTGTCCTTCCCACCCATCCCGCGTGTCCCTGACCCCACCAGGACTCGCTGGAGAGGGGAAGGGGGGGGGACACTTTAATGTGCAAGTTATAAAAACAAGGACAGGGCCACGCCAGGAGGTCCCCTCCCCTCACTCCTGGGTCTCCATGCTCTCCTCCTCCTCTCCCGCCGCCGGCTCCTCCTGGTTTTCCTCTTCCTCCTCCCCTTCCTTCTTCTCCGGGGGTTTCTCGTACGCCTTCTCCGAGGGCGTCACGATCACCCCGTCCCACGTGGACATCTCGGATGCCAGGTCTGCCCCGGACAGGTGGCACTGGATTCCAGCCCCATTCCCACCTGGATACCCCCTGGGATTCCAGCCCCATTCCCACCTGGATACCCCCCTGGGATTCCAGCCCCGTTCCCACAGGGATACCCCCCTGGGATTCCAGCCCCATTCCCACCTGAATACCCCCTGGGATTCCAGCCCCATTCCCACCTGGATACCCCCTGGGATTCCAGCCCCATTCCCACCTGGATACCCCCTGGGATTCCAGCCCCATTCCCACCTGGATACTCCCTGGGATTCCAGCCCCGTTCCCACCTGGATACCCCCGGGATTCCAGCCCCATTCCCACGGGGACACTCCCACAATTCCAGCCCCATTCCCACCTGGATACCCCTGGGATTCCAGCCCCATTCCCATAGGGACACCCCCACAGGATTCCAGCCCCATTCCCACCTGGATACCCCCCCACAATTCCAGCCCCATTCCCACGGGGACACCCCCACAATTCCATCCCCATTCCCATGGGGACACCCCCACAATTCCATCCCCATTCCCACGGGGACACCCCCACAATTCCATCCCCATTCCCCACTCACAGCTGGCGTCTCCCTCCTGCCCCAGGATTTTCCGGTATCCCCCGTGGGACAGGATGCGGACGAGGGTCTGGGCCGTGTAACACACCATGTCCTGGGGGGGAAATGGGGGGCGGGGAGGGGTCACTACAGGCACAGGGGACCCCCCTAGGAGTGTCCCCTCCCCTGTGGGGACACCCCCTGACCTGCTGCTCCAGCGTCATCACGGTGTGCACGCGGAAGTTGCCGCTCTCGCAGGGGTCCGTGATGCCCACCGAGCCGGGCAGGAACAGCCCGGCCGCCAGGATCTGGAGGCAGCGCCTGCAGAGTGGGACATTTTGGGTTCAAACCGGAGAATTCCAGCAAAAACACAGCCAGTAATTCCCAGCTGGAGGAGCTGGGATCATCTCCCGGTGGTTTTATGGGAATTTTATCCCCCATGGGATCGACCTGTAGGCGATGTTGAGGGCCAGGGGCTGCCGGGTGGGGTTGTTCATCACGGCGTAGTGCCCCTGGGAACGGGAAAGGGCAGAGGAATTAGGGCAGGAAGGGAAGAATCCCAGAATCCCTGCTGGGATTGGGATCAGCCCCCACATCCCCATCCCCCCACCAGCAGGTCCAGGATCCACGGCGTGAGCGGCTCGAAGCCCGGGAAGCGAATCCTCAGGTCCTTGAGCAGCCGGATCAGCACCTTCACCCTGGGGGGGGGCAGGAAGGAGGAGGCGTCAGCCCTGCACCACCAGCACCACCAACTCCACGAGCTTCTCCATAAAAATCCACCTTTGGATCCACGATTTTCCCACCACCACCTCTAGAAACTCACGTGGACTGCGAGGCGTTCTCCTCGAACCACCGCGCGTGCCGGATGGCGGCCAGGGCGCTCTGCAGCACCTTGATGTCCACTGCAAGGAGCACAAATCCCACGGTTTTTCCCACCCTGGAGAGTGGGGAAAACCTCCCTCCCAGCCCCAGATTATCCCGGTGGGAAGCGTGGCCAGGGCCCTCACGGTGCAGCTCCGGGTCCAGCTTGCGCAGGTTGGGCGGGACGGTGGTGATGAGGATCTTCACGGTGGCGTCGGCTGAGCTGATCTCAAAGCCCGTCTCGTTGGTCAGCATGGTCAGCACTGGGGGAAGGGGGGGAAAAAAAACCAGGAATTCCACGTGGAGAGGCTGGAAAACTCCCCCGGGAAGGAAGGAACTCGGCCCGAGTCGCTCCGCAGGTCCCACCTTCGCTGGGGTCCTGCGCCCTCAGGCTCTCCACCACTTTGTTCCCCAGGGCTGCCACGGCTTCCACTGGGGAAAAAAGAGAAGGAAAAAGGGGTTGGAGGAGGGTTGGGATCACCCATCCCAGCGGATCCCACCCCACGAGGCACTCACGGGTGGGCAGGATCTTCAGGATCACCACCAGGTCGGCCACGTTGTGCCCCGTGGTCATCGTGCCCTTCTTGTAGGAGCCCACCTGGCGAACCTCCTCGATTTGCTGGGGGAAGGACGAGCCCAAATCCCGGGAATTCAACACCCAGGGCAGCGTTTTGGGGGGTCGGTGTTGATGCTTAACCCACCCTGGGCAAGGACCTCCAGGGCCCTTGTGAGGGACCATCATCCCAGGGAGCTCCTTCCCAATCCCACCAGTCCATCTCCCCAGGGATCTCCTTTCCCAATCCCATGGAGCTCCTTTCCCAATCCCATGGAACTCCTTTCCCAATCCCAGAGAGCTCCTTTCCCAATCCACCACTCCATCATCCCAGGGAGCTCCTTTCCCAATCCCCAGGGAGCTCCTTCCCAATCCCACCACTCCATTATGTCCCCAGGGATCTCCTTTCCCAATCCCAGGGAGTTCTTTTCCCAATCCCACCAGTCCATCCTGTCCCCATGGAGATCCTTCCCAATCCCACCACTCCATCCTGTCCCCATGGAGCTCTTTTCCCAATCCCACCACTCCATCCTGTCCCCATGGAGCTCCTCTCCCAGTCCCAGGACTCATCCTTCCCCGAGCTCCTCTCCCTCCCAGGGCTCCTTTCCCAATCCCACCTCCATCCTCCCCAGGCTCCTTTCCCAATCCCACCACTCCATCCTCTCCCCAGGGATCTCCTCTCCCAATCCCAGCACTCCATCCTCTCCCCAGGGATCTCCTTTCCCAATCCCACCACTCCATCCTCTCCCCAGGGATCTCCTTCCTCTCCCAATCCCACCACTCCATCCTCTCCCCAGGGATCTCCTCTCCCAATCCCACCACTCCATCCTCTCCCCATGGAGCTCCTTTCCCAGTCCCAGCATTCCTATCCTCTCCCCAGGGATCTCCTTTCCCAATCCCAGAGACTCCTTTCCCAATCCCACCACTCCATCCTCTCAGGGTCTCCCAATCCCAGAGATCTCCTTTCCCAATCTCACCACTTCATCCTGTCCCCATGGAGCTCCTTTCCCAATCCCATGGAGCTCCTTTCCCAATCCCATGGAGCTCCTTTCCCAATCCCACCACTCCATCCTCTCCCCAGGGATCTCCTCTCCCAATCCCACCACTCCATCCTGTCCCCAGGGATCTCCTCTCCCAGTTTTTGGGACTCACCACCTCGAAGGTCCCGGGTGCCACGATCAAGTTGTCGATGACGTTGTTGATCTTGGTCACCAGGGACAGGATGGAAGCCTTGGGAAGGAACGTTGAGGGATGGATTATCCACGATTATCCAGGAAAAACCACCCAAGGAGAGCTCCTCCTGGGTGCTCATTCCCGAGGATTAATCCATTTTCAGGCCTCTCCTGCGAGACCCCTGAAGGACTTTGGATCCTCCCAAGGATCTGAGGGAATTTTGGGCACCTGCTCTGCAGCGGTGGGAGCCAGGTCCTGGTTCCTCTTGAGCAGGGCCTCGCTGAAAGCCGTCTCATCAGCTGCAGGTTTGACACGAGGAAAAGCCATCTCACACTGGAAAGGGGGCGGAATTCCCACCGGGATTTTACTTCCCAGCACAATTCCCTGTTTGTGTGATCCTATTGGAGCTCCAGGACCTCCCACCCCTGCAGCTCCAGAGGGTTTTATGAACTGTGTTAATTGATTTAATAAATTAACCCATTAAATCTGCAGCCACCAGAGCCCTGGGATCACATCCCTGCAGGCAGGGAATTCGAGGATGAAGGATTTCTTCCTTGGAAAAGGTGGGAAGCAGGAGCTGCTGTGAGACCCAGAGGAGGTGACAGGTATTGGGCTGGAGATGGGGGGGGACACAAACCTCAATCCACGGATTTGATCTGTTATAATCTGAATAAAAACGATCCTGGAAGGATTTCTGGGGTTATCCCTCAATTCCCTCCCGTCCTCCCGCTCCAAACAGGACCCAAATTCTCCATTTTGGGAGCTTTTTAACCCCCACTTTTAGGGGATTCTCTCACTTCAGCTGCACCACAAGAAGCCAACCCCCCAAAACAGGGATGAGAGGGGTCATTGAAGCTGGAAAACCCTTGGAAATTCCCAGAAATCCCCCCCTGGATCCCTCGGGATGGGAATTACTCACCACATAAAAATCGAAGGGGATGTGGGGCACGAAGGGCCGGAACCTGCAGGAGAATCCAGACCCCACTTCACTCTCTGGGTGGGGCTTTTCCCCCCCTAAATCCACACGTGGGAACCCCCCCCACCCCCCTCATCCCTCCCCACATCCCGGGAATTCCCGGCACTTCCCTGGAGCCGAAGCGGCCGCCGCGGCCGCGGCCTCGGTCACCCCTGGGGGAGAGAACGGGGAGGGGGTAACGAGGGGGGGGAAGTGAGAGACCCCCAGAACCCCCTCCCCACAAACACAACCCCCAGCCCCCTGAGACCACTCCCGGTATCCCCCTCATTCCCGGTATCCCCCTCATCCCGGTTTTTCCCCCTCATCCGGTTTTCCCCCTCGTTCCCGGTATCCCCCTCATTCCCGGTATCCCCTCTCCCATTCCCGATATCCCCCAGCACTGATATCTCTCCCCATCCCCGATATCCCCTTTATTCCCAGTTTCCCCCATTCCCGCTTTTCCCTCATTCCCGATATCCCCCCATTCCCGATATCCCCCTCATCCCGGTATTCCCCCTCATCCCCAGTATCCCCCATTCCCGGTTTTCCTCCCCATTCCCGATATCCCCCTCATCCCGGTTTTCCCCCATCCCCGTTTTCCCCTCTATTCCCACCTTACCCCCATCCCCGATATCCCCCCATTCCCGATATCCCCCTCATCCAGGTTTTCCCCCATCCCCGTTTTCCCCCATCCCCGATATCCCCCATCCCCAGTTTCCCCCATCCCCGTTTCCCCCCATCCCCCTTTTCCCCCATCCTCATCCCCTCTATCCTTCCCTCTCCCGATATCCCCTTTATTCCCAGTTTTCCCCCTCATCCCCGATATCTCCCCCTCTCCCGATATCCCTTTATTCCCAGTTTCCCCCCATTCCCCCTTATTCCCCTTCATTCCCCTGCCATTCCCTATCCCCCCTCCCGATATCCCCTTTATTCCCAGTTTTCCTCCCATCCCCGTTTCCCCCATCCCCGGTTTCCCCCATCCCCGCTTTTCCCCCTCCATCCCCCACATCCCCCTCTCCCGCTATCCCCTTTATTCCCGCTTTTCCCCCATTCCCGTTTTCCCCCCATTCCCGGTTTTCCCCCATTCCCGGTTTTTCCCCCATTCCCACCTCATGTCTCCGCCGCTCCCCACAACACCGAACCGCCGCTCCCTGACCCCTCAGCAACGCTCCCTCCCATTGGCCGCCTCCCTCCTCCGCCCCGCCCCGGGGGCGGCTCCTCCTCTCCCCATTGGTCGGGCCGCGCGTCAATCCAAGGCGGAGACCCCCGTTACCCGTGGGCCGGTAGGTGTCGCTAACAGCAGCAGAGTGGCGCAGCGGGAGCGTGCTGGGCCCATAACCCAGAGGTCGATGGATCGAAACCATCCTCTGCTAGCTCCCGTTATTTTGCTTTTCTTTTTCCTCTCCTTTCACCGCCTCGGGTTCCGCCGCTCCCAGAAGATTTCAACGCTCCTTTAAAGTGTTTGTTTTTTTTTGTTGGTTGTCCCACCCGGGAGCGTCGCGAGCGTCGCGAGTGTCGCGCGTGTCGCCAAACTCGCGGCGTCCGCGCGTGTCCCAGGGGCGTGGACCGTCCCGGCTGTTGGACTGTCCCGGGGTTGGACCAGCCCAGGATCTACGTGCGTGCCCGTCCACGCGCGTCCCTGACCCCCTCGCGCGTCCCCCGAGCACCCCCCAGTGTCCCCAGCAGCCGCGCGACCCCCAGAGTGGCACCTCCGGGGTCACCCCCCCCCCACCCCACTCCCGGGGGGCCGCCGGGACCCCTCCGTGGGGGCAGAACCTCCCACGGGTGAGGACAGGGAAGAGAGCGAGGTGCCCGAGCCCCCACCCCCTCCCACGGACCCCCTCCGTGGCCGCCCCTCGCGAGGTGGACAGGGCGGGGACCGCGATTTGGGGCGTCCCCCTCCCACGCGAGTTCATCAGCTGACCCCACTCGGGTCAGCGGCAGCTCCGGGGTGGTCGCCACAGGACACGGGGTGGGAGTGGGGACGCCTCGCAGGGCATCCCCGTGGGCCGGGGACCCCCTGGGAGAGCGGGAATCCCTCCCAAACCCCACGCAAACCCAAACCCACACCCACCAGCGGGCGGCTCCACACCACAGCACCGCGGGGAGCGGCGAGGAAGGAGTTAAGGTCGGTGTGGATGATAACGGCCCTTTGTGTCACCAGTGGGGGGCGAGGAAGGGCTCGGCCCCGCCGTGGGAGGCGGGGGACAGGGACACGGACACAGAGAGGCACACACGGACACGCCACTCCGCCACCGTCCGTGGGCGATGCCGGCGGCGCCGGCGCTGGCCCTGCTGCTCCTCCTCGGCGCTGCCGCGGCCCCCGAGCCCCACGCCCACCCCCAGCCCCAACACCACGCTGACCCTCGCCGTGGTGCTGCCCCGCCGCAACCTCACCTACCCGTGGGCCTGGCCGCGCGTGGGCCCCGCCGTGCGCTTGGCCGTGGCCGCCGTCAACTCCCGGCGGGATCTCCTGCCGGGCTTCACCCTGCGCTGGGTGTTCGGCGACAGCGAGGACGGCCGCGGGGTGTGCTCCGAGATGGCCGCGCCTTTGGCCGCCGTCGACCTGCGCGTGGCCCACCGGCCCGCGGCCTTCGTGGGGCCCGGCTGCGTGTACAGCGCGGCGCCCGTGGCGCGATTCACCAGCCACTGGCGGCTGCCGCTGCTCACGGCCGGCGCCGAGGCCCACGGCTTCGACGACAAGCGCGGGGAGTTCGCGCTGACCACGCGCGTGGGGCCGAGCCACCGCAAGCTGGGCGAGCTGGGCGGGCGGCTCCACCGGCGCTTCAACTGGAGCCGCCGGGCGCTGCTCGTCTACTGGGACGAGAGGGTGGACGACCGGCCCTGCTTCTTCGCCGCCGAGGGGCTGTACGTGCAGCTGCCCACCCTGCTGCGCAACCTCAGCGTGGTGGACGTCGTGTTCCAGGACGGCGGCAACTTCTCCTTCGTCATCCAGGAGATCAAGGCCAAGGGGCGCGGTGAGAGCGGGGAGGGAGCGGGGGTGTGGGGGGACACGCTGGGACAGGAAGGGGACAGTGGGGGAGGGGGCGCTGGGATGGAGAGGGGACAGTGGGGTGGGGAGGGGGCCACTGGGATAGGAAGGGGACAGGGGGTGGGGAGGGACACTGGGATAGGAAGGGGACAGTGGGGTGGGAGGGGGACACTGGGATGGAGAGGGGACAGTGGGAGTGGGGAGGGGGACACTGGGATAGGAAGGGGACAGGGGGAGGGAGGGGGACAGTGGGACAGGAAGGGGACAGTGGGGAGGGGCGCTGGGATGAGAGAGGACAGTGGGGGGAAGGGGACGGCGGGGTGAGGAGGGACAGGGAGGGGGACACTGGGCTGGGAGGGACGGAGGAGGAAGGGGACACTGGGATGGGAAGGGGACAGTGGGGTGGGAGGGGGACAGGAAGGGAACAGTGGGGTGGGGGGACACTGGGATAGGAAGGGGACACTGGGGTGGGAAGGGACAGTGAGGAGGTGGGGAGGGGACAGTGGGATAGGAAGGGACAATGGGGTGGGAAGGGGACACTGGGATAGGAAAGGGACAGCGGGGTGGGGAGGGGGACAGGGGAATGGGAAGGGGACACTGGGGATGGGAAGAGGACAGGAGAGTGGGGAGGGGGACAGGAAAGTGGGGAGGGGGACACAGGATAGGAAGGGGACAGGAGAGTGGGGAGGGGGACACTGGGCTGGGAGGGGGACAGGAGAGTGGGAGGGGGACACTGGGATAGGAAGGAACAGTGGGGAGGGGACACTGGGACAGGAAGGGAACAGTGGGGAGGGGGACAGGAGAGTGGGAAGGGGACCCTGGGGTGGGTGGGAGTGGGACACCGGGATAGGAAGGGGACAGGGAGTGGGACAGGGGGTGGGAAGGGGACACGGGAGTGGGAAAGGGACACCGGAGTGGGAGAGGGACACTGGGACGGGGAGGGGGACCCCGGGATGGGAAGGCGACAGGGAGGGGGACAGCGTGGGGGGAAGGAGGGCGGCTTGGACCCCGAGGAGAGGGGCACAGGGGGCGGTGCGGGGCCCGTCACGGGTGGGCGCAACTCCGCACGGGCGCCCATGGGTGTGCCCCGGCTCGGCACGGCTTTCCACGGGTGTTCACACGACCATACATGGGTGCGAGCAGCGCGACGCGGCCGTGCCCGGCTGTCCGTGGCTGGGCGCGGGTTGTGCACGGGGTTTCACGCGTGTTCGCGGGTGTGCACAGGTTTTCACGCGTGTTCGCGGCTGTGCACAGGGTTTCACGCGTGTTCGCGGCTGTGCAAGGCAGCACACGCGTGTTCGTGGCCGTGCGCGGCTCTTCCCGGCTGTGCCCGGGGGGTGGTGGGGGGGGTCGCGGCTGTGCCCAAACTTTCCACGCGTGTTCCCAGCCGGCCGCAGGTGTTCCTGGCCCCACGCGTGTTCTCGGCTGCCCCGCACACCCACGCACTGCGTGCTCTGCCCCACTCCCCCGTGACCCCCTAAACCCCCCTCCGTGCCGTGTCCCCACCCCCACCCCACGGGGGCTGCCGAGCACCCTCCCCACTCCCGGTGGTCCCGACCCTTCCCGTGGGGCAGCCCCGCGTGACACGGGTGGGTGTGCGTGAGGAGGGTGTTCTCAGCCCCGGGGGCATTTTGAGGTCCCTGTGACCCAGGGTTGGTGATGGGGCTGAGCATTTTGGGGTGACACGGGGGACACGGGGTGGGCGGTGGGTGCTGAGCCCCGGAGTGGGTGGGTGGGGGACATTTTGGGGTGACGTGGGTGGGGAGGGGGTGTCACGCGGGTGGCATCGCCGGGGTCCCGGTGTCGCCGGGAATCCATCGGGGCCGCGGGGAGGAGGAAACGGAGTCGGGAAAACAGGAAACCTCGGCCTGGCGCCCGGGGCAGCGCCGGGCAGGGCACAGGTGGGAGGAAAAGGGGGTGGGGGGTGGGAAACAGGGGTCAGGACCCCCTCCCCAGCCCGGGGTAGCACAAGCCACGGAGTGTCACGTAATAACCACGGACACCCCCCACACGACGTGGGGTTCCTGGGGGTTCTGAGGGGGGTTTTGGGGTCTGCCAGGGATGTTTTTTAGGGGGGGGAGTGGGGAGGGGGTGTCAGGCCCATCTCGTGTAATAACCAGGGACCCTCGCGACGTGGGGTCGGGGTGTGCCGGGGTCTGTGGGGGGTCCCGGGGTGTCCCCAACAGGAGCTCTTGTGGGGGGGGCTGTGAGGAGCTCCAGGGCGGTCGGTCGGGGGTCCCGGGGCTCTCGGGGGTCCTGGGGGCTGTCGGGGTGGCTGTGAGGAGCCCCAGGGCTGTCAGTCGGGGGTCCCGGGGCTCTCTGGGGGTCCCGGGGTGTCCCAAAGTGTCCCATGGTGTCCAGGGGTGTCGGGAGGGCTGGAGCTGTCGGGGGGGCTGTGAGGAGCTCCAGGGCGGTCGGTCAGGGGTCCAGGGGCTCTCGGGGGTCCCTGGGCTCTCGGGGCGGCTGTGAGGAGCCCCAGGGCTGTCACTCGGGGGTCCCGGGGCTCTCTGGGGGTCCCGGGGTGTCCCAAAGTGTCCCATGGTGTCCAGGGGTGTCGGGGGTGCTGGAGCTGTCGGGGTGGGGGGGCCGGGCTGTCAGTCAGGGGTCCCAGGGCTCTCGGGGGTCCCTGTGGCTCTCGTGGGTCCCGGGGGCTCTCGGGGGTCCCTGGTACTGTCACTCGGGGGTCCCGGGGCTCTCGGGGGTCCCGGGGCTCTCGGGGGTCCCGGAGCTCTCGGGGGTCCCTGGGGCTGTCACTCGGGGATCCAGGGTCACTCGTGGGTCCCTGTGGCTGTCGGGGGTCCCAGGGGCTCTCGGGAGCTCTCGTGGGTCCCTGTGGCTGTCGGGGGTCCCTGTGCCAAGGCCGTGCCCCCCTCCCCAGTGGTGTACGTGTGCTGTGCCCCGGACACGCTGCGGGAGCTGCTGCTGCAGGCGGAGCTCGAGGGGCTCACGGGGGGCGACTTCGCCTTCTTTTACATCGACACGTTCGGGGCCAGCCTGCGGGGGGGGCACCCCCAGGGCGGGGGGCGCTTCCCAGACCCCCGCCGGCCCTGGCACCGCGGGGACCGCCACGACCCCCGAGCCCGCAGAGCCTTCGAGGTGAGCGGGGTGCCCGGGGAAGGGGGGATCCTTCCTGGGGGGCACTGGGACCACCGGGGGGCATGGGGACCACCGGGGGCATGGGGACCACCGGGGGCATGGGAACCCCCGTGGGGGCATGGGGACCATCGGGGGCATGGGGACCACCGGGTGGGCATGGAACCCCTGGGGTACGGGGACCACCGGGGCAATGGGGACACAGGGGGCATGGGACCACCGGGGGCATGGGAACCCCCACCACCCCCGCGTGGGGAACGGGGACCACCGGGGGAACGGATGCGCCCCCCACCCCCGAGTGAGCAGGGGGACACGGGGGAATGGGAGACACCAGGGTGGGCACGGGGACACGGGGGTACGGGGACACGGGGGTACAGGGGACACCAGGGTGGGCACGGGGACACGGGGGGTACGGGACACCAGGGTAGGCACAGGAACCCCCCTAGGTGGGCACGGGACCCCCCCAGGTGAACATGGGGACACCAGGGGTGGGCACAGGGACATTGGGGTGGGCACAGGGACACCAGGGTGGGCACAGGGACACCAGGGTGGGTATGGGAACCCCCAGGGTGGGCACAGGGACATCGGGGTGGGCACAGGACCCCCCCCCAGGTGAACATGGGGACACCAGGGTGGGCACAGGGACATCGGGGTGGGCACAGGAACCCCCCTAGGTGGGCACGGGACCCCCCCAGGTGAACATGGGGACACCAGGGGTGGGCACGGGGACATCGGGGTGGGCAGGGGAACCCCAGGGTGGGCACGGGGACATCGGGGTGGGCACAGGAACACCGGGGTGGGCACAGGGGACATCGGGGTGGGCATAGGGGACACCGGGGTGGGCACGGGACTCCCCAGGTGAACATGGGGACACCAGGGTGGGCACGGGGACACCAGGGTGGGCATAAAGACACCAGGGTGGACACGAGGGGTGTATCCCCCTTCCCGCATGGGTGGGCACTGATCTGCCAGGCCCTGCCCCCACGCCCCCTCCGTGTCCCCCCAGGCCGTGACCATCATCACGTACACGGAGCCCCAGAACCCCGAGTACCGACCCTTCCTGCGGCGCCTGCGGGACGAGGCCCGGCAGAACTTCAACCTCTCCCTGCAGGGCGGCCTCGTGGGACCGGGGGCCGCGGGAATGGTGGGAATGGTGGGAATGGTGGGAACGGGGGGGAACCACGCGTGGGAGGACGGGGGGGTGGGCACGGCGGTGGAGCTGGGGGTAAAGGACGTGGGATGGAGGTGGGGATGAAGGGAGGGGTTGTGTCCCCCCGAGCTGTGCCCTGTCCCCAGGCTGTCCCCGAGCCACCCCCGTGTCCCCCCACCCCCTCCAGATGAATTTCATCGCCGCCGCCTTCCACGACGGGTCCTGCTCTACGCCCAGGCCCTCCACGAGACCCTGGAGCGCGGGGGCTCCGTGGGAGACGCCTCGGCCATCACGAGGCAGATGTGGAACCGCACCTTCTACGGTCAGGCCCCTCCCCAGCCCGTCCTCGTCCCTTGGCCCCTCCCCTGTCCTGTCCCTGGTCCCATTTCCATCCCCTTTCCCTGTCCCCATCCCCATCCCCTTTTCCCACCCCATCCCCATCCCATCCGTGTCCCTGGCCCCATTTCCATCCCCCTTTCCCTGTCCCCATCTCCATCCCCCTTTTCCCACCCTATCCCCATCCCCCTTTTTCCCACCCCATCCCCATCCCATCCTCGTCCCTTGGCCCCTCCCCGTCCCGTCCCTGTCCCCATTTCCATCCCCATCTCCATCCCCTTTCCCTGTTCCCATCCCAATCCCCCTTTACCCACCCCATCCCCATCCCATCCGTGTCCCTGTCCCCATTTCCATCCCCATCTCCATCCCCTTTCCCTGTCCCCATCTCCATCCCCCTTTTCCCTCCCCATCCCCATTCCATCCCTGTCCCTGCCCCCTCCCTGTCACTATCCACGTCCCGATCCTCCCCTTTCCCTGTCCCCATCCCCATCCCCCTTTCCCTCCCCATCCCATCTGTGTCCTGGCCCCATCTCCATCCTGTCCCTGTCTCCATTTCCATCCCCATCTCCATCCCCTGTCCCCGTCCCCATCCCCATCCCCTTTTCCCACCCCATCCCCATCCCCTTTTCCCTCCCTGTCCCCTTTTCCATCCCCTTTCCTGTCCCCATCCCTCATCCCCCCTTTTCCCTCCCCTCATCCCCATCCCCCTTTTCCCTCCCTGTCCCCTTTTCCATCCCCTTTCCCTGTCCCCATCCCCATCCCCCTTTTCCCTCCCCCATCCCCATCCCCCTTTTCCTCCCTGTCCCCTTTTCCATCCCCTTTCCCTGTCCCCATCCCTCATCCCCTTTTCCTCTCCCACCCCATCCCACCCAGTCCACCCCACCTCCCCACCACCCGCCCCCTTTCCCAGCACCACGTTTTGGGATCAAACCCCCCTCCTCCCAGGTCCCCAAGGTCCCTCCCCCAGCCCCTCCCGTCCCTCCCCTCCCTCTCCAGGTGTCACCGGGTTCCTGAAAATCGACGAGAACGGGACCGGGAGAGCGATTATTCCCTGTGGGACATGGACCCGGCGCGGGGGGAATTCCAGGTGGGGAGCGCCGGCACCTGCAGGGGTTTCACCCCCAACCAAAGGGTCTGGGGGGCTCCTCCCCACCCTTTTTTTTCCCCCACCCCCAAAAAAAGATCGTGGCCAACTACAACGGCACCACCAAGGAGCTGCGGATGGTGCCGGGCAGGGACATCCACTGGCCGGGCAAGGCGGTCCCTCCCGACGTCCCCCCCTGCGGATTCGACCACGGCGACCCC